TCGCGTGAGCGCCCACCGCATCAGCGACGGGCTCTGCCGCCCGATGACCCGCAGGATGACGTCGTCGTCGCGGCGCTCCGGCGGCACCTGCTGCGTCAGGGCAAAGTGCAGACGCGCCAGCACCTCGTCGCACTCAGCCACGCCGTGGCCCAGGCTCGTGGCGCTCGTGTCGTAACCTACGATGCGGCCGTTGCCGCTGTCACCAACGTCACTACAAACGGCCACCAGCGGGGCGTTGTGCCCCACTGCCCACTGGGGCGAAAGACTCGCTTGCAGCTCCACGCTGCGGTCCACCCCAACGATGCGCCTGTGTCGTGAGTGTGTGCGTGTGCGTGTGCGTGTGCGTGTGTGTGTGTGAGTACGTAAAGGAAATAGAAATCGGTCGTCGTCTGCACCATGTGTAGCGTGCACGACGTACTTGTGCAGTGCGGCGCAGGCGGGGAGGTCGTCGGCGGTCATGGGGCGAATGACAAGCTTGAGCTTGGGCTCCGGCCAGTCCTCGACGCACCGGCCCATGATGAAGCTCACCTGGTCCTTGGGCTCGAAGCCGAGCTTGGCATAGAGCGAGAACGAGATCAGGTTGTAGGCCTCTTGCTGGAGCCGGATCGACTTGTGGCCGTTCTTCACACCCTCGTCTGTTTGTTTATGCCACGTCAGCGGCCGCACGCACGTCAATATATGAAGACCACACATCACACGACATGTCCACAACTGCATTCAACATGGTATCGAAGGGCGGGGGCGCGGGACCAATGACGGCTTGCATGAGCGCGCGGCCGACCCCAGGGATATTGATGTCGGGGTCGACACTGATCGGGCCTGGTAGCGCAACACGACGGGACCGGTTGAGAAGACTCGCCACACACATCTCACCCCCCCCCCAAATTGGTCACGCACCGACCGATGCCACCTCGTCGCGCTGGTCCAGGTAGTTGGAACCGATGATCGCGCCCGTCTCCGTGTTGCAAGCCACAACAGCATAAGTCTGGCAACACGCACGCAATGCAACGCATGAGTTCTCTTTGTGCGGTGTGCGTGTGTCGTGGTGGAGAAAAAATAATTTAGGTTTGGGGGGGGGGCGAAAGAGCGAAGATGGAGAAGCTTCGTTCGGACCCGCTCGAGAGATGCGAAGTAGCGGTGGGCACGGCAGGACAGGGCCTCGTCGGGAAAACTCACCAGCCGGCCGAACTGGGGCTCCTGAATGCGGTTGAACGCCCGCTTGCACACCCGCGCGGCCTCGTCCGCCTCCTCGAGCCCGCGCAACGGCCGCACCTCCACCGCCACAGCCTTCATCTTCTTCTCCGTGCAGCTTGCGTTGCGGCCTCGAGGCAAAGTGGGAGGGTTGTTCAACCAATATAAACTGAATATTATAATTATATATTTAATCTTTTAATCTACGAATATTTTTGCAATTTGATTTGTTTCTGCCGGTCAAGACGAAGAGATGGAAGCGAAGCAGGCGCAAGGGGTGGTGCTGAGCGAGCTCGAGCAGGCGGATGTGCCGGAGACGGCGCGCGTGTGCATGGAGGCGTTCAACACGCTTCACTACAAGAACCTCGGACGTCATCTCGATTTCGGTCTCTTCGAGAGCGCCCTGGGCTTTCACCAGGCCCTTGCCTCTCATCCCAAGGTAATCTAATCTTCCTCCTTGCCACTGATGATCTCCCCAACATCTGCCCCCGCAAAGAATCAGATTTCTCTTTAATTCAATCTCTGTACTTGATTCTAATTCTTGTGGAGCATAAAGGTGTACGGGGTGGTGGCGCGTAATGCTGAGGGTCGTATCGTGGGCTCCAACTTCCTTGATCAAAGGGGCGAGGTCGCTTCTGTGGGTACTGCTCCACGTTGGCAGCCTCTACTGTGTAGATGAGGGCGAGTCTGAACTCTCATTCTCTGCTTCTCTTGTACAAGGTCCCATCAGCGTCGACCCCAACACTCAAGCCACCGGTGTTGGGCGTGCGCTCATGCAAGCCGTCATTGGTACTTATGTGTTACACAACACGCACGACACGACACGACACGACACGGCACACACGACACGCACGACATGCACTAACAAAGTGTTGGTGGCCAAACAAACAGACAAGGGCGTGAAGGACGGCCACAAGTCGATCCGCCTCGTGCAGGAGGCCTACAACCTGGTCTCGTTCTCGCTCTATGTCAAGCTCGGCTTCGATCCCAAGGACCAGCTCAACTTCTTCATGGGCCGGTGCGCCGAGGACTGGCCGGAGCCCAAGCTCAAGCTTGTCATTCGCCCCATGACCGCCGACGACCTCGCTGCCTGCGCCGCATTGCACAAGTAAGCAACACGACACACCGACACGACACGCACGACACACACCCGCGCGCGACACACACACACACACACACACACACACACACACACACACACACACACACACACACGAACACGCCTGATTCAGTTTCCAGGCGAGTTGTGGGCGTGGAGCGCGAGCAGGATCTGGCGGAGTGCCTGAGCTCGGTCTGGTCCACCTACCACGATGAGCCGCTGGTGGCCGTCGAGGAGGGCAGCGAGCGCCTGGTGGGCTATGCCACCAGCGTGACCCTGCCCGGGCACAGCGTGGGCGAGTGCGACGAGGTCGTGGCCCGCCTCCACTTCAAGATGACCAGGCGCGTGTCGAGCGGCCGCAACGACGATTCGGTGCTGCTCAAGGTCATCGGGCGTCTCAGCCCGGCCCTGGTCAAGTGGGCGCTCACCGGTGGTGGCCTGCGGCTGCAGCGCAGCGCCACCTTGATGGCCCTCGGCGCCTACAGCGATCCCGTCGACGGCGTCTACGTCCCCTCCATCGGCTATTAGACCCAGCTGGGTCGCCCCAGCTCATGGCTTGGCAAAGTGTCTGGCGCACTTGAAGTTAACTAGTGATATTCTTGGCAATTTCTTGCCCGTGGTTGCGGCTTCGGGTTGCCCAATCGGGTACGGGCGTATGCTTTCTCTTTTGTCAAACTGCATGACTTCTTGTTCTTATTTGTCTTGAGTTGCGGCATGTTGTGTCAGTGGTTGGTTATCGTGCTGGCGGCGTGCAGCGGCTGGTCTTGGCCACTAGTCTCCGGAGCGAACCTCAATGCCGCCTGCTGGGGTCTCAGTACGTAGGCCGCCCCGGGGCTACCAAACCAGGCCACATGTTGTGTAGTGTGGAGTATCTTTCGATTGGAAAGAAGAACATCATTCCATGCCGGCGACCTCCACTTCACCAAGATCACTCCCGCTTCGCCCATCGTCGAACTCAACTCCTCACCCAACGTGATTTTGTTTAATACTCCGCAGATAATCATCAACAGTTGGGCAACCTGGCCTACGGACTGAACACATCTTCACTGCCGCTGACGGTCGACGCCGGCGACCTCCACTTCGCCAAGATCACTCCCGCCTCCAACCCCTTCACCTGTGCCTTGAGCGACGCTGGTTCGTTTCCCAAAATCCAGAAACTCCGCCCATCTCTTCTGACGTGGCGCCCCAACACCCACCACAGGGCATGTCTATTGCTGGGGCGCGAGTACTATCACCGTCCCGCGCCACATAGAGAGTTGACCCACAACAAAGGCTGATCTGTGGCGTTGTGGGCACGTGTGGGTGTGTGTTGTGTGTCATGTGTCGTGGTGTCGTGGTGTCGTTCTGTGGCGACAGATTCCTTCGAGAGTCTTGGTGAAGGCGCGGCCACTGCAGGGCAGGACTACCCCATCGACCCCAACCGAAAGGCGAGCATGGAGATCTTCACCGACCTCTGCTCCGGCTTGTGGACCAGCTGCGGCGTCCTCTCCAACGGTACCTCTCCTGCCCCCCTCCCCGAGCCCCGCCAAACCGACCGGATATGACAACGTGCGTGTGCGGTGGTGCGCGTGTGTTGATGAGCAGGTTCCGTTGCGTGCTGGGGCAGCAGTACGTTGTGATTGGCTTGGCAGACGTAAAATCGCACCGCTGCTGCTGGTGCTGACGGAAAGGTTGTTTTTGTTGGGCGCAGATGAACAGGGTGCGCTGGGGTGTGGCTTGGCCTACGCCAATCTCACGTCCACCGCCACTCCGCGCTTGGTCTCCAACCTCACCAACGCGTCAGCAATCTTCTGCGGCGGCCTCTTCAACTGCGCCCTCCTCAAATCCGGTACACTAACATCATTCAAGTGCCCCCGATGTTAAACTCCTATGCCGACCTTCTCACACACGAACACTCACGCACCATCGCACACGCAAACGCACGGCTCTCTCGCACAGGCAGTGCCTACTGCTGGGGCGCTGGTACGCCCTTCTTGCGCGTGGTTAGACACGGTTCCTCCTTCATTTGTTGGCTCACAGTCTGTGTGGCGCAGGCAACGTGGGCCAATTGGGGAACGGTGGCTCTGGCGCTGTGAGCAGCATTAGCCCAGTACGAGTGACCACCAGCAATCGATCCATTATTTCGTTCAGCGCCGGAGACAACCACGCCTGCCTCATCTACTCAGGTACGCTGCCACCTACCCCACCTGCTGTGGTTTGAACGCTGCCATCTCAATTCTGTCTTCGCAACAGGGAACGAATTGATCTGCTGGGGCAGTAGTGCGTTGCCATTCGCCCCTTGGGAAGTGGTTGACCACTGCTTCAACTGGCACTGACACGGACACTATATGATCAATATTCAGACTCTGGAGGCAAGTTGGGGATCAACAATGCTACGCTCCCGTTTTCTGTGCAGCTGCAGACCGTGGCCGGCCACTACAAGCAGGTGTCGTGCGGCTCCGATTCAACGTGTGCCATTGGCACGGGTAAACCGAACCCAACCAGTTTGATGTATTTTTTTGATCAAGATAGTAATTGTCGTGTTGTGCTGTCTGCAGACGACAAGGTCTACTGCTGGGGAAACTGTACGATTGATGAACCTCCCTCGCTTGTTGTAGGCTTTTTTTTTGGTTGGTGCAGCTGACAGGTCTTGGTTTGCCACATCGCGTGTGTGCGTGTGCGTATGTGCGTGTGCATGTGGTCAGCTGCGATCCTGGGACTTTCAAGCCCTCAGGCCGCCCCGATGCTCATTGATGGCTTGCCCAGCTCCATACAGAGCGTCACCATGAGCCAGGACGTGGCTTGCGCCCAGACAACCGGTACGCACGGTTGCATGACTACTCTTGTGTTATGACAATTTCATTCATCACAAATTCTCACTCCTTCCCCGATCCAGGTGGCACCGAGTACTGCTGGGGCACAGGTTTCTCGCCCACATTCACCAGCACTGTCCTTAAATCAAATGAACTAAAACCATCATCATCCTTGGATACATTGCGTTATTGCCACCACAGCACTCTATGGCGAGCTTGGCCGTGGCAACGTGTCCTCGGTCTATCAATCTCCAGCTGCTATTCCCTGTACCCATCATCATCTCACCAATCTCTCTACCCTGACTGGGGCTTGGCTTCTGACACACACACACGCTCGCGCGCAATTATTAATCGTTGGTGGTGCCTTCAAGCGCACACGTTTGTGCAGGGAACGGTCGCGGCGGCACACTCGGGCCATTCTATGTGCGGCCTGCTGGTCGCGCCCTCGCCTTCGCCCTTCGCCGTCGGCCGTGCCCATCCCCCAGGCGCCCTTCGTGAAGCCCGTCTTCGACGACGTCGTTCCGCAAGTCAAGCTTCTGCCCGTTGGTCCGTCGCTCTTTGCTTTTCGCGCCCTTTTTCTGTTCGCTCTGTCTTCGTTCTTTGCACTCACCAATGAGGGAGTGGGGGGGCTGCCGATTGCAGACCAAGAGGGCGTGGTGGGCAAGCCCGACGACGGCGCTCTGTTCTCCTTCGTTTCTGTCGAAGAGGTGTCGATCAACGGTGTCGTTGAGCGCAGCTTCTCGCTCGTGCAAGGTTCCCGCACCCCTGCCCACTTGAGCTTGACACGCATTCAACTCAACGCTTCCAACGTCCAAGCTCATGTGATGCTCAATCAATGCAACAACCACCACGCCAGCTCTCTGGGTGGCGGACAACTTCGTTCCAGTGGGCGGGGGCGATGCCATCACGGCCGTGGGATACAAGAGCGAACTTTCCAACAACGTGACCGTGCGCTACAGCTTCTTCTCCTACAACCGCTCCCTCGACGTCGCCGTTGGTCCGTTCTCTCAAAGGAAACGAGCACTGACATTGTCTGCGTTTCTTACCGTCAAGCCATGTGGTGGCGGTGGTGGGGGGTGCAGGCGACAACTTCACGTTGCCGATGACGCCCTCGTTCCTCAAGTTCTCTCTGGTCATCACCACTTGGCCCTGGCTCGCCCCGTACACTGTTCCCTCCCTTGAAACGTTTCACAAAATCATCAAGTTAATTCACGGATGGTGGATGGTTGGCGAACACAGGAACAACAGCCTGAGGGTGACGCTCAAGGTGACGCCGGCGTTCACCAGCGAGCGCACGGTGGTCAACTACCCCAAGGACGACATGACCTCTCTCCTCCTCTCGTCTGCCGGCAGCGCATCGTCGGTGCTGGTGCGGGTGATCAACTTCGGCTTGGCCGGCTCTGATGGTCGCGAGCGGGTCGGGGTTGAGACACACGCCAACGTCACGTCGTCGAGCCTCATCTTTGCGATCAACAACTTCGCCGACGACCTGGCCTACGACCCCGGTACGCACCACCTATCCCACATCCTTTGTATCAGATATTATTAGTTGCAACAGTACTGTGATGTGTTGTCAGGTCGGCGGTTTGCTGACAATTACACAGATCTGTCAGTGTTGGTGGGGCGACGGGAGGAAAGTGGCGGCGGCGGCACCGACCTGGCGCTGATCGTGGCCGTCTCGGTGGCAGTGCCCTTGGCCGTCTTGTTCGTGGTGGCTGTCATCGTGGCCTCCCTCATCATCATCCGCTACCGACAGCAAAGGCGCCAGAGGAGCATAGCGGGACTCGTAAACTACGACGTGGACAACGGGTCCGACGCATTGTAGCCCGGCTCCAATCATCGTTTTTCCCGATCTTGGTTTTGACGGAGATCCATGAGAAAAGAGTGGTCCACAACTCCAAAATGGCACGATGATCACTGGCCCGAGCATTTACGCCCAACCGGCGGCGTTGACCCCTGATTTCAGGAATAAAGTTCATCCATGGGGTCGCCGAACGGACGCGGAGCCCGACAGGACGCTGGAAGCCTGTAAGTGGTGCGCATCAGTTTGGCGCTGCTCGTTTTGTCTTACACATCGATGTCGTGGTGGTTGGTGCGTGCGGCTGGCCTTGCCCTCCGGTCTACGGGGCCAACAATGCCACCTGCTGGGTCTCAGTACGCAGCCTCCACCCCTACGGACTGATTGATGCCTTCATTCCTAAACCAATCAAGTGGCGATCTAAAATGTAGACATATTCCTAGTTTCGCCAAACCGTGAACACGAGCATGCTTCGTTTTGCCGTGAAAATACGGCTGGAGCAGTTCCAGCGCTGTTTTTTCGGCTGGCACACTTATTTTCCATTTTTTTCAGCTAGCGAAGTAGATGAGCACGATCAAAACGACACCACAATTGAGGAAGGTGAATTCTGGCACCTGGTGGAGGGAGGGAGTTGGTGATGCACTCTTATGGCGAGCAATACAGAGCAAGCAACAGAGTCACCCAGACTGGTCACAGTGAAAGATTGCCGCGCATCTAATGGTGTCACCTGCGCTGGTGAATAAGGTGATGAAGCGGAGTAGGGGAGGGGAGCTGTCACCACGCAAGCATGGGACTGGGAGGAGGAGGACATTCCCAAAAGAAAACGTCCAGTTGATGATCGAGCTACTGTCCATGGAGGAGAAGGGGGTGGTCTATTTGATGAAAGATGTGCAGCACACCTTTGAAGAGGAGCTTGGCGAGAAATGGTCGATTTCCACGACCCGCCTCGTCTCGGTCAACTGCGTCGGAGGGCCTTCGCCCACCATCGTGGCCACTCCGCAGCCCTCGGCCTCGCCCACCATCGTGGCCTCCCCGCAGCCCTCGGCCTCGCCCGCGGCCGGGTGCAACGCCGCGGTGAGCATCGTGGCCCGCTCGGCGGCGGCCGGCGGCAGCTGGACCACGGGACCCAACCAGTTCTTCCAGATCTTGCTGAGATGCTGGGTGATGGTGGAGCCGGCCACGGGGAGGCCGAAGGTGAGCACGCTGCTGTTGAGCGGGCGCTGGCCGGTGTTGGTGATGGTGATGTCGAAGATCTGAACTGTTCATTTCACCAGTGGGGCTGGAGCAGTGAGATAGCCCAACAGCTAATCACTGCTCAAGGGGCAGGGTACAAGTTACTCCCTAAGTATTGCCCCAAATACAGCCCCACAGAGAAGGTGTTTCATTTACATTCATCTTGTAGCACCAAGGATGACCTCCTCCCTGCAATTGCTACAATTTTAAATAAAATAACCACACCCACCATGATCAGCTGGTACAAGTCATGTGGATGGTTGATTTAATCATCTTCCTCTTCAACATCATCACCTTCTCCCTCACTTGCACCATCTTCAATGAAATCTGGATCAAGATCAAGATCTTGGCACTCCTGCAGCTCTGCTTGCCACCTCAAAATGTACACCAGCTCTTCCTCAGCCAGGAGCATCTTTGTCTTCAATTCACCCTTTACCTTTCTGTTGCAGCCTGAAGTCAAACTTTCTGGTGGCACTCAGTGAAGGCTTTTGTCATGCAGATCATCACCAGCACTCTCTTCTTCATTCCCTCTTCATGCTGTAGGTCTCAGGGTTGCTCACCACCACCCTCTCCAAGGCCAGCCACCACCAGCCATCATACTTCTTCTGCTTGTGCACATGGAGAAGATCATCCTTCCTCCTCTTGACTTCACTCTTGTCCTCCTTCTTGAGTGCATGTTTTTGCTTCCATTCTGCTCTCTCCTCCTCCCAATGGTGCTTCTTTTCTTCTGGATGGTAGGGCAGATGGAGGCAAGATGAGAAGCCAGGGCACTTCTGATCAGGTGTGCAAGTGTGCTGCTGGCCAGGGATGTGTAACTGGTGGCAGTTCTTCTTGCAGTGTTGCACACTTGCCTGTGTCTTGGTGATTGATGGCATTGGGGAAGGGGTGCAGATGATGGTTGTGAGTTGGTGGGAAGTGGTGGAGTGCTGATCTGAGATGGTGAAGGTAGGAAAGGAAGCTGACTGAAGGGGTGAGGGTTGCTGTCTTTGACTTTTGAATGGCCATTCACCATGAGAGTGCCTGCCAGATCTTCAATCTTGTGCCTGGCCGCCCACACATCCACCTCGCTGGGTTCAGCTTCGTCGCTGATCATGGTGTAGACAAAGGATGAAAAAGCGACAGGGTTAGCTCGCCAAGCAAAAAAAACGGTTGGAAAAGTTTCTGGCCGCTTTTAGTGGCTGGAAGGAAGTATGCTTGTGTTCACGGTTTGGCGAAACTAGGAATAACACCACATTCTGTTTGTCCGCTACGATCCTCAACAGTTGGGCAACCTGGCCTACGTACAAAACTCATCTTCTCTGCCGCTGCCTGTCGCTGGCAGCCTCCAGATCTCTCTCTGAGCTACGGTGGTTAATTGCCCGTTGGTTTAATTTCGTTGTCGACTCACGTTTTATTTGGTATGTCCCAATTCCCACTTGCCATCACCACTGGGCTCCTCGTACTCGCTCGCCTTCTTCAATATGAATCGCCACGCTGAGAGTTCGTTGACGCGCAGGAACAACAGCCTGAGGCTGGCTCTGAAGGTGACGCCGGCGTTCACCAGCGCGCGCACGGTGGTCAACTACCCCAAGGACGGCATGACCTCGCTCCTCCTCTCGTCTGCCGGCAGCGCATCGTCTGTCGTCCGAAGATAGCGCCCAGGTGCTGGTGTGGGTGATCAACTTTGGCTTGGCCGGTGCCACCGGTGAACGTCGACATCAAGTGCTGTCTTCGAGATCAACCACTTCACCAACGACCTGACCGACGACCCAGGTGCCACCTCATCGTCATGAAGATGATGTCAATGTTCACTCATGTTATGATCGACGCAGATCTGGCGGTGTTGGTGAGCTGCGCTGGAGAGAGGACGCTGATTGTGGCTGTCGCCGTAGTCGTACCCGTGGCAGTCCTGCTCGTGCTGGCGGCCTCGCTGCTCGTCCACTTCCAGCGCCAGAAGCTCTCTCGGAGCCGTAAACTACAGCATTGCCAGGAAGAGGAATCGGGCAACCAATTTACAAGAATAGTAGTATTTCTTTCCAAACAGAGGGGGATTGGCCAGCCCGGAGGTAACAGCGACCAACGGGCTCGTGTTTTCTCAATCTTGTGTTTTCTTCCGTCTTGTGGTGAGCATGTCGTGGCTGGTAGCACTTGTCGCGCTGACGGTGTGCAGCTTGTCTTTGCCAACGGCCTCCGACGCCAACCCCAATGCCGTCTGCTGGGGTCGCAGTACGTAGGGCTCACTCTCTCTCCTGGGCTCTGGTTCTTTATCGATTAATCGAAAAGATCAGCAACTGGCGGAGTTGCCAACAATGTGAAGATGGAAATAGAGATAATTAAAACTTATTGTTTGTCCGCAGATGAAAATCAACAGTTGGGAAACCTGGCCTACGGAACGGACACATCTTCGCTGCCGCTGGCGGTCGATAGCGGCGACCTCTTCTTCACCAAGATCGCCCCCGCACCCGCTCCTTTCACCTGTGCCTTGAGCTTCGCTGGTTCGTTTTGATTTTTTTCGTTGGTGCATGAAAAACTCCGGCAAATTGGCTTGTTACACTGTTTACCTAATATTTGTATCCGACAACCGCGTAACAGGGCATGTCTATTGCTGGGGCCAGAGTACGACCTTGTCTCCATCCCGCACCAACTAAGGCACTGCGTTGAAAGCTCTTCTGTGGTCGTTTGGCCGTGTGGTGAATCAGATGACTACGAGTGTATCGCGGAGGGGACAATTGCGGAATACGTGATTGACCCCACCCGAAGGGTCAACACGGAAACCTTCATTGATATGTGCACCGGCCCGTCGACGGTCTGTGGCATCCTCTCCAATGGTACTTCCCTTTCCAAGCCCTCCATTTCAACTTTTTAATCATCAAACCATGCCTGGCCTGGCTGTGTGTGGTGTTGTAATCTTATCGTGTTTCTGGCACAGGCTCCGTTGCATGCTGGGGCAATAGTACGTGACGCTCGACACAACACGCATTCCTATACATCACAACGCACAACCAATCATTGCTTGCTCACACTTGCGCGCTTTCTCACAGATGAGGAAGGTGCGCTGGGATCCGGCTTGTCATACTCCGTCCTCTCGACCTCGGCCAGTCCGCGATTGGTCCCGAACATAGGCAGCGCCACTGCAATCTCCTGTGGCGCCCTCTTCAACTGCGCCCTTGATTCTGGTACTCCCACCCCTGCCACTTGTTTTAACTCCGAGCTTTACTCTCATGCCAACTCTCTTTTTTGATGATCATTGCGCAGGCAAGGCATACTGCTGGGGCACAAGTACGACAACGGCATCTCTCGCGCCTGATTTATTGTTTTTCACCTCTTCTCACTTTTCCCTCCCTACCCCCGCGTGATACAGCGACTACGGGCCAACTGGGCAATGGAACGACTGGCAGTGTGGGCAGCCCGGTCCCCGTCCAAGTCCTCACCAATGCCACCAACATTGCCGCGATCAGCACCGGAGTCAATCACGCATGCCTCATCGATTCGGGTACCACTTTGCCGCCACTGCAGCCTTTCAGTATTGAACAATGGCTGCATTCACTCATCATGACGCCAACTCGCTCTCCTCTCCCCAGACAACCGAATGCAGTGCTGGGGCAGTAGTACGTTTGGCTGGCATTTTGCGAGTGACTAGCAACTGACAACATACCAATTCAGACGGTTTTGACCAGTTGGGGATCAACAACAACACGCTTTCCCTTTCTGCGCTGCCGCTGCCTGTGGCTGGGTTCTACAAGCAGGTGTCATGCGGCTACGCCACAACGTGTGCTATTGGCACAGGTACAGCTTCTCCTTCCCCAGCGGGTCCATTTCAATTTCAAAGACCTGATGGGTTTTTGTTGTGATTGTCGGTGTTTGTGGTCATTGCCTGCAGACGACCTGGTCTACTGCTGGGGAGCCTGTACGATTGCTCCTCGCCCTGAGGTAACTTGTATTTTTGGCCAGGAGCTTACGGAATGTGTGGTCAGCTGCGATTCTGGCACCTACAAGTCCTCAGAAAGCCCCGAAGCTCATTGCTGGCTTGCCCAGCTCCATCCAGCACGTCAGCACTGGCCGGGACGTAGCTTGTGCCCAGACATCCAGTACGCATCGTTCCATTGCACCGCTTTCTCTATCTTCGCCCACAATGCCTCACGTATCTCGCCTCTCCAGATGGCACAGTGTACTGCTGGGGCATAGGTTCCACCCCCTCCCACCCACCTGCAACCGCCGAATGATGCCCCGTTCAGCAACATCACCACCATGACCTTCTTACGTTTCATTGCAACCACAGCACTCTATGGCGAGCTTGGCCGCGGCAACGTGTCCTCCGCTTTTCAATCCCCAGCTGCGATTCCCTGTACCCCACCACCTGTCTTTGCCGTTCTGGACACGCATTGAGATTAGCGTCTGACACACTATGTTTGTGCATTCATTCAAGCGCGCACGTTTGCGCAGGGATCGGTCACGGTGCCCAACTCGGGCTATTCTCTGCCCGCCGGTTATTCCGTGTGCGGCCTGTTGGATATGCCGTCGCCGTCGCCGTCGCCGTCGCCTTCGCGATCACCCTCGCCCTCGCCGTCGGCCGTCCCGATCCCCCAGGCGCCCTTCGTGAAGCCCGTCTTCGACGACGTCGTTCCGCAGGTCAAGCTTTTGCCCGTTGGTCCGTCGCTCTGTGCTCTTCGCCCTTGCTGTTCGCGTCGCTTTCGTTCTTTAGGCTAACCTGTGCGTGGGGGGTCATCAATGCAGACCAAGAAGGCGTGGTGGGCAAGCCCGACGACGGCGCTCTGTTCTCGTTCGTTTCTGTCGAAGAGGTGTCGATCAACGGTGTCGTCGAGCGCAGCTTCTCGCTCGCGCAAGGTTCGCACCCCCTGCCCACCCATCGCACTGCTCAGACAACGCTCCTCATGATGTGGTGCTCGGTGGTGGTGGTGATGAAATGTTCAGCTCTGTGGGCGGCAGACAGCTTCGTTCCGGTGGGCGGCGGCGATGCCATCACAGCCGTGGGATACAAGAGCGAGCTTTCCAACAACGTGACCGTGCGCTACAGCTTCTTCTCCTACAACCGCTCCCTCGACGTCGCCGTTGGTCCGTTCTCCCTGCTGGAACCTCGCATTGACATTGTCTGCTTTTCTTACCATCAAGCAATGTGGTGGCGGTGCAGGCGACAACTTTACGTTGCCGATGACGCCCTCATTCCTCAAGTTCTCTCTGGTCATCACCACTTGGCCCTGGCTCGCCCCGTACACTCTCACTTCCTTTATCCCCTTCATTCTTCTTTTCTTAAAGCCCACATCTCAACGGTTGGCGAACACAGGAACAACAGCCTGAAGGTGACGCTCAAGGTGACGCCGGCGTTCACCAGCGAGCGCACGGTGGTCAACTACCCCAAGGACGACATGACCTCTATTCTCCTCTCGTCGTCTGGAAGCGCATCGTCGGTGCTGGTGCGGGTGATCAACTTCGGCTTGGCCGGTGCCGATGGCCGCAAGAGGGTCGGAGTGGAAACCAGCGCCAACGTCACGTCGTCGAGCCTCGTCTTTGCCGTAGACCACTTCGCTGACGACCTGGCCTACGACCCCGGTACGTGCCACACGTCGTGATGACGATTACGTTCATGTGGTGTCGTCAATTTGCTGATTGTTGTTGTTTGCAGACCTGTCGGTGTTGGTGGGACGACGGGGAGAGGATGGTGGAGGCGGCGGCGGAACCGACCTGGCGCTGATCGTGGCCGTCTCGGTGGCGGTGCCCTTGGCCGTCTTGTTCGTGCTGGTGGTCATCGTGGCCTCGCTCCTCATCATCCGCCACCGACAGCAAAGACGCCAAGGCTTGGTGGGCAACAACATCAACTACGACGACAGCGGCAATGGGTCCGACGAGTTGTAAGTTGCTCTTATTATTTATTATTAAAGCCAATCACGCTGTTGTGCTGACGTGGCCTTGAGCAGGTGCCACGTCGGCACTCTTGGGGAACAAGACAACGGCGACAGTGTAAACTTATACCACCGAAATGGAATCGACATCAGATGGGCGGGGTGGGCCAACGTCAACGGCGCCTGGCTCGCCCATGCCGCCCCGACATCAAAATCACACAAATCACCTGCCAAATTTTCAATCCACATCTTTATCGTCGGGTTCGACACCGGCAGCGGCAAAAGCGCATTTTCGTCGATTGCGAACGAGGAGCGAGACACACCGACGGGCCACGACTGGGAGCTACTGGCAGCTTGCCAGCGGGGTGGTGCAGCAAGTCGTGGCAGTCGAGCAGACCGCCATCAAGCAGGCCTTCTACAACACGGTGGCCAACCTGTTCCTCATCCTCACCTTGTGGGCCTTCTTCGTGCTCTACTTCGTCTTCGAACAGTTCGTCAGGCCCCTCCTCTGGGGTATCTCTCCTTCCATCCCCAATCTGATTTTATATTTTTATTTCTTTTTATTTTTATTTATTTAGAATCCATTCGTCGTGTAGCGGTGACAGTCGGCGTCTTCCTCCATCCGCTCAAGCAGGAGGCTATTCGACGCACGAGGTACTTGCCCCCCTTCAAGCAGTTGCATGTGTTGTGCTTACCTCACCGCACGCACACACGCACGCAGGGCTTGGCTGAGCCAGTTGATGCGAACGGACACTCCGTTGCTGCTCGGCCTGCTCACCCTCCCCTTTAAGCTGCTCACCATCACCGAAGAGCTCGTCAAGCAGCGGTACGACGCACACGCGCACACGTACACGTACACGCACACGCACACACAACACAGCACAAAGGCTGATGAAGTTGTTACCTTTGTTGGGAGGCAGGTGGGGTCGCTTTTTCCTCTTCGCCGCGGTGCTGTTCTGCCTGTTCGCCCTCGACACGGTGCAGCAGGTGGTCATCTCCACCTTCCTCTTCCTGCGCGGCGCGCTCTATCTCTTCGTGTGGCTCGTCGAGATCACCGTGCGCTACTTCTTCCTCAACTACGCCTTCATCCGCTCGTGCCTCTACCCGCTCGTCGCGGCCTACGCCCTGGTCGCCTTCCTCTGCTGGCGCTACCACTTCCCCCGACTGCTGCGCGCCGTCAACATCGTCGTGTGGTGCCTGGGCCTGGCCGGCCTGCTGCCCTTTCTGGTCGAGTACCTGGGCATGTGGCCCTTCCTGGTCGGCGCCGCCGCCACCTTCGTCGTGGCCGGCATGGGCTTCGTCGACCGCGGCGGCCTCAGCTGGGAGCGAGTCGTGCGCGAGTACGAGCTCAAGACCACCAAGGCCGACGATGACGAGCCCTCGGACGAGCCCATCAGCGCTGACGAGCCGCCAGGAATCGCCGGCAGTGGAGTCGAGAATGCGAATGCGCGGAGCGCGAGCAGTCGTGATGACGAGGGTGTGACGGCGACCGGGGCGACGACAACGGGGGCGGCGATGGATGCGGAGGACGACGATCGGGTCAGAGACGAAGTCACCTCGGCCGAGATCTGCATGCTCCTCCTCGTCAGTTGCCTTGCCGTCACCTTCTGGTACTCGCGCTTCGCTCTTTCCTTTCTTTCCTTTTTGCTTACCACACGCACACACGCACACGCGCACACACGACCGCACACGCAGGGAGTGGGTGCCATGGCTGTTGTTCTGGGGTTGGATCTTCTCGGTGCTCAAGTGGCTCGTGCGGACCTACATCGACTTTGCCTACATCAAGCAGGTGCTGCTCCTCTTCTTCGTTTACCAGTTCCTCCGGCGCGGCAGCCAACAGCACGCGCCGGCGGTCAAGACGACGATCAAGGCGCCGCCGCCGGCACCGATCGGTGACGACGATATGGCAAAGAAGGGCGACAAGAAGTTGAAGAAGAAGGTGACGCTCAAGTCGCTCGACGAAGAAGACGAAGAAGAAGAGGACCCGTTGAACAGTACGACGGTGATCCACCCGACGGAGGACGATACGGACGAAGACGAGGACCAGATGACCGACGAGGCACGCGGCGCGGTCGGCGACAACGACGACGGCGTTGTCAAGGGCAACACCTCGATGTTCGATATCGACGACGAGCGCGACGACGATGATGAAGCGGGCGACGAGAAGAAAACGGCAACGGAAAAAGTGAGGAAAGAGGAAAAGGAGAAGGAGGAGGAGGAAGAGGAGGAAAGAGACGCCCTGACCGAAGAGTGGACGCCGCACAAAGCGACGACGGTCAGGATCAAGCGATCGCACAGCGCTCCGCTGAGGAAGAAGACCGTCTTCTTCGGAGATCTGGTGGCGTCGCTGCCGCAACCACCCGCCACGCCGTCGGCACCGATGCCCGTCGTCTCGGAGGCCTCTGGCGGCGGCGGCACGCTCGAGTACTCGGTTTCGTTCGACCACCAGCCGCTGGAGCCCTACCACCCGAAGGCGCTCGACCTCACCCGCCGCTTCCCCACCCGACGGCAGGCGACCACCCGAGCAGCCAGCGAAAGAAAAGTCAACGACATCACCGTGAAATCTAGCGTCAAGAAGAAGGACAATGTGGCGAAGGAGAATGAGGCGAAGGAGACGAAGATGGAGAAAGTGGTGATGGAAGAGGAGCCGGAGGAGGAGAATGGCGGGCTGGCGAGCGAGGTGAGCGAGGAGGAGACGACGGAGCTGTTGAACACGTTCGTGCCCTACCCGATCCGCCGCACGGTCTACTTCTTCATGCGCGGCGACAAGCGGGTGGTGGCCTGGCTGCACCAGCAGATGAACGGCATCATGACCCTCATCATCCTCTTCCTGCTCGTCTCGCTCATCCTCTCCCTGCCGGTCTTCTTCGTCGTCAAGTTCTCCGAGGAGACGGCCCTCTTCCGCGACTACGCCACGGAGATGTGGCACTCCACTGGTAAGTTAACCAACCACCACCACTTGCCCGCCTCATCATTCCTGCGCTCAGTTATATCATACTGACCGCGTGCGGTGTGTGCGGTGCGTGTGCGGTGTGGTCGTGACTGGATGCAGGCAAGCACAAGGTGACGCAGCAGCTCAAAGACTTGCAGTCGGACGAGGTGGCCGATGCCGTGCTGCAGTACATCCAACAGTGGCCGGAGGAAGCCCGCATGTGGGCCGAACGCAAAGTACGTGCCTTATTTTTTATGAAGCGTGCGGTGCGTGCGTGGCGCAACTCGTTTTCTGTCGCTCTCTCGCTTAACGTTCATATCGTGCGATATCTTCAACGTGCACAGCTGAAAGACAGTACAGGCTACGACATCCCGCTGTCCGTGCTTCAGGACACGTTCAACCAGTTCTGGGCCAACTACGGGGTGTCGAAGGACGCCTCGTACCACCAGCACCACCAACTCAAGCACGCCAACGCCAACGCCACGCACGTCGCCGCCGCCACTAATACGACCGCGCCCAACGAGCCCAACACCGGCAGCGCCGACAGCAGCAACGCCACAGCCGCCGCAGTTGTCGAAGAGGCCGGCGGCGGCGACAAGCAATCGTTTGCCCTGGGCAACGCCACCGCACACGAGCACTTCCTACTCAAGCTGACGAATCACTGGTGGCCCGGGTTCAGCCAGCGGCACGCGGCGGCCACTGACGGCAGCGGCGGCAATAACGACCATGGCTCGGGCGCTGGGGGGAGGGGCTCAGCAGAGTCGGCGGACCGGCCGACGCGGCTCGACATCCAGGCGCTGTTCAGCCACGAGGGGTTCGTCAATTTCTACCACGCCAACGCCAACATCATCTCCAGCGTGTGGAACTACCTCAAGTTCAACTTCACCCTTCTACTCGGGTGGCTTCTCAACACTCTCTGGTACGCACACGCACACGCACACGCATACGCACACGCACACGCACGCACACACGGCTGACTTACTGGGCTGTGTGACATCAGGTCGACGAGTCAGCGGGTCTTCAACTTTTTGTTTTCGGTCATTCTCTTCTTCACTACTCTGTTCTATCTTCTCGTGGCCTCCGACGACCGCGGCAGCTACATCCCCTTCAAGTGGTTCCTCTTCATCTTTCCCAAGGTATCCTATCCATTCAATGGCACACACACGGCACACACGACACACACGACGGCAGGCACTAGTGTGACTTAAAGTGGACGTGTGTGCGGTGACCCAGGACGGCGGCACGCGTGTGATGGTGCAGGAGGCCATCACGCAGGCCATCAACGAGGTGTTCCTGTCTCTCGTCAAGATCTCCATCTTCCACGCGCTGTGGACCTGGCTCACGCTCACCATCCTGGGCGTGCGCATCGTGTACATATCCACCTTCCTCACACTCCTCTTCGTCATCTTTCCCGTCATCGGTACCCATCTCCCCTCCCACCACCGCACACACACGTCATCGCACACACGACACGCAACACGACACGACACGACACAACACACGCTAAGAAGTCGCGTGGGTGAGCAGGTCCGTACTGGGTGAGTCTGCCGGCGTGCCTGGAGCTGTGGCTGGTTGGCAAGCCGGTCCATGCGGTCGTCCTCTTCTGCCTCCACATGGCCGCCGCGTGGTACATCGACCCCAAGATATACTCCGAGGTACGTACCACCGCGGAGGGAGTGCTGACGTCATCATGAGCCTTAACCAAAAACACTGTCATGGCACGCGGCAGATCAAGATGGGCCACTACTACGTGACGGGCCTGGCCGTGGTGGGCGGCCTCTACTTCCTGGGCCTCGAGGGCGTCATCATCGGCCCTACCGTGCTGTGCGTGCTCCTCTTCCTGTACAAAATCCTCAACAAGCGCCTCAACCCCTGAGCGCCGCAGACAACAACAAGTAATTAGCCCAACACCACACGCAACATCACGCAAGCACACAACCACTACATGAACACCAGCAATGGTTGTTGGCATCGGGTGTGGCCTTGAGGTTTAAATGTTGTTCCACCAATGGTGCCGTGGGAACACTGTCGCCACCAGCAATTGCTGTTGATCATCATCATTGGTTGAGTTTTTTCCCGAACGATTGTTGTTGCAGATAAGTTGCAAACACTGCCGACGGATTTGACGGCCAGCATCCCCACTGGTGAGTCGGAGCAAAATAAGTGGTAGTGCCACACGCCTGATTGGTCCAATTTTATCCACCTCCGCTCGGTAGTGGCACCGCACGCACGCTCTTGTCAGACCACTCAAACCACTGCGTCAACCGCGTTCGCTTCAGATCCTACTATTATACCTCTCCCATGCGGCGCTGTTGTCAAGGCGTCCAGGCGGCGCCACTGCTGGTGCTGCTGGCGGTGATGGTCGTTGGATTCTTTTCTTGCGGTTCGATCGGTGAGCCGGTGTGCGGAGAGCTGGCGAGCAACCAACTCGTGCATCAAATTGACAGCACCGGGCGCAGCAACTCGATTCTGGGCCAGAGATTCGAGGTCACCTACGCCGTGATGGCCTCCAACTTCTCCGCCTTGCTGGGCAGTGCTACTAACGGTACCTCTTCCCTCCTCTCCCTTCGTTCTTTTTTCTTTGGCCACCCACAGGCAGACCTGTCCCCGCTTGTGCAGATGAACACAACATCATTAACTCCAACCCCGCCACTAAATTTTATTTGTCCTTTTTTAACCAATCACAACAGTGACTACGGCCTTACTTTACGACGACGCCAACGGCTCACCGGGCTCGCCCTTGCCCGGTGGCTCGCTCATCCTTCCCAGCTCCGGGGTGGGATCAGGCGGCGCCTTGACCACCTTCTCCGTCAACGGCTCCGGCAGCGGCCAACTGTACCTGGGCCAGGGCTTCTACTGGCTCGTCCTGGCCACCTACAACTCCTCCTCTTCGCTCAGGTGGGAGTACCTCAACCAGGCCGCGTCGCCCAACGCGTCGATGCCAATCGCGCTCCACGGCTCAGTGACCAGGGTCGCCTCTTTCACGGAATGGAACCTCAAAACCACCGCGTTCCGATTCAACGTGTCCGGGTGCGACCTGACTGGCATTCCGTCGGCTACACCGACGCTCTCGCCAAGCTTCTCGCCGACGCCTATCCCCTCGGTCACGCAGACCCCCTCCACCACACCAGCCAGAGCCTCGCCCTCCCGCTCCCCGTCGCCCTCCCGCTCCCCGTCGCGCTCCCCGTCGTCGGGTCTCTCGGTCGCCCCCTTGGCGGCGAATGTCAGCACCAGCTTCGACTCTACAGTCGCCTCCGCCATCAACATGTCCGCCCCGCTCTCGTCTTCAGGTACCTTCCACATTGAGCCAAGTATTGAGAGAAAACAAAATTAAAATGCAGCCCTAATCATCAGGTGAGGAGGTGGCCGTGTCGTCCCAGTTCACTGGCCTGGTGCTTGGCAACAACTCTCTGCCGGCCACTAGTCTCACTGGTACTAGCATTGTTGAGAGATGCTCGTGATTGGTTGGCGCTGATAAAAGAAACCGTCTCTGATTGGGCAGAATTCAGCCGTACCGTGCGTGAGACGGAAGACGAGAGCGAAGAAGGGCTTACGACCTACGTCTACGCCGCGCAGGTGGACGAGGCGACGCGCCTCGAGCAGGCCTTCACCTTCCACGCCACCAATGCCTCGGGCCAGTTCGCCGGCACCACCTTCGACATCGGCGCCGGCTCAGTCAAGTGGTCCGTCAACATCACCAGTACCAACGCCTCGACCTTCGCTGACGGCGTCACGATGAAGTACCGCCTGACCGGCCTGCTCGGGTCGGCGCCCAGCGTCAACTCCAGCGGCGGCTCGCAGTCGTTGTCGTCGTCGTCGGTGGTGCGTCGGGCGCGCAACAAGCCTCAGGCCGGCATGACGACCTATTTCCTGGCCTTCGCGGCCGACCCTTCCGACCCGCGCAAGCTCGCCGGGTGCGCCGTCGAGGTCTTTGACGCGGCCCTCGTCGACGGCGCCGAAGCTGCGGTACCGATCGAACACGACGTGCAAGTGGCGTCGCAGGCCGAGTTCGAGCTGGTGCTGAGTTTCCCGCCGTTCGAGAATTCTCTGGTCTACGACCCAAGCCTCAATCTGGGCGTGCTGCTGGGCGGCGGGGGGCGGGACGAGCTGGACGGCAGTAACGGCGGCGGCGGCGATAATCTGGGGATGATCGTGGCCGTGGCCGTGGCCATTCCGGTGGCCGTCGTCGTGGTGCTGGCGGTCATCGTGGTCGGCACCGCGCTCATCATCCGCAGGAAGAAGCTGGCCAGGGCCAAGTTCAGGAAGAGCGCCCTCGTCGGCCAGAGCGTGTAGAAGGGCATGCGTGTCACGCAATAAACAAACCCTTCCGCGATGCGCGAATCCTCCTTTAGCGCGTTGAGGACAAGTTTCATGGTTCCTCTCGCCATGTTTGTATTTCTTTGTCGAGACCTCCTGAAATCGCTTTTGATCTCACCTGTGGACGACAACCAAGAGAGTTTCAAAGGACGTGACGGAGAAGGTTCTGAAGTCCTTCAAAGCTGACAAGGGCAAAGATGGAATGATCTCGAAGGCAAAGTTCATCCAGATTTGGGTTTTGCTGTGGTGTCCGAGCAAGCTCAAAACCACTTGGAAGCCTTCGATCATGATGGCAATGGGTGCGTGCCGCCTCCAGGAAGGTTGTCCGGCTGAGACCAACAATGATGTCCCTCAACCGCAGGGCTATTGGGCATTGTGGTGGCAGCATCAAAGATCAGCTTGGAAGTCGTAGAACAACCCCTCATTGTTGCAATGTCATTCAAACTCTTCAATGGCAGCTGTCCAAGGATGAGATCAAGAGGATGCTGCTCATGACTTGGTGCTCGCGCAGCACCGCAGCAAGGTGTATGTTGCCTCAGAAGAGCTCAAGGCCACAATCAAGGTGATCGTGGACGACATCTTTGCCAAGGTCGATGAAGACCAGGTTCGTCCCCATGACCAGGACTTCTTGCTTCGTTCTCTGTTCGTGGTGGAAGAATGCTTCGTTCGTGCCTTCAACCTCTGAGCCCACTGTGCCTCTTACCCCTCTTCGCTCCACCCAACTCTTACGGCCCTTCACTCCACTCTCTACGTAGTGACGAACGTGGAGACAAGCTGAGGTTGTGTTTGGTTGCTGATCACGGCCTTGTTGTCACACCGGAACAACGCTCTTCTTACAGGGCGCTCTTACTTTATGAGAATCGACATAGACCAGAACTGTTGGAAACAATGATTTCAACGCGAGCGAATGTAAAGGTCGACGTCGGCGGAGGTGATGGTGGAGGCGACGGAGGACTTGAGGTGGCCGTTGGAGTTGAAGCCCTGGCACGCCGGGTCGAGGAAGCACAGGTACATCAGCTGGCCCACCACCGTCGTCTGGGGCTACGCACACACACACACACACATGACACACACGACACACACGACACACACGACACACACGACACACACGACACACACGACACACCCAATGACGATCTCATAGTAAGTGGTGTTGCCGCGTGAGTGGGGACGCGAGTGGGTGTACCTGGCGGTGGATGTCGTTGGCCGGAGCATCGGTGTTGGGCAGGCGCTGGAAGTGCTGCTTCAACTCCGCGGCGCTCACATAGCGAGCGTACAACGCTTGGGACACCTCCGCTACGTTGCCAGTTGCCTTGCAACACCACAAAAATCAAATTTATGATTAATTCTATTACAACAAATCAAATTCATTTTTTTCTACATTTACATTATTGTTTTTATAATTTGTATTAATATTTATTTAGTTTTGGAGTACCTGAGAAGGGAAAGCGTTGGTCTGATTGTTCCAGCGCTGCTCCCACAGGAGCAGATCTGCGGCGTATTTGTTGGGGTCGATCACGGTGCCCTTCGCTATGGAGTCGAAGAGGTAGGCGACGAAGATCTGCCACCGCGGCCGGTAGTAGGTGCCCACCAGGCCAGCCCACTCCTTGCTAGCGTAGTCGTTGATCTCCCCTGTTGTTGTTGTTGGACGCCCCTGAGTCTCATGCGTGTATGCGTGTGCTTGTGTGCGTGTGCGGTGGTGTGTGCATGTGCGGTGGTTAGGTGTGTACCGTTGGGACCCCATAGCGTGATCTGGTTGCGTGCGTTGAACTCGTAGAGGCGTTTCTCCTCTTCGTTGGTGGCCCACGACCTCGCTCTCTCCGTCCTTGATCAGGCGCACAACGCGACGTGGTCATGCACTCGTTATGAAAGAAAGGCTTGAGAATGGTTGGAATGCTTGGTTTCGTACCACACGCCGAGGAGGTAGTTTTGGTTGGTGGCCAGAACTGTGTCGATGTCGCTCAAGATCTGGATCAGCGCGGCGCCGATGGTCTTGACCTGGTTGAAGGGGTCCCGGCGCGTTGCAACGTAGGCATCGTAGGCGCCGTCCAGCAGGCCATAAGCGTCATGGAACAGATTGTCCAGCACCTGCCCGACAGCCAATCAACATTCAATGATAAAATGTGCAACTAGTTTAACTCCGCAGAGCCAACAGTTATAACATAACTCCGATTGTGGTGTGCACGCACCTGCCTGGTGACGTCGACCAGGTCGTACTCCCAGGGGCCGTTGGGTTGGGCCGGGTTGGGCAGCTCGAGTCGGCTCTGGAGCAGCAGGCCCCAGGCCTCCACGAGCACATCGGGGCTGTAGTGGTGATTCCTGCTCACGTGGCGGTTGGGCACAAACGTGTAGATGCTCCTGAGACGAGGTGCGGGTTAGTTACCACGCAACGTTCACATTGACTGCGACCACAAGGTTGGTTTACCGCATGATCACTGGATTTTGATAGGCTGACTGGTGAAGCAGGCGCCAGGCTTTCTTGGCGCTCGGACTGAGACCACGCAGTGTAGTGTGAGCAGAGGGTTTTAGCTGCGAGTGTAGTGAGATTAGTTACCTGTCAGCGCCGTAGCGGAAGCTCACATAGTGATCCAGCCAATCGTCGACATCCACGTGTGCGGACCTCCAGCCCATTTCTGAACACAGGCAAGCCATCAGCCTGAGTCGCAGCAAGAAGAACGAAGAGCGAAGAACGAAGAACGAAGAAGAAGTGGAATGTGCATACCTGACATCAGTTCGTAGATGACCGGGTTCTGCTCGATGGCCTCCATCGTCAGCCCAGTCCCCACCATGGTGCTGCCCGGCGCCGTGCGAGCGTCCACAGGGGCCGTGGCGATGTGGGTGAGATTGCCGTAAAGGTCGCGGTTGCCTCCAAAATCGTGCAGCATACACCACACGAACGGCTTGCTGCAAATAAGTCAATGTCATTGAATTAAATAATGTTTGAAACATAATAGAATGTGATTAATTGGAAAGAAAAACAACACAAAGGGGGCTAGGAGCACCCAAAGTAGGACTCGGTCTTGCTCCAGATGGGGTCCACCTCGGCGTAGAGGTCCAAGATGAGCATGTTGTCGTTCTTGACGCCGGACAAGTACGCCTGTCGTGTGTGCGGTGCGCGGGACGACTTAGCCGCGTGCGTGCGTGCGTGCGTGCGGCGAGATTACCTTGATGCGGTCGTTGCTCCACCAGACGCTCCGGAAGAGCCAGCCCTGCATGAGCCAAAGCGCCTTGGGGTCCGCAGCGGCCATACCCTGTCGCAACAGGCACAGTTACTCTCCGGCACTCATATAGGTCGGCCTCACGAATCGCGCACCTGGTATACGGCATTGCTCGCAGCAGCCAGGTAGGTGGGGTCGGCCGAAGGAGGGTCGAGCTCGTTGAACGTGTCGGCATTGTAGATGTGATCCGTTCCGTACACACGCGTCTGCGCGTCGATGAAGGCCGTGCTGTTGTAAAAGTAAAATGTTACTAGTTTTATAGATAAAAATATTTGCTTATGAGTAATACAATAATATAAATCTCATAAGTTTCATAATAATGCAACATAAAGAAAAGAGTGGGGTACCCGATCTTCTGGAAGATGGGGTCGAAGGGGTCCAGCAGCCACACGCGGTAGGGATCGGTGAAGTGAGCCCACGTGGGCGACAGCGTGATGTTGGCGTGCGGGTAGACCCGCTTCAGTCCGGCGGCACGTGCCCAGCGAACGCTGACAGCACGTTCTTCATTCCAAACTCCCTTTGCCGCTACACGCCATGGCCACGACGCAGTCAGTCCGTGAACAAACAACTGCTGCCAGCGCTGTGCAGTGGCAGCGTACCTGAACGATCTTCTTCTGGAGCTCCGCTTGGCCTTCGCGCCAGCTCTTGGTGAGCGGCCCACCCCAGCTCTGCACGTTGCCCATTCTGATCATCACCCAATGCGATCACGTGATCACATATCGATCAGCCAATCGGCAGACAGTGATCTTTGCTTTTGTGAAGGCATTGGTGGAATGTGTTGTTGAACATACCGATTCCAGGCGAGGAATGCCGGTCCGGTGTAGAACTCCTCGATCTCGGCGTCGGTGAGCCCGAACGCCTTCCAGACCTCGGTCCACACCAGCTCCTGGCCGGTGAATGCCAAGGGCAGATTGATGCCGTGCAGCGCCATCCTAGCATTCGTCGAAAGTCGACACAGTCAACTTCCGCACACACCGCACACACCGCACACACGGCACACATCGCACAGGCAGCACCGCACGCACGACCTACTACGTACCAATCAATTTCGCGCTCCCAGCGAGTCCAGTTCCACCACGCGGAGGAGTAGGAGACGGTGCACACGTTGAGGTAGTACCGCCACCGCACCGGCGCGTTCATCACCACCGCCGTCGCCACCTGCGGCAGCGGGTCGGGCAGCACCTGCGGCACGTAACCAGCGGCCATTCACTCAATCAACCAATTGAGCGTACCGCGGACGCCGACCGGCCAAGCCCAGTCGGTGCGTGGTGGTGCGTACCAGGTTGTCGCCGGTGCCGTTCTCGCCCCAGGTGACGGAGGCATTGCAGTAGTACTTGAGGTACCAGTAGAGACCCGACGCCAGCGCCACCCCACTACTGCCGCGCACCGGCACCACAACCCTCCTGTCCAACCAGCAGTGAGCTTAATAAAATTTAATCTTAAATCTTTATTTTAATTGCTAATTTAATTATCTTATTGGCGTCATCTAATACTTCTGCAGATTAGGTTGGGGTACCCATTGACGGTGTGGGTGGGGAGCAGCTGGAAGAGGTCGTTGCCCGAGTGGGGCTGGGGCGGCACCAGCCCAAAGTCGAACGAGTCCACGTGCTGCGCACCCAAAAGCCGCCCCACTAGTCCACGCACCGCTTCCACCTGCGGGTCGACCACAGAGGTCGCACCAGTGGTGCCGGCCCATGCGGCAACCACCAGGAGCGCGAGGATGGCCGCGGTGCGCACACTCACTGCAAAGCCGCGTCTCGCCATGTCTTCTGTGGTTGTGCGCACTTGGCTTTGCCCGAATTTATTTTATTCGGTAATTTTTTGAATTTCAACTATTTATTTTTATCTTCTTTTTGATAAATGGCGAAAGAGGTGAAGGGTTACAACTGTTCGTCAGGGCCGCTGCCGTCGTAGTTGACACCGCCGAGCGCACTCCTTTGGCGGTTTTTCCTGTAGCGGATGATGAGGAGCGAGGCCACGATGACCGCCAGCACGAACAAGACGGCCAAGGGCACCGCCACCGAGACGGCCACGATCAGCGCCAGGTCGGTTCCGCCGCCACCGTCCTCTCCCCGTCGTCCCACCAACACCGACAGATCTGTGCCGTCACACGTCAGCTGAACCCAACCAAAGTAATCACGAGGCGAGCTGTTGTACCGGGGTCGTAGGCCAGGTCGTCGGCGAAGTGGTCTACGGCGAAGACGAGGCTCGACGAGGTGACGTTGGCGCTGGTTTCCACTCCGACCCTCTCGCGGCCATCGGCACCGGCCAAGCCGAAGTTGATCACCCGCACCAGCACCGACGATGCGCTGCTGGCAGACGAGAGGAGAAGGGAGGTCATGTCGTCCTTGGGGTAGTTGACCACCGTGCGCTCGCTGGTGAACGCCGGCGCCACCTTGAGCGTCACCCTCAGGCTGTTGTTCCTGTGTTACATTTGCCAACCGTTGAAATGAGAATTGAACTGTGATGAAAAGAACGAGGAAGAGGGCGCAGTGTACGGGGCGAGCCAGGGCCAAGTGGTGATGACGAGAGAAAACTTGAGGAACGAGGGTGTCATCGGCAACGTGAAGTTGTCGCCTGTACTCCACCGCGTCGCTTGGCTGGTCAGTAATGACGAGTGGTGCTTTTGCTTTCAGGGCTGGGAGAACGGACCAACGGCGACGTCGAGGGAGCGGTTGTAGGAGAAGAAGCTGTAGCGCACGGTCACGTTGTTGGAAAGTTCGCTCTTGTATCCCACGGCCGTGGTTGCATCGCCCCCGCCCACCGGAACGAAGCTGTCCGCCACCCAGAGCGCTGGCGTGGTGGTTGTGATTGCGTTGTTGGAGCATCGCACATGAGCTTTGATGTTGGAAGCGTGTCCTGCTCAAGTGGGTGGGCAGGGGGTGCGGGAACCTTGCACGAGCGAGAAGCTTCGCTCAACGCCATTGGTCGACACCTCTTCGACAGAAACGAACGAGAACAGAGCGCCGTCATCGGGCTTGCCCACCACGCCCTCTTGGTCTGCGATCGGTTACCCTCATTCACTGGTGAGTGCAAAGAACGAAAGCGACAGAGCGAACAGAAAAAGGGCGCGAAAAGCAAAGAGCGACGGACCAACGGGCAGAAGCTTGACTTGCGGAACGACGTCGTCGAAGACGGGCTTCACGAAGGGCGCCTGGGGGATGGGCACGGCCGACGGCGAGGGTGAGGGCGAGGGCGCGACCAGCAGGCCGCACAGAGAATTGCCCGACTGGGGCACCACGACCGATCCCTGCACAAACGTGCGCGCTTGAAGGCACCACCAACATGTTGATGTGTGTCAGAAGCCAACCCCCACCAGAGGGTGGTGCTAAGGCAAGAGGGTGGTGGCGGGTACAGGCAATTGCAGCGGGAGATTGATAGACCGAGGACACGATGCCGCGGCCAAGCTCGCCATAGAGTGCTGCGGTTGCAATGAAACGTGAGAAGGTTGTGATGACGATGATGATGTTGGAAGAAATGTTATTCGGTGGTTGCAGGGTGGTAGATAGGTGAGGAACCTGTGCCCCAGCAGTACTCGGTGCCACCTGGTGTGTCAAGCAATGTGGAATGTGAGATCGTCGTTTGCCAGTCATGCGTGCAACCGTGCGTACCAGTTGTCTGGGCGCAAGCCACGTCCTGGCCGGTGTTAGTGTGCTGGACGGAGCCGGGCAAGCCATCAATGAGCACCGGGGCGGCCGCAGGGCTTTCAGGTCCCAGGATTTCAGCTGCCCACACGTCGGCAATCAAGACTCTGTCAGCCCAACCAGAAAAAAATGACATATAAACGAAGGAGGCAATCAATCATACAGGATCCCCAGCAGTAGACCTTGTCGTCTGCAGTAGGACAGAACGACGCGGCAATTAATGTTATTGATCTTACAAGCATATTAACTGATTGGTGGGTGGGGGGGTTACTTGTGCCAATGGCACACGTAGAAGAGGAGCCACACGACACCTGCTTGTAGAGCCCGGCCACACTGTGCTGCGGAAACGCAGAAAACGGGAGTGTGGTGTTGTTGATCCCCAACTTGCCTCCAGAATCTGAATAATATTGATCATTTAGGGTCAGTGTGGTGTCCCACACTCCGCCGCCGGGCCAACCACTTCCCAAGGGGCGAATTGCCAGGGCAACGCACTACTGCCCCAGCAGACCAATACGTTGTCTGCCGCGAAGAAAGAAGGGTTGAGTTCAGCAACATTCGACCCTGTGTGCGTGGTGGGGCGGCGGAGTACCCGAGTAGATGAGGCAGGCGTGGTTGTTTCCGGTGCTGAGCGCAATGATGGGCAGAGCGCTGGAGGCCACTTGCACTGGCGTAATGCTGCTCACAACGCCAGATCCACCGTTCCCCAATTGGCCCACAATTCCTGCGCGGCCACAGACAGTGAGTGGACAAAAGAAGGGGGAACACCCCAAGAAAAACGCGTACCAGCGCCCCAGCAGTATGCACGGCCTGTACCAGAGCCGTGCGTGTGCGTGTGCGGTGAGTGCGGTGAGTGCGGTGAGTGCGGTGAGTGAGTTAGGAGTCATGTTAGGAGTTAAAAACGCAGTGATGAGTAGTGTACCGGATTTGAGGAGAGCACAGTTGAAGAGGGCGCCGCAGAAGATTGCCGACGCGTTGGTGAGGTTGGAGACCAGTCGCGGAGTGGCGGTGGACGTGAGATTGGCGTAGGCCAAGCCACACCCCAGCGCACCCTGTTCATCTGCGCCCAACAAAAACACTCTTTCTGTCAGCAGGCAGCAGGTTTTCACGTCTGACAAGCCAACAGCAACGTACTGCTGCCCCAGCATGCAACGGAACCTGGTTCACAACACCGCACGCACGCACACACAAACACACACACGCACGCACAGACCACACACAAAGTCATGCCGGTCGGTTTGGCCGCGGAGGGGGGACAGAAGAGGTACCATTGGAGAGGACGCCGCAGCTGGTCCACATGCCGGAGCAGAGATCAGTGAAGATCTCCGTGCTCGCCTTTCGGTCGGGGTCGATGGGGTAGTCCTGCCCAGAGGTGGCCACGCCTTCACCAAGACTCTGGAAGGAATCTTCACCACGACACCACGACACGACACGCGCCACAAAGCACCAAGCCACAGATCAGGTCAAGGCCTTTGTTGTGGGTCAACTTCACGCATCTCTGTGGCGCGGGACGGTGATCGTACTCGCGCCCCAGCAATAGACATGCCCTGTGTAGAAATTTTTCTGGCCTGGTCAGCAAAGTGATCTCTCACGAACGTTGGTTTCGGCATTTAGAGGCAACGAACCAGCGTCGCTCAAGGCACAGGTGAAGGGGTTGGAGGCAGGAGTGATCTTTGTGAAGTGGAGGTCGCCGGCATGGACCGTCAGCGGCAGCGAAGATGTGTTCTGTCCGGTGGCCTGGATGCCCAACTGTTGATGATTATCTGCGGAGTAAAGAATGAACGCGTTGGAGGAGTTTGGTTAAGATGTTAGAATCGAAGTAATCACGGTTTCGCAGCCCCGGGGCGGCCTACGTACTGAGACCCCAGCAGGCGGCATTGGGGTTTGCTCCGGAGACAAGCGGCGAAGACCAGCCGCTCCATGCCACCAGCGCGAAAACAAGCGCCACCAACCACCGACACAACATTACCACAGATAAGAAAGACAAGTCAAACTAAGAGTGGGCTTGGCGAGAGTCCGGTGCAGCATAACGAAAGGGTACGCCCGGATTGGTCCACCCTTTGCTTGGTATGCCGAATGCGTTCCAGGAAGAAAGCGTAACGCGCTTCACTTCATCTCGCCTTTGAGGAGATATGTGCGGAATCAGAATCGCCAATGGTAAAGGAGTGATCGTTGCATCAGAGCCGGAAGTATTATTTTATTGGGCAAACTGCCACAACGCTAATTCTTGATCTACGCCCACGAGGAACTCCTCATTAAAGTCCACCACCCACGAGTGCGCATAGGTACCCAACAGTTGGCGCCATCTGCCCAAGGCCAAAGGTTTGAGTGCACTTAAACCTGAGTGAGCGCATGGTGAGGGCCTGGTAAAGCAGTACCTCTTTGTCATCATTGTGTTGTAGATGTGGATCCCCTCCTCACAACCTGTTGCAACAACCATCTTGGTATGGTCCCATTTCAGATCGCGCACTACCAAGAAGAAGTAAGTTTGGTGAAGATCAAAGAAAGCAGAAGGAAGTGCACTACCCCTGGTACCAACAGGAACAGAGGCCTGCTGTTGTCCCTGCCAGTTCCAATAGCGCACAGTCCCATCCAGTCCCCCACTGTAAATACCAATAAAAATGTGTAAGTAAATAAAGTAGTATGTTCCCCACATTTACAACATACAACTCACCTGACAATCATATTGCTGTCGCTCTGGCAGCAAGTAACGTGGCTGGTGTGTCCTTTGAGCACACGCACACTGTGACAGGTGCGAAGGTCCCAAATCTGTGGGCGATGCATCGCATTCCAGTCAGTTTCATTTTGGTGATGAAATCCATAGGAGAGGTGTACGATACTCGTAGTTGGCGGTCGTCAGAGCCCGAGACCAGGCAGTTATTATCTTGGAACTGGACACACGCCACGACATCCGCATGACCAGCCAAGGCGTGCATACGCTGTCCCACATTTGCATCCCACACTATGGCACACAGTCAGCTATGCGTGGTGGTGCGTGTGCGGTGTGTGTGTGTGTGTGTGCGGTGCGTGCCTTGGATGGTCGAATCAACGAATCCTGCGGCCACTTGATGAGAGGAGTAGTCCAAGCTCCAAATGCCGCTGGAATGCGGAATGAACGCGAGAGTCAGAAGCAAGCGCAATGGTCTCAGCCGAAGGCGCGCACCTTTGGCCGGTGAGGAATCGCGCGACCGAATGCTCGCTCGCTTTCTCGGCCTCGAGATTCCACACCTGAATCACACAATCGCCGCCACCGCTCAGGAGGCGACAGTCGTCCTGCAGCACTTTCACTGTTTACACATAAATGGACCGTCACCTTTATTATTATTATTTATTATTTATTAGTTTTTATATTTATTATTCTTATTATTACTCTCCATGTTGATCTTATTGCGAGCCGAAAAGTTATTTGTTTTATGTGTTACTAAAAAGTAAGAGTGTGTGGAGGACATACCAGCTCTCACGAAAGACGTGTGGCCCATCAGCGTTTTGCGCCACTTTCGTCGCTTCACGTCCCAGATGCCTATCTGCCCGCTCTGGACGGTGCACAGTGCAGTGAGGCCCTGGCCACGGCAAGTGCAGAGATCGGCGAGTTTGTGCGGTCGCATGTGTGGAGTGCACGTACCTGCGCGCCGGTGGCGGCCAGTGTGGCGCCCACGCTGACGCACCAGGTGGTGTCATCGTGGCTCCCTGATGTACATGGGGAGGGTAGAGTGAGTAGTCGAACGTCACTTGGCCACAAGTGGGTACCCACAGGGTGGTAAAACACTGCAAACCTTTGACCGAATGTGATGTGTGGCTGCCATTGCGCCATCGTCGCTCCAGCGTCCGATTTCGCTTGAACCTCTGCTTCCACGACGTCGTCCGTTCTCTGCCGCCACCACCACCTTATACATCGGAGGCACCACGGTGCTACGTGAACGAGAGCTGGCACGCGTAGAGCTGCAGAAGACAACTGTACCGCGGGCTAAGTGTCGAGCACGAGAGCCACCGGCAGTGGGATGGTAGTAGCGCTGCAGATAGCGCTGCCGCCACAGAGAGTCCGCGTTTGCCACCACCCGCAGCGATCGGCACACGCCACCTGTGCGGGAACCCGCCAACCAAAAGATGATTAGATGAAGGAAAGAAGTTGAAATAAAAAGATTGGGGGCTGGGCGCACTCATGCGGGAGAGGTCGGCCAGCGGCAGCAGCTGGCAGATGTGGAAGAGCAGCTCCGCCGGAAGCCTGGTCAGGTGGGCATCTTCGTCCATCAAGGCAAACAATTTTGTTTCTTTTCCTCCTCCATTTTCCCTCTTTCTTCTGTCGCGCGTGTGCGTGTGCGTGTGCGTGTGCGTGTGCGTGTGCGTGTGCGGTGATGTTGTGTCGTGCTCTAGCTGAGAATGAATAAAGAGAAAACGTTTTATTTCTTCCTCTTGCTGCTTCTGCGACGTCGCGTCGGTGTTTGTTGGGTGTATGTACACTCGTGTGATGCCGTTGTCGATGATGGATTGCCTTCTTCCACACCACGACCGGCGCGGTGGTGGCGACGCTATGTGATGTGACGGTGTTGATGCCGATGACGATGGGCAGAGTGAGATCTCGACGTTCAGTCAAAGGAGAGGCGAGGCCGCTTGGGCGGCGATCCAGAGGTGGTGCTCTTGGGTGGCGCGCCGTTGAGTTGGAGCGTGGTGAGCGCGGGCCGCGAGTGCTTCGCGCCGGTCATCTGCGCTCCGGCCTTCTTGCCCGCCGACGCTGAGACCTTTTTGTCCATCGCAAAAGGCGTTCCGACCCTGCATGCGTGCGTACGACTCATTCTGGTGAGCCCAGGCACACTTTGGCCTCGTTGCGATGGCTACTTGATCAGTGAAGGGGAGGGGGAGCGGTACCGTGGGGTGAGGGCTGACCTGGCGGAGGGCGCCTGGCCAGACCGGGCAGGCGTGAATGGCTTCTTCATGGCCGAAGCGCCACGGCCGGGCGTGGTTCCCTGACAGAACGTGGCTGCACAAAAGAAATGTATCTTAGATACAACCGGTCGCGTGTGCGTGTGCGCCGATAGATGCGCGGGTCGCGGTGCGCGTACCATTCAGGTCCGTCTTGACGCCAGCCCTGGGAGTGCGCGGAGGCGCGATCTTGCTCGGGGTCGACGGCTGGATCGAGGACTGGTTGCTGGGCAGGTCTAAGCCAGAAGAGGGGAGGGAAGTAAGACTGCTGGACAGAGGCCAGTCGGGAGGGGAAGGGGCCTGGGCTTACCTCGCACGTCGCGCTCGCCGAGAGGCTTCCTCTTCTTGATCTTGCTGTTGGTGGTCGCGAGCTGCAGCTGCAGCATCTCCAGGTATGACTTGCCCTCATACATAAAGACCTTGCCCGACTCGGTCTCCCAATCGCCCAGACGACGCACGATCTCCGCTTCGATCTGCGGCAGCTTCTTGTCGAGAAGCTTCCTCATCTTCTCTTCGCGGAGGAGCCTGCCCGGGTCGCGCTCCTGCACAAATGTTCGACGGCCGTGAGGGTTGAAGCCTTCGCGAATTGCAGGCAAGGAGCACGACAACAACACGGTAAGCCGTACCTTGGACAGCAATCGCTTCGGGTCGGACGTTTCCCGCTCGAAGCTGGTCTTCTCCTTCAAGATCTTTTCCCGGTCGTGAATGAGCCGAAGAATCGGGTCTAGGTCGGTGGTAGAGACAAAACCGTGCGATGGTGTGAGCCGCGCGTAATCAATCTACGAGAGGCCGGGACACAAACGCTGGTGCATGTTTTGGCGCGTACCAAGAGTGCTGAGCAGCTGTTCGTTCTTTTCGATTTCCTCTTGGTGTGCCGTCAGGAGCGCTTCGGTGAAAGCGTCAGAGGCGTAGGCCGTGAAATTGATCTGGAGAGAGGGAGAGGTGGCAGCACTTGAAAGTGAGCCACCAACCACGAGCCTCGCATGTGGGAGTCAGATATACCCTCTCTTCCTTGGAGACGTGCAGTCTGTCCCACTGCTGGAGGAGCGTGACACGGGCCTCTTCAATCAGTATCTTCAGCGAGTCCCTGTACAGCGACTCGAGGCGTTCAAGCTCCTTCTTGCACTGAAAGCGGCGTGTCAGCACGAAGAATGATCTCATTGTGACAGTGATGTGGGAGGGCAGTGCGACGTACACTCCTGATGGCGCTGGGACCCAGAGTCTGGGTCGATCGCTCGAAAAACTCTTCGCGCTCGTCGGTCGGGACCATCAACTTGTCCCACAGCTTGTTGATCTTCGTGCCGTAGTCTCTGATCTTGGACTCCCTCTTCTCTTTCTCAATTAGAAGCTTCTCCAGCCTGAGGCGATCGGCAAGCCAGTGTCGCGGTGGTGAGAATTGCCCATGAAGCGCACGCGTCTGCCGACAGTGACGGTGTAAAAGCCTTGGTGTGGAGGTGCATACCGTGCATCGAGGGTCATCAACACTTCATTCGAATGGCCGATGTTGCCCGCGAGAACGGCTTCATCAAAGTCGTCGGCAGGCGCCGCCTCGAGCAGGCTCCAGAGGTCGATCAGCTTGACCACGAGCGCGTTCACCTTATCCACACGTTCTCTCTGAATCGGAGGACGTGTGAGGCATGACAAAAGAGAGTCTTGTGGAAGGCTGAGAAGTGCGCACCCTGAGCACTTGTGCTTCGGCAATGAGCCGCTCGTAGTCGGCGATACGCTCCAGGGTGAGGACGTCACTGCGGGGCTTGGCGAACTTAGCCAGCTCTGAGTCCTCGTCGGGCGAGATGCCAAGATCTTCCCAGATTGTCTGCAAAGCGTCATGTAGTTCTTCAATCGTGTGGGCTCGCGCCTCCACTTTCTGTGAGGATGAATGAATGTGATTAATCACATCAAGATCTTTACGCTTCGCTAAGAAATCGTTGCGTACCTCTCGCAAAGATCGAATATGACCCTGCAGTTGGGCGAGCAACGTGCGCAAGGGGAGCTCGGCGAGTTCAGCAGCCTGAGACACAAAGAAGGTGAGGATGCAAATAACTGAAGAAATGCGTTGTAGAAAGAAGGGCCAGTACAAGCTCCACTTCGCCATCGTCAAGCTGCTTCGCAAGTTTCTTGATTTGGTCGATGCTGTGGGTGACGTCAAGCATCATCTGTGCTTTCTCCTCCTTCAAACTCTCCACCTTGTTTGTGCACAACTTTGTAATGGATCCTACGAATCCGTTCACCTCCTTTATCTGATCCTCCTCTGTGTAGCCGATGTCGGCCCACATTTGCTGGAAGTCCTTCAACGCTCCTTCAATCACATCAAAGATCTCCATCTTCGGCTTAGGAATCCGCACTGATGCCCTGCAGCTCTTGTACCAATCAACCAACGCTCCCCCTTGTCCCGCCCTTGCAAACTGCCGTTACAACCCGATTTCGCGCCAAAACGGTTTCGCGCCTTTTTATTTCTGTTTTTCTTCTTCGTTTTTCGCAAGCAAATTTGTATTTTTCGCTAAATTAAAATACAAATAAAAATAACAGGAGGCCCTCACTCAGTACGTCTTCTGCTTGTCGTCCTTGGCCCGGTGCTTCTTCTCCTTCTTTTCCTTCTTCTCTTTTTTCTCCTTCTTCTCCTTCTTCTCCTTCTTGTTGCTCTTGGCGTCGTCGGACGACACCTCCTTCTCCTTGCCGTGTCGCACCTTGACGTCGTCCGAGTCGGACGAGAGCGCGGGTTCGACGTACTCGTCCTTGACCTGACGCAGGATGGTAGACGAGAACTCCTTGTAGGACTCCTCGCCCTCTTCCTCTTCCTCGGCCTCCTCCTGCCTGTTCCCGCTCGGCAGAATTACCTGCGCACACGCGACACACGACACGACACACGGACGTCAGAAACCGCAAGAAGAGGGCATACCGCAGGCGCGCGCGTTGGAAGGCCGAGCGCACCTTGAAGAGTTCTGTGTATTGGCTGCCACCGCAGGCGGCCTTGAGGTCGAGCGGTTCCCGCAGAGAGCTCACGAGCAGGGAGAGGTTGAGGAAGAACTTCTTGTTCTCGAGCGTGAACCCCTTGCCGGGAACGAACTGCATACGCGAATGCAGCACCTTGCCTGTAGAGCCGAAAACAGAAATACACGCATGGCGGTCAACAGCTGGCCGAAGCAGTGCGACCAAAGTGTCAAGGGGTTCATTCAGTACCAGGCTTGAGGACTCGCGAGATGGTGTAGGAGCCGGGCGTCGTCAAGCTGAAGCGCACGAGGAAAGTGCCGGCGGGCATGTTCGACAATCGCCGCTTGGCTTCGTCGGAGTCGATGGGACCGTGGAACCACCTGAACAAACGGTAAAGACACCACGACGCTCGTGGTCAGGTTCGAAGAAAAGAGTAATAGTCGTTGTGGGAGAGGGTACGGGTAGCGCAGCATGGCTCGTATGGTGCTGAGTATGGAGTCGTCTCTCTTGAGCGGGCCGAACCACTTGAGCATGTCCCCGAACCAGTTGATCTCCACCGTAAACTCATCTCCCTCCTGTCGTGCTGCGCGAGCGTGATGGTAAACAGTGTCCGCGTATGAGTGCCACCGTGTGTCGTGCTGGGAGAAGGAATGAGTCGAGCCTGTATGTACCTGCAACGGCCTTGAGGCACCGGTAGGCAATGACGGCCTCGACATCCTCCTCGGTGAGCGGGTCGGTGAGCTCTTCCTCGATGGCACTGCCCGAACGCGTCTTCGACGGCTTCTCCTCGCTACGGGGCGATTTCACGGTCTTGATTGAAGCCGAGCGGCTGCCGTAGAGCGAGGAGGCGCCTCGGCCGGTGGCCTTCACGTGGAGCGTGTTCAGCAGCTTGTAGATCGAACCCGACGTAGAACGGCTCGCCAGATGCGTGAGACCAAGGAAAGAATAGAACGCGTTGACGAACGACTCCCTGTCCAGGCACAACACAGTGACCCGGCGCACACCAATCCAATCAATACCAACTCGTTCACTGCTACTGGTGGTCAGGACGTGGCGCGAGCGTACCAGGGGATGCGGTATTGGGCCAGGAAGTTGGACGACCAGAACTTACGGCCGTGCTTGTCCTCGATGGCGCACTGGATGATGACCTTGAGCATTCTCTGCGTGGGCGGGAGCGATGGACGGTGAGACGAACGCGCACATACACCCGCGTGCACAGTACAGTCTGTGGCAAGAGCCTTACCTCGGCGACTTCGCCAAAGTTTGGTCGCTTGGCGGGGTCCTGGTGCCAGCAGGCTTGCATGACCTTCCTCAGTTTAGAGGGGCAATCCTTGGGCATCTGCGGGCGCGCACCCTGTTCCGCCACCGCCTTCACGAACTCGTCGTAGTGCCTTCATCACGCACGACGCACAGGGGGGAGTACATGCGTGAGATAGGCTGATTTTACGAGATAGATGACCAATCAGAGGCAAGTACTTACTTGAATTCCTGGAACGGGTCTTCCCGCATCACAATCTCCCACATGCAAATGCCGAAAGCATAGACATCTGCGCGCCATTCACCGTAATCCAGCCAGACGCGTGAGTTGGGCACACTCCTTGATAGAGAGCAGACGCAGAAGACCCTGTACCTGCTTTCTCGTTGAATGGCTTCCCCAGCATTACCTCGGGAGCCATGTAGAGCGGAGTGCCCACTGCTCCCTTCTTCGAGTCTCTCAGATGGTGCACGTGTCGCGGTTTGAGTTGCGCCAGACCTGGTGCCAAGGAGAGATGAGCTATTGAAGGGAAAAGGCGCAGACAGACGGCGACGTACCGAAGTCAGACACTTTGATCTCGTACCAGTTGCCCCTCTTCCTGTACAGTACATTGCCGAGCTTCAAATCTCTAAGCGGTGAGTGAGCAAGTTAGTCCTGAAGGCCACGCCAAACATCGATGACCTGCAAAAGAAAAGTAAAAAAAAAAGTACGAACCTGTGGATGATGGCCGGCTTTGTGTTGTGCAGCCAGTTCATGCCCAGGGCTATGTCCCTCACCATGCACATGCGTCTGGATGTGGAAAACATGCGGGAAGGAGCGACATCAGCACACTCGAGCAATACACGCCCCCAAACAAGCTAAGCTTGCGGCTCCTGAACTCCAACGTACGTGTAGAGGCTGAGCAGCTTGTCGGTATCGTGGATCAAGCCTTCAAGGTCGCCGTCAAGTTTCTGCACAAGAGGCCACGCACCTGTTGAACAATAGGGCCAGCGAAGAGAGCGAGAGGGAGTGGGCTCGCGTACCTCGGTGACGATCCTGAAGTCGCCCTTTCGCATGCAGGCGCCCAACAACTGCACGATGTTGGGGTGTGGGCACGTCCTATGCGATGTGCAGCAGCGACGCATAAGAACGGAACGGGGAGAACGCTTTGGCTGGCACTACGGCAATATTGAAGGGAAGGAAGATGGCGCACCTCCATATTTCTACCTCCTCCACGAGAGCGGCGAGATCGTCGTCATCAATGTCCTGCCTTTTGGGTACCTTGATGGCGACATCACTACCGTACACCGTGCCACTGTAGACTTTGCCGAAACTGTGGAACACGAGACCCATCCAAATACATTGCAGAAATGAGAAAATCACGAATGAATTTAAAGCATGGTGGATGGATCATGGGAGGGAGAGCAGACGGAACCTCCCAGAACCGAGTTCCTGCTTGAGCGTGATGTCCCTTGGATCGATGTCGAAAGACATGCTAGGTCCGTATCGAAAAAATCAAAAGGATGCGAATTATTTTGAACAATTGATCAAAATAATTGCCAATGCTGAATCAGTCAAGATCGGATCCTATGCGCTCTCGTTCCTCTCTTTTTCTATTGTACTCGAGGACTTCTTGGCGATTCTCAAGTGTCGGGAATCCAATCTACCACCGCTACGCGACCGCCAGTGCGATGCCGTAGTACTGCGCGACCGAAGAATAGCTGTGGCAGCACCCGGATTCCTCCCGGCTCTCGAATTCCCAATTTCACCGAATTCTTTTTTCGCCCATTGGTGCAAATGATAGAATGCAACCAACCCACCAACAGCAAAGGGCACACACATTTCCGCGGGGGGGCATCATGAACCCCAGTCCTTCATGAGATCCTCCATCAGGGCGGATCGGGTCATCTCGAGCTTCCTGGCGAACACGGGCGCGTGTAGTGCCGCTCGCTGACCGTTCACCACTGCAGATCAATCATAGAAGAACGAAGAGAGATCAGGTTCTCATCATTCTTCTGATGATTGTGGTTGATCATAGCGGCAAACATACGTTTGGTCAGAAGGAAATCGATGAACTTGTCGTCGAGCGCGAAGTGGTAGCCTCGAGGAATGGTGGCGCCGTAGGGTCGCACTCCCTCCCGCGATGCAAACTCGACTCTGGTCGGGGGGACAACAATGGTGAGTGAGACCTGGAGGGCAGAGCAGGGTGTGTTGGGACTGAGCCGGAGTGCGAACCTCATCCGCGGGGCTGAGCCAGGGCCGTCGGAGAAGATGATCTCGTCTGTCACTTCGTCGCGATCGACGGACACGACAGCGTAGATGTCTACGATGGAAGGCTAACGTTAGCGATTGCCATCACCATCATCACCGTCACCGTAACCGTCATAATGCAGAAGAGAGGCGAGAATGGCGGGCGCGTCGTACGATTGAACTTGGTCTTGATCATTGACGGAGTAAAGGTGCCGCTGTCAAGGAAGATGATCACAACGATGTCGTTACCCAAGTGCCGCTTGCGCTCGACCTGAAGCCACAATGCCAGATGTTATGGTTTGACACTCACCGCGCGCACTGCGACACACACACACACAACACACACACACGCACACACACAACTAGAACGTGTACGTGTTGGGTGTCGTCAGGATAGAATGGAAGCAGCGGAGCCACGTGGAACATGATTTCCAGGTCTCTGAACTTCCTGAACACCGACTGCGTCCCCGTCGAATCCCCTACATCGATTCAACGTGGATCGACATGCGAGCAAACATGTCAGCTATGAAGAACACGTGCGAAAAGAGAAAGAACGAAAAAGAAAGATAGCGATGGCGTACGTTTGACGTCGAGTCCGCCGGCATACTGGGTCCAGCCCTTGAGTGTGATCCTGTCTCCCAGGAGGTGCAAAAATTGCTGAAATTCAGGGCTCGTCTCCACTGTGATTCCGCACAGCAGATCGTTAGTCGTGTGTGTGCGCGCGCGCCCGTGTGTGAGTGTGTGTGTGTGCGCGTGCGCGCGCGTGTGCGGTGGTGCGTGTGTGTGTCGCGCGAGGGTGTGTGTTTACCGTTTGCGAACATCTCGTTTTCGCTCTGGCCCTCCCTGCCGTATAGTACACCGAATTTGTATTCGTCATGATCCAGGAACGCCTTCTCCAACTTGACCATGTCCTCCTGTGTAACGTCGAAGCACCACGTCAATTCTCGCACGCACCAGCACACACGACACGCACCACTGCACGCGCGCGCGCACACACACACCACCGCACACACGCACGACACACCCTGGGCGGAAGCGAAAAACGAAAACGTACAGGGAAGGAGGACGGTTTGACGGGCTTGAGTTTGAGGTCGTGGATCTCGGGGCATATGCCCTGCGAGCCGCATGCGATCTGGATGGCCCGATGCTTCTCGGCCTTGCTCGTGCCGCTGCGGATGAAGAACTGCTGGGCGCCCTTCTTGGTCTGCAGGAGCACGCGCCACGTGTGCGGCGCCGCCCCATTGGCCTGTCGGGACTTGCCTGATATGGAGAATATCTCCGATTTGGTCTTCCATCCGCCCAGCTTGAATGCGTCCTTCCCCAGGTTGTGCAACAGACTCGACGACGACGTTGATGATGGTGACGACGGGTCTTCTTTGATGATGATGTCTGCCTTGATGTTGGCGTTGCTCGACTTGCGAGGCCTTCAGACCAGCCTACATCAGAAGCGAGCTCTAGGAAGGGAGAGGGGGGGTGGAGGGGAATGCGTACAGAAGAATGGCCGAGCGCCGCTTGGCCTGCTTGGTGAGGTTGCTGCTGCCGCTGTTGGACGCGGCTGCGGGGGTGGAGTCGGTGGTGTCGAGGGGGATGTTGCCGAGGGACGAGGGCGAGTTCTCGCGCGACAGCACCGGGCTCGACGTGGGCGACTCGGCCAGACCGGACGCGTGCGTTTCTGTGAACGAATCAGCCGATCGGCGCAGAGAGAAGCGGGTGCCCAGCGTTCGAAGGGAAAAGCAAAACGAAAACGAAAACGAAAACGACAAACAGAAACAAAACAAAATACAACTTAAAAGGCGGCGTACCTCGTCGAAGGAGGCGGGCAGAGCCGCGTGTGGATTTTCCCTCGATCGAAATGAGGATCGGGCCGAGACGCTCGTGCCTGGCCCAGTAATTCTCGTGCTCTGCACACGACGATGCGTCGCATATACAAAACATCGCACGACACGACACACGTACAAAATGAGTGCCTGAGACTGCAGGCGCCACACGAAGACTCGACCCGTACCTCGTTGGAAGAAGAACTTCTTGTAGTAGGGCACGAGCTCGTGATCGTTCTCGAAGGCCATGTACGCTCCCGGCACAAAGTCCTGATGAGGTCCAGCTTACCAGTTAGCGCGAGCTCGTGTGGCGTGTCGTGTGCGTGCGTGCGTACCCTCTTGGAGCCCCTTTCGACGTGCCACAGGCTGTCGGTGGGCAGGAGCTGCACGTTGTCGATGAGCGACTTCCGCGGCGTCTCCTCGTCCGAGTCCTCCCCCTGCGCCTGCTGGTCGTCTTTCCCGCCGGCCGCGCCGCCGCCGTCGTCGTCTTCATCGGCGAGCTTGAAGGTCGGCGAGCGCTTGGGGCCGCGCGGCGAGGGGCTCTTGCCGGCCGACGCGGCGCCGGCCAAGTCGGCCGCGTCGCCCCACTCCTTGATATAGCCCTGCTCGACCAGCACCTTGTAGCTCGGCCGGCGGACCAGCATGCGGTCGAGCTTCTCCGAGTTGTGCTTCATAAGGTGCGGCCGGAGGCTGTCGCTGGCCTTCTTCGTCGACGTCGATGTCGCGGTCATGCCCACGATCGAGCTGCCGGCCTCGCGCTCGCGCTTGGCCGCGGCGATGACGTCCTCGCTGATGGTGTCGCTCTTGTCCCTGGCCGCGCCGCCCTTGAGCCCGCGCACCTTGTCCCACTTGGATTTCTTCTTCTCTTTATCTTTCTTTTCCTTGTGCGGTTGCTTGGTGACCGAGTCGCCGCCTTTGCTGCCCGACGACGAAGAGGCCAGCGACGACGACGAAGTCGACATGGGCGACGATGTCGACAGCGACGCCGACGACGCCGACGAGCCGTCCCTCTTGATCTTATCGATCGAAGGCGAGGCCTCGACCCCTCTCGCGCCGATGACGAGCGACTTGACCGACTCGCTCATCGACGCGGCGCGCACGTGGCCTCTCCGCCGGGCGTGCGCCTGCTTGCGCGCCTCCTCCTTCTGATCGATCTTGCTGCCCTTGCTCTTGAGCGAGAACGGCGCCGCGCCGTCTGCAGAGTCCTGGTGCGGCGACGCTTCGGCCGAAGACCCGGAGGCCTCGGCGATGACGACGCGACCGCTCTTCCTAAGGAAATCGCCGACCGCGACCGGCTCGATCGAGTCCGCCGATCTGACTGTGGCGACGCTCTTCGACATGTCGGCGGTGATGTCTGTGGCGACCTCCTTCGCAGCTTCGTCTACCGGAGCCGCGTCCACAACCGCCGTCGCGGTCAGCTCCACCGAGTCGGCATCGGCCGGCTTGGCCGGGCTCTCGTCGGGCTGCTTTGAGTCCGTGGCCTGCGCTGCAGTCGGGTCGTCTTGCGGTGCCGGCGTGGCGTTCGGTTTGTCGACGTCATCGACGGCGTCCACGTCTACCTGTTGAGGGGCTTGGTTGTTGTCCCCGGTGGCGGTGGGGTCCTCGATGGGGTCGGCCTGCTGCGGCGGCGTAGTGTGGTCGGCCGTGTCGGGCTGCTTGTCGACAGTCGTAAGGCTCTCTTCACTCACTGGCGCTGGGGTGGTGGTTTGGTGGTCGTCCGGCGTGTGAGCGGATTCGGCGGGCGGCGGGCTGGCGGTTTCTTCCGGCACTGCGTCAGCAGGCCCGCTCGTCGTTCGCTGGGCCTCGTCCTACGCGCCATCAAGCCGTGTCGTGAGAACTGCCCAACGCACACACCGCACACACCGCACACACCACCGCATTCGCGCCACTGAGAGCGGATGGTGAACGGAGTGAGGGCAAACCTTGGTCACGACGGGGTCGTTCTTGTTCGGGGTGGTGGCCTTGGCGACGGGAACGGAGGGGAAGTGGCGCTGCGAGGCCTCGGCCAGCTGCTTCCACTCGTCCATCGTCAGGTCCTTCAGGTTGCGCGAATTCCCCTGTGGCGATGGAATGGTTGGTATTGAGAGCTGAGTTTGTTTTCTCGCTTCGTGCTGAATTGGCGATTGGTACCTGTTGGAACATGCAGCCGCTGTTCCACGCCTTGACCAGCGACAACACCGACCCTGGCCAGCGTCAAGAAATTAATATTTAGTATTTTTGAACTTTTTTTAAAAAAAAAGACGAATCAAATGAAATAAAAATGAAAGAACGAAAGCGACAAGGGGAGAAGAAGAACGAAGGAGCAAGGAGAAGGAGAGGAGGAGGGGGCACCTTTGGGCATTTCAGTACAGAGGAAGGAGACGTCGGTGAACGAGATTTGATCCCCGAGCCTCTTCTCCCTAGCTACACCAGACCCGCTCTTGGATGAAGCGAGGGAAGGAGAGGGAACACCCGCAGCAGCCCCCTCCGCGGCGTTCAGGCGCTCCTGCTCCTCGAGCCGTTGGATGATGCCCTTGATCTCCTTTGAAAAAATCTCTTCCTTCTGCTCGAGGGCGCGGCTTCGCGCGGGCGTGTGTTGGGCGCTGGCCTGCCCGATGTGTTTCTCCACCTCGACCTTCATCTTGGTCACCGGCTGGGACACCGCCAGCTCTTCATAGGAGTTCATGGCCTTTGTTCTCTCTTCTCTTTCGTTCTTTTCTCTTTCGTTCTTTTTTTGATTACTTCTCTGCAGGCCGCAGAAGAGCGAAGGACGAGCCGACGACAACGAGTTCGCGTTCCTCCCTCGATGGATTGATTTTCGTCAGATGTTTAGTTGTCTGCGTGTCCTCGCTCGTCGTTGGGGACCGAACGGTTGGAGGGGACGACGTCCTGTTGCCGAGGACGTAGCTCCGCGGTTTCACACATCGAACCAATCAAAACGAACCTGAGCTAGTGCTGGAATGTGTATGGAATGTGCTGATGTCAGCATCACGTGTCATGATGACGTCAGGCAAACGCCAAGAGTTGCTCGAATTTGCGCGGGCTGCGATTCGTTTCTAATCAGTCATTTTTTCCCAACGAGCAGCGAAGATGAGAAGGAGCAGCGTCGCATCAGCCCACATTATCAGTGCCGTCAGGTTTGCACCCGTGTCGCGAGGGCTGATTTTGCCGACATCGGCGAGATTGCTCTCTACATCGTCTGCATCTTCATCATCTTCGCCCAATTTCACGAATCAGCTGCCTACCTACGACGATGTAAAGTACAGCCAGCTGGACTCGCGCCGAAAGCGCCTCCTCTTCAGAAGCAAGGAGAGGGGCATGCTCGAGACGGACCTCATCCTCGGCTCCTTCGCGATCCAAAATCTTGAAGCCATGAATGAAACGCAACTCGCCCAGTTCGAGCAAATCCTGGACTGCATCGATCCCGATCTCTTCCTGTATCTCACGAAGAAGGTCGAGACGCCGGCCGAGCTCGACAACGAAGTCATGCACGCCATCCAGAAGCACACCTTTAACAACCCTCTCAACTATGACTCCACAGCTAACCGCAAGCTCAACTGAGTGCATAAGCACCCTGCGTGGTGAATAAACAGACGCGTCTTTCCTTGTTGAGTGCTCTCTGTACGCTCGGCCGACTGGGCGATCGCCGGAGCAGCTTCATCTTCATCACCTACAGCATACAGATACATAGTACAAGCATGTTCGACTTCCCACCTTGTTGAGGTGTGGCGCTATAAAAGTGGAAGTCTAGGTTGTGTCGACCACTTCTCACTGAGATAGCCAGTCAGTGCTGGTACCACCTCGGCCGAGATCGAGCAGAACAACATTATGTTCAATTGTTGTCGACCACAAATTAATTAGCTGAGCTGCACGCCAGCAAAGCCACGCGAAGGTGGCGGCAGAGTCGAAGAAGAAACAAGAAGGGAACGACGCGCCTTTGGAGGAAAGCGACAATTTTCTCATCTTTCAAGAGACCTCTCGATCGAAGAAGATAGAACCATCGCGCCGCGTGTCAGCAGAAGGGATTCGTTCGGCTTCAAACAAGCGGGTCAATCGCAAATAATTGCAAAACAATAATGGAAAGAAAAACGTCGCTCGAGAGACTGCAACTCCTCAAGAAGGGAGACCAGGAGGCTGCCAAGATTCATAGAGAATGGGTACAGCGTTCGTTTGTAATCTGGGGTGACCGTTCGGCACTGGGGCAACGTGATTTACCCCTTCATTCGCTTGGGAACTCGCATTGCTCCATAATTTGTGTAGCGCATTGCATTTTGTGCTCACCCCTTCTCATCTGCAGGAGACCGGAAGCACCCTCATCAGGGCATCCGAGCTCGAGTACCGAAGAGATGACGAGATCGCGAGGGGCAACTACGGTACGGTCTACAAGGGGCGGTGCAGAGGCTTCCCCGTGGCGATCAAGGTGCTGCACAACCAGCAGCTCACCCAGCAGAAGATCGAGGAGCTCAAGCGAGAAGTCGAAATCATGAAGTACGCCATTCCTGGCCCCAACATCGAAACGCGTAGTTGCTCAATCGGTTTTTGTCTCAATGCACCATCTCACGTCTCCTCATTTCCCGAATCTCTTCAATAACAGGGCGCTGCGGCATCCGTGCATCCTGTTGCTCATGGGCGTGTGCACGGAGAAGGACAACCTCGCCGTCGTCATGGAGTATGTCGAGGGTCGCGACCTTGGCACCATCGTCCACGACCGCTCCGTCGATATCTCCACCAAGCAGAAGCTCCACATCGCCAAGGGCATCGCTCAGGGTACACCCACGCACCCTCGCCATCAACATTCCGCCTACAACTTTCGCGCGCATTGACGCTCACCCTCATTCCTCTTCTTCCGCTTCATCATCATCACCGTCATCATCGCCATCATCTATCAGGAATGAACTGGTTGCACTGCCTGAAGCCCGAGCCCATCATTCACCGCGACCTCAAGCCGGCCAACATCCTGGTGACCAAGGAGGGCAACGTGAAGGTGTGCGATTTCGGTCTGTCGTGTGTCAAGGAGAGGTTCGACCCCAAGGCGCCACCCAAGGACAAGGCCGTCGGCACCCCCGTCTACATGGTACCATGCTGTGCCCTCGCCTTCGATCGAGTTGTTCGTGGCATCGATGTTGACATGTATTCGTGTTGCTCTCTACGCGACAAGGCCCCCGAAATCCTGTGCGGTGTGCCATCGAGCGAGAAGTCAGACGTCTACGCCTACGCCGTGCTGCTCTGGGAGCTGTTCATGCGAAAGGGCAGGCCGTTCAGTGAGATTCCTACTTTCGATGCTTTCTGCGACGCCGTCATCGACCGGTGCCCTTCCCATAGCCATGAGCGAGCGAGCACGCGCACGCACACGCGCACACCACCCACACACACCACATGTGATCTTTGGATTCGCCACCAACGCTGACGTTATCCGTGTTCCGTGTTGCACTCGCGCCAGACACGAGAGGCCCCCGATGACCGAAGATATCCCCAGCAACATCCGAAAACTGATCAAGGACTGCTGGCACCCGGACAGACACTTCAGGCCCAGCTTCTCCGAGATCCTCGATCGGTTGGACGACATTGTCGTGGACAACGTCGTCAAGGACCTCGAGGGCCGCGCGCTCTACAAGCGTCTGAGGCGGAAGGAGGTATGACTCTCTCCTTCTCCCTCTCGAGTGCCGTGTGTTTCGCTCATCGCCCATTTCTTTCCTTTTCCTTTTCCTATAGTCGACGGCCCACTACCCGTGGGTAGTGGATTGGGACAACTTCGCGCTGGCCTTTTGCCAGTACTACAGCCTGAACCCGTCGACCCTGGGACCCGAGACCACCACCTACAAGTGCGCCAAGTTGGCTCTCGGTATGCCCCCGAAATCCCCTATTGAGTGCTAGGTGTCGCGCGAACCATCATCGCCATTGCAATGTACTGAAGAGAGCGCCATTGTGTCAACAACCCAGCGGAGGAGGACAAGGACCAGACGGCGGGCGACAGCAACAAGAAGTACGTCGTCACCTGCGAGAGCTTTGCGAGGTTCCTCAAGGTGTTCGGCCCTCTGCGGTCCACCATCCTCGCCGAGTTCGACGAGATCTGCAAGCGAGGGTACGTTTCCCCCGCCCCAATGGTTGATGTAACTCGTCGTAGTAACTCATCGACGACACGACTCTACTCGACACGATTCGACACATGTAGGTGCTGGCATGGAATGATTGAGGCCAAGGAGGCCGAGAGGCGGTTAGCGGCGCTGAAGAAGGGCTACCTGCTGCGTCTGTCGTCGAAGGACGCCTGCATCACCATCAGCAGGAAGGTCAACGGCGTCTTCCAGCATCAGAGGGTTCTCAGGAAGGACGACGGCTACAACGTGCAGATCGGGAAGGACATCTTCTCCTTCACCACGGTGCTCGACTTCCTCGACTCGCCGCAGGCGCGCGAGCGCACCAAGAAGGGCGGCCTCCACCTGAAGAAGATCTGCTCCAAGGACTCGGAGTACGCCAGGGTGCACATGGAGGTGCCCGAGGAGAGCTCCAGCTACGTCGACGCGGCCGATCTCGAGGACCAGCTCTCCAAGCTCATGAGCGGACCCAGCAAGAGCCAGCCTCCCTACTAAGACCAGTTCCTCAACAACCACCAGCCACGCACCTTCCTCTTCTTCCTCGGCCAAGAATTGCAAGAATTCGAATTAATTTTAGTAATGTTTTATTAATTGAAACAAATAAAACGAAAAGAGAGAAGCTTCGGCCCACAACGCGGAGAAGAGTGCGCACAGGGGGCGACAACATAAACGGACCACAACGTGACTGTGCGCGACCCAAAGGAGGTGTGTGACAGGCTGGAGGCCGCGAGACAAGTGACATCGCCAACGCTGGGCAAGAGGAAGAAGGCATCGTCAGCACCCCAGCTCAACGCAGAGATGGACTACCAGAACAAAACGGCGGATGCCGAGCCCTTCTTCGACGACAGCGAAGATGAACGGGCCACCGTGACTCGCCTCAACAAACAACGCCGCAATCAGGAAGAGGACCGTCGCAAACAAAGAGAGTGGGTACGACAGCATCACTTGCATTTGTGTTTGTTCCCCCGAGAATTGCGACTTTGTCTTGGTATCCATCCATTCAATGTCCATCTCCGAAAGGGAGAAGATGCTTTTGCAACTTTGCATGATCCCTAAGAGAGCCGCTGATTGCGCAATATAAATTTTAATTCATGATTTGCATTGTGTTGTCATCTAATCGTCCCATTTCTTTTTTAACCTCACAGGAAACGGGCAGCACGCTGATTCGAGCTTCTGAGCTCGAGTACAGGAGGGAAGATGAAATCGCTCGTGGCAACTACGGCACCGTCTACAAGGTAACCACCACTCGTCTCGTCTCTCTTCTTCTACCCTCTTCCCGTTCGAGTAAGCATAAGAATAAAATATGAGTGTAGAAGATAAAATAAATAATAATAGACAAATAAATAATACAAGTCACTTTTTTAAAAAAAACATGAATTGGCACTTATCGTTTTCGGGTGTAGGGCCGATGCAGAGGCTATCCCGTGGCGATCAAGGTGCTGCACAACCAGCAGCTCACCCAGCAGAAGATCGAGGAGCTCAAGCGAGAAGTCGAAATCATGAAGTACGCCGCCGCCCCTGTTTCCAATCACACACAGCTGCCGCTCTGTAACCACAACCACAACCACAACCACAACCACAAACTCTTCAACAACAGGGCGCTGCGGCATCCGTGCATTCTGTTGCTCATGGGCGTGTGCACGGAGAAGGACAACCTCGCCGTCGTCATGGAATACGTCGAGGGTCGCGACCTCGGTTCGATCGTCCACGACCGCTCCATCCCCATCTCCAACCGACAGCGCTTCCACATCGCCAAGGGCATTGCTCAGGGTACACACACACACACACGACACACACACGACACACACGCACGCACACGACACACACGACACACACGACACACACGCACGCACACGCACATTCGCCACCCTCGCGTCCTCAACTTGTTCCTTGTTATCTGTTCTGGTTTCTTATTCTTGTTCCCGGTGTTGGGCGTTTATCTCCGAAATGTTAACCTGTTTTCCAACATGTATGTCGTGCGTGCACCAATCAGGAATGAATTGGCTGCACTGCCTGAAGCCCGAGCCTATCATTCACCGCGATCTCAAGCCCCCTAACGTGTTGGTACATAGTTTTTTGCCAACATTTTCTTCTTGGCACCCCTATTCTCTCGCTGTACGCTCGAGCGCGTTTTGGCTGACCACACAACAACAACCACACAACGCACAACACAACACAACCAACGACACGACACTCGACAGATCACACGCGAGGGCAACGTGAAGGTGTGCGACTTTGGTCTGTCGTGTGCCAAGGAGAAGTTCGACCCCAAGGGTCCCCTCAAAGACAAGGCCGTCGGCACTCCGGTCTACATGGTACCATGCCTCACTCACTGCACGCACCGCACACGCACCATTGCACACACTAACGTTTGGTACAGGCGCCGGAGATTTTGTGCGGTATTCCCGCGAGCGAGAAATCCGACGTGTACGCGTACGGCATGCTTCTCTGGGTACCACACTTTCCTCACACGCTCTGTTTTGTTTGATGACTGCGACATTCTTTGACTTAAACGTTTGCATTCCTGTTCCTTTTCTCTCTCGATTCAACCCGATAGGAGCTCTTTGCGCGCCAGGGCAAGCCATTCGCGCACATGAACTCCTTCCAGCTCTTCTGTGAGACCGTCGTCGGTACTACCCCATCGCCACCATCATTGTCACACATTCCACGACATTCCTCACATCGTGGATGGGAACACAGATCGCGACGAGCGGCCGCCCATTCCCGAAGGCGTTCCCGACAACGTGGTCAAGCTCATCCGCGACTGCTGGCTCAAGGACCGCTACGCCAGGCCGAGCTTCGCCGAGATCCTGACCCGCTGGGACGACATCATTGTCGATAACACCATCCGGGACGTGGCCGGCCGTGTGCTCTGGAAGCGGCTTCACACACTCGTACGCGCACGCCCTCTGTTTCCCTGTTGCGCGCGGCCAGAGGCCCAATGCGGCGGCGAATGTTTGGAATGCATCGCGATTCTTGGCACATTGGGCTGACGGCGCATTCATCGGTTTGCGCTGCAGGATGCCGAGCATCTGCCGTGGATGGTGGAGTGGGACAACTTCATCCTGGCATTCGGAGAGCACATGAACATGAAGCCCACCGCCCTCTCGCCCGACTCCACCATGATTCAGTGCGCCAAGCTCATTCTCGGTAACACTCTCTCCCTGCACCGTGCACACGCACCACCGCACACGCACACCACGCCAGCGCACGGACTCACCTTCTTCGATGCAGCGGTGGCGAGCAAGGACATCACGACGAGCGACACCAACAAGAGGTTCGCCGTTACTCTTGAGAGCTACGCTCGCTTCCTTCACATTTTCGGCCCGCTCCGACCCACCATCCTCAGCGATGTACGCACCTTCGTTCTTCTTCGTTCTTTTTCTCTTCGCTTCGTTCTTCGTTCTTTACTCTTCGCTCTTCATTTTTTTAACGTGTCTACATGTACCAGTTCGACGAGCTGTGCAAGGCTGGGTGCTTCCACGGTCTGATCGACTCCAAGGAGGCCGAGCGCCGGCTGGCGAGCATGAAGAAGGGCTTCCTCCTGCGGGTGTCGGCGAACAACGACACCTGCGTGACCATCAGCCGGAAGACGGCCGAAGGCTACAAGCACCAGAGAATCGCCAAGAAGCCCAACGGCTTCAACGTGCAGATCGGGAAGGAGGTCTACAGCTTCCCGTCGCTCATCGACTTCCTCATGTCGCCCCAGGCCAAGGAGCGCACCAAAAAGGGTACGTGTGTGTTGCGTGTTGTGTGTTGCGTGTCGCGTGTCGCATCGTGTGTGCTGACGTTTTTCTTTTCTTTCACCCAATAACAAGGCGGCCTGCACCTCACAAAGGTGTGCAACAAGGATTCGCCCTTCGCTGCCGTACACCACGACGTGCCGCTCGACCGCTCCAACTACGAGCCCTCGCCCCTGCTCCACGTCTCGAAAAGCCTGGACGAGCTCAGCATCGACGCCTGAACCCCTCTACCCCCTCCTTCCGGGTTCTGTTTCGCTTATCTGTATTTTTCACCGTCTGGATGCGCACCGGCAGTGCCGGTTTTGCGTTTTGCTTGCGCTCCGTCTGTGGCCGAGCTAAACCATTGCCAGGCGAAGCGGAGTTGATTCGTTTAGCAGGAGACTGGCGCAACCGGGTGCACAACATTGTCGACCACACCCCCAAGCTCGCTGCGCAGTTCAAATAGAGACACAGCCCCACAACCAACAACAACACACCAAAGCAAACGCTTGAACAGTTCAAGTAGCACCCGCACAGCAAAAGATGGCAACGCTCGCCGAGAAGAGGCAATTCTTTCTGGACAGCGGGGTCAAGACCCTGACCCAACTGCTCTCTGAACAAGACACCCGACCAGTCTTTGGCAAGTACTCCCCTCTTTCCTCCCTCTTCGTTCTTCCTTGCCGTGTCCTCTTCATTCTTTTTCACGGTCCGTTCACGTGGTGACCAAGTTCACACAGTTACTGAGTTTAGGGTTAGTTTGTTCTGATGATGCCACAACTTTTGTTTGTCGGCGGCAGGGATGGGAAAACGGCGCCATCCGGCCCGAAGAGCTGCACTACAGCAAGGACGAGGTCATCGCTCAGGGGCACCACGGCACCGTCTACAAGGTATTGAGCACCGCACCTTCATCCCCCCCCCAACCACCACCACTGACTACAGCGCGTGCCCAGGGAATGTGCCGAGGGTCGCAGGTGGCCATCAAAGTGCTGGGCAACCGAAATGGAATGGACGAGAGCCAGATCGAGTCTCTGCAGCGCGAAGCCGACATCATGCGGTTCGCCGACTCCTCGCCCGATCTATGATAGACTTGATCGTCGCAATCAACTGATGATGATGAATGTCGTGTGTGGGGTCGTGGCGTGTCGTGGCGTCGCAGAGCGCTGAGGCACCCCAGCATTCTGCTGCTGATGGGCGTGTGCTCGGAGAAGAGTAAATTGGCGATCGTCACCGAATTCGTGGCCGGGCGCGACCTGAACGCGATAATCCACGACCCCGCGGTCGAGATGAGCATCCGCCAGAAGCTCAACATCGCCAAGGGCATCGCCCAAGGTTTCAGCCCAGCCACTTTTATACTAATATTATAATATATATATTTTTTGTATTCACGCTCTCCCCAAAGGCATGAACTGGTTGCACTGCTTGCAGCCGGACCCGATCATACACCGCGACCTCAAGCCGGCCAACGTCCTGGTACGTCTGGACATGATGATGCCTTCCTTTGTGACTAAGTGGATGAACGAGCGACCTGACCTCAATGGTGTGTGGTTGGATTGTTGCGTTCAGGTGACGCCCGAGGGCAACGTGAAGGTCTGCGACTTCGGTCTGTCGTGCGTCAAGGAGACCTACGACCCCGACGCGCCGCCCAAGGACACTGTCACCGGCACCGCCATCTATCTCGTACGCATGCCTTCATCGGCCTCGCGGCCCAAGCTTTGTTTGCTCATTTTACTATGACAAGGCCCCGGAAGTGCTCGAGGGTATGCCGGCGAGCGAGAAGTCGGACATCTACGCCTACGCCGTACTTTTGTCGGTACACACTCTCGTTTGGGTCATTCACTTCGCGCCAAACGTCTGGCTCACCAGATTTGTATTCAAACTCTAAAATGAATGAACAGGAGCTGTTCACGCGCGTGAAGCCCTTCAAGGAAATCGACAGCATCAAGAAGCTGCATCACGCGGTTGTGGGTTCGTACTACTACTGCTACTACTGGCCTTGGCCTTTTGGAAATCCACACGCTGATGTGGGTGGTGTGTGTGCACAGACGGGAAGCAGAGGCCGGCGCTCATTGACGCTGTGCCGGAGGCGGTGGCGGAGCTACTGCGCGAGTGCTGGCATCACGACCGCGACGCGCGGCCGTGCTTTGCGGAGGTGCTGATGCGCCTCGACGGCGTCGTGGTGGACCTGTCCCTGTCACACTCCTCGGCTCGCACCTTTTGGCGGGAGCTGCGACCCAAGGTATGTGGAGTGCATTCCATACCACGCATTCCTCACCCCATCCCTTGGCTCACTAGGAATGTACACTCCACTTCACCGCCTTCACATCGTACGCTGGACGGGCAGCACTACCCGTGGGCTGTGACCTGGGACCGGTTCCTGGAGGCGTTCCACCGCTACGCCAAGCCCAAGCTTCCCCTCAAGCTCTACGCCCAGACGCCCGAAGCCAAATGCGCCCAGCTCCTCCTCGGTTTGCCTCTCCACCCTCCAAGGCGGTGGTGAGCTCACACTGCGATGCTGACGTGTCATGCGGTTCTCGTGGTTTGGGCGGGGGGTCGATTCCTCAGCTGTGCAAAACGAAGACATGACGAGGAGCCGGGACAGACAGGAGTGGACCGTGTTGCTCGAGAGCTTCGGCCGATTCACGCACCTCTTCGGCCCCTTTCGGCCTATCATCCTCACAAAGGTACGGTGGACTACCCAATCGCAGCCTGCCCTGCTCTTCTCAACTTTTTAACGATCATTCCATGCATTCCTTCCATTCAACCCAACACTTCTGTCAGTTCTCTGAGCTTTGCAAGACAGGGTACACAACCAACCAACCCTAATCAAACCCTCACCAAGCCAAAAAACGAACCATCGATTGTGATTGTGATCGTTTTTCTTGCACAGGTGCTTCCACGGCACGATAGAAGCAAAGGAAGCCGAGCGACGGCTGGCCTCCAAGAAAAAGGGATTCATTCTGCGGCTGTCCGCGAAGGACCCTTCCTGTGTCACCATCAGTCGCGAGGTATGCAAGCTGTCTTCTTTTCCGTTTTCTTCGTTTTCTTCGTTGTCGACTGCTCACTCATACCTGGCGGCGGGGCCGCGCGGGCTGTTGGGCGGCGGCAGGACAAGGGCAAGGCGCGACACTTGCGAGTGCTGCGCACCGAGAGCGGATTCAACGTACAGGTGGGCAAGGACGTCCACTGCTTCCCCGACCTCCTCGCCTTTCTTGACTCGCCACAAGCCACCAAGTCCGGCAAGAGTACGTCAAGCCCAAAGCGCGACCCCACACCTTGGCAAGGTCCAACTCAATTCCTATCGTGTGTGTCGTGTGTTGTGTCGTGCGCGTGGCAAGGTGGGCTGGGCTTGCAGAAGGTGTGCTCAAAGGACTCGGAGTACGCAGCGGTGCACGAGCGCAGCAGGGGCGGACACTGATGACGAGTCGTGCTATGACAAGACGCCCCTCCTTGACAATGTGGTGGTCCCCCGAGCCAGCCGGAGCGCCACACCATAGTTTGGCTCAAGTTGTAGTGAAGCTATTTGTTCTAGTAGCCATTTCTTCGCCAGGGGAGGTTTCAACTGTGGGCTTTGGGATCACTGATGATGAACAGCTGGTACTCTTCCCTGTATAAGCGCAGACAGCATTGTTGTGATAACCAGTCTCATTCCCATGTCCTCATGGGTATCCTCCCAGAATCACTGCACAGCATCCCACAGACCCAGGGCAACATTGAACTGAATATCAGGTAAGAACTGTGGAGCACCAGACCTTGGTCAGTAATAACTCAGATGCAGTTAAAGAAAAAACATGCCAATGTTGTAATACATACCAGCCTCATTGGAGAATTAATCTGTAACCTTAATCAAACTGTGGTTCTGAAATATGTTTTTTTTCACTGTTGTCAGCTGTTGGCAATAGAGGCCAGCACAATGGTGAGGAGGAAGATGAGGAAGCCCAAACCAGACTTCAATTTTCTAACTCTGCGTCCTCAAAGTGCATTAGGGTAAGGAGGAAAGCTGGGCACCTTGGAACTGGTTCCTGGGTATTCACACTATGTGGTGTAATCCACACACTGACAAAGGAGGGAAAGATGGGAAGATGCTCTGGCAACAACCTAAACAAATATGATACCTCAATCCCATTACTCTCAACAATTCAAGCTAAGATGCCTCCCCCCCCCAGTGTAATTGATTGCACTCCCTGCCAAAGCTGCTTGGGTACAGAGGTAAAGGTGTTGTTTTACAACATGGGCATAAAACACTAACCATGACAAGAACTGGTGACACCAAGCCAGTGGAACAGAGTGTTGCTGCTGCTTTGCTAAAAGGATGAGTGACCTGGTCTATGCACCCTCAAATGTGAATAACCCTAAACTGCACTTGGCAGCGTCAGCCCAATTCAGTTCTCTGTACTTGTTGTTAATATAGAATTGGGACGAAAAAAGATATAAAATAATCATTGTTGAGCGATGGACGCCAAGCAGGATGGACAAAATCTGCACATCTTGCAGCGTGTGATAGAAGAGCTCAAGAAGGAGACAAACAATTTTTACGTTTTTCTCCAGGGCGAGGGAGGAAAAGATCTGGTGAAGAAGTATAAGGTTGCACATCCATTTGCCTTGTCTATTGTTCATCTTCTCTCACTCCGCTCCAACACACACCACAGGAGTGGCGCATTGTCCAGACGCTACGCGCCGATGAAGAATCTCTCTTCTCCATCTTCTCGCCTGAGCTCATCGTCCTCATCTTTTCCCACCTCGACGAGTGCTCCCTCGCCACCGCATCTGAGGTACTGTGCTCAAATCGCAGCCACAGCACAGCACATCACATCACATCACATCACATAATCGTTCCACTCGCATCGCAGGTGTGCAAGACCTGGAAGATGATCACAGACATGCACGAGGACTACCTATGGAAGCGCCTCGTCTATCAGTTCTTCACCTTCTGCCCGGGCGCACCACAAGAAGAGGTACTTGCCAAGCGCAACATGACACACACGACGCACACGACACGAGCGTGACTCCCTGACGACGGTCCAGCAGTCGCAGCAGGCCGCACTCAAGCGCGAGAAGGACTCGACGGAGAGCTGGAAGCGGTTCTTCCGGCGGTCCCTCGGGCGACACCCGCGCCTCGACTTCTATCCCGCACCGGCGCACGGACTCTACTTCCCCACGCCTTCCGCCCAAACAGTCCACACGCGGCTCTACATGCGGAACAGCACACGCTCGGCCGTCACCCTCTTCCGAGTCATGGTAAGTGGCAGCAGCTCTCACTTCTTGCTGTCGCCGGCTTCGGGAGGCCTCACACGCACGTGTGCGTGTGTGTGTGTGTGTGTGTGTGTGTGTGTGTGTGTGTGTGTGTGTGTGTGTGTTTTCAGGTCACCAAGCCCAAGGACTACGTAGTGAAGCCCACCCACGGGATACTCCTGCCCAGACAAGTCTTGACCGTCTCCAGTGCGTCTGCCTCTTCCTTCTGGGCCTCTAGGTCTCCTGCCGAGGCTGTTGCCCAATTGCTCACAATGATCGCGTACACGCACTCTCCACCGCACACGCAACACCGCACGCGTGCCACCGCACACTCACACGGGAGCAGTTCTTGCTCGTCAGCTTTCAAAGGAGGCGCTGGAGCAGATGCAAGAGTGCAAGGACAAGTTCATGATCCAGACAGCGACGGTGACCCTGGAGCAACTTGTCGAGGAGGGCGCCGTCGATCCCAAGCGGGCCGATCCCAGCTACGTGCGGAAGGCGCGCTCCTGTACTCTAGACCTCTCCCACGTCTTCGCCGACAACGTACGCCTCTCCCTCTCTCTTCCGCACCGCACATGCACACACCCTCACGCGCCCTGTCGACAATCAACAGTTTGATGCGCTGCGGTACGTGAAGGACAATCCGGACAAGGTGAGCAAGCACATCTTCAAGTGCCACTACTTGCCCGTCCAACAGCAGGACGACGAATCGGCCACCGCCTACTCTGCCGCTTCTTGATAAACCTTTGTGGAATAGTGATTTATTTTACTGGTGGCAAAAATTGATAAATACACAACTGGCCCAATTTAATTCTGCGATATTCATTCACGCTCTTTGAAAAAAGAGACAAAGCTGTTAAGAACGTACAGAACACATCAAAGACGAGCGGGAGCAAGAGAGGTATGGGCCAGTCGCAGTCGTCAAGGTCAGTTATTGTGAGGCGGCAGGTGCAGGAAACAGAACAACCCGCACCGGTGCCCAACGGAGCTGAGTACACCCCCCTCCACAAGCTGCAGAAACTGTCAACACCAGCACCAGGGGCAGACAGCCAAGAAGAAGACGAAAAGGTGCAAATAACAAATAATATTCACCAGGCCATACTACAGCGATGTTGTACAAACTCAAATATGTCATGTCTCCAGGAGGAGCGAGTGGTGCTGGTGGCGACGGGCAGCTTCTGTCCTGTGCACAAGATGCATGTGCGCATGTTCGACATTGCGCGGGCACACCTGGTCAGCAATGGATTGGTACGGCCTGGCCCGATGTGCGTGGTGCCGCACAGTACACCAATAACGTTCTACAAACAACAAAACAGAACGTGGTCGGCGGCTTCTTGTCGCCCAGTCACGACGTGCACGTTCAGGCCAAGCTGGGCGAGCGCTACATCTCCGGTTTGGACCGGTACCAACTCCATACCGTCCAACGAATCACGCTTTTCTGATGTTTGCGTTCGGTCGGGGCCGGGTGGCGCGAGTGCAGAGTTAAGATGTGCGAACTGGCTGTGGCCGATTCAGAGTGGCTGGCAGTGTCGTCTTGGGAGTGCTCTCAGCCGCACTTCGTGTCCTTTGACCAGGTACCTGGTAGTTCTTCATTCATGCCTGCTTCATCAGATACAATAAGCCAACTTTTTTTGTGGGGCAGGTGACCCAAAACATCCAGGAGTATCTCAACCAACAGATGCCCCAGTACCGCTGGCGTTGCTTCTTCCTCTGCGGTGCAGATCTGGTTTACCGGTACGCACACCCGCTACAACAACAGGGAAAAAGATTAGGCCGACAACGGCAGGATTTGAACCTGCGCGGGGAGACCCCAGTAGATTTCGAGTCTACCGCCTTAACCACTCGGCCACGTTGTCTACACACTCACATGCTCCCAGCACAGCTAACTTGAGTTTTCCCATCTGATTTGGTCCCTCCTCGCAGCTGTCGCTTGTTCTTGGGCGCGGAGGGGTTCGGCGTCGTCGGCGTGGGTCGGCCAGAGTTCATGGAAAGACTCAGGGAACGAATTCAGCAGATCCAGGACTTCAACCAGGGCCGACACGAGTCCGAACAGGAGCGCTCTCTATGGCTCCCGCATGGCATGCGTCACTCCGAGCTGACACACTCCCTCGATTGTCACTCAAGGCCAAGATGAACCGCTTCGACAACTTCTTCATGGTGGAGGAGTCGGAAGACATCGAGGACTGCTCGTCGACCCTCATCCGAGAGAGGATCGACCAGGGACAGAGCGTGGACGACCTTACCTTCCCCGCCGTTGCCGACTATCTGCGCTCAATCCCTCCCCGTACCTCCACCTCCACTTACGGCCAGTAAATGCTGTTGTTTTTAATCTTATTTTACATGACCACTCCAAGTGTGCCGTGTGCGTGTGCGCGGTGTCAAGGTGCGGTGACACACTTGACCATGAGCATCTGGGTCGGGCCTTGGGTCTCGGGGTCGACCGACATCAAGTAGAGGCTCTCCACGAGCTCGGTACGCGGGCCGTGAAAGAAGATGAACTCAAGGTTGGTCATGCGGCCCGTACCGCGCTCCACCCAACGCCGTCCGTTGATGAGCGGCCACGGCGTCTTGAAGCGCTCGCCGGTGATGGTCGTGTCCTCCACCATCGTGCCATTACTATCGACCGAGTACTGCACCAGACACGTGCGTGTCGTGTCTTCGATCCTGCCGTACTCCTCCTGCAGCGTGTGCGTCGCCAGGGCGAGCGTGGCGTAGCAGCCCTTGGCCTCGTCGTAGTAATCGGACACCTCGAAGGGCGCCAGCGCGAAGGTGTCGACCACGGCGTAGGTGACAGGGTCGAACACGATGCCAGACCCCGAGCACACAGCTGTGCGGTTGTCGGCCCCCGAGAAGTACTTGCCGGCCCAGTTGGCGTTGAGGCCCTCCAGGGTCCAGTACTGACGGCTGCAGGTCGAGTCGCGGGGCGAATGCTGCGGGGGATGGCCATGGCCATGGTGGCTCCCTGACCCAGCGCTTGCGACTACCACGCTAAGCAGCACTACGGACACGACGAGGAAAGTGGTGTGGGCCATGGTGAAGGTATGAGAGACAGAAAAGAAGCAGCGGTCGGCGTATTGGACCCACAAGGGAGACCAATGAGAGGATGAGGTTATTCGTAGAGCTGGGGTACGACAAGGACAAAGAAAGGGTAGGGCCATACTTGAGATGCCTATGCTTCGGCCGAAGCAGAGACAGCAGACGCGTTTTTTGGTTACAGCAATCATTTTTTTTATTGCAATTTCAGTCTCCCGATTGATTTCTGAGTGGCGGTTAATCGGACATGGGCGGCCAACCATCTCATCCCCCGAAACGCAGTATGTTGGCTGTGACGCTCGGATAGAACTCACAGATACGAAACCATGTCGGTCGCAATGGTGCTGGCCGCACTGGTTGTGGGCCTCCTTGTTCTTCTGTTAGTGCGCCGCCTCAATGCGGTACCTACCACAAGATATTTGTTTGTGCCATCTCGATTTAAATCACATTAGCATCAATTTCGCCCAACTCTCACCATTTGCTCCACACAGCCGCACGAGAAGGAGCCTCCGCGCGTGGAGTCGGGCTTGCCGCTCGTTGGACCCCTGATCGAATTCTCATCAACCCCCCGCCCCTTCCTACAGCGACTCGAAAAGCAGGTTTGCCGCTGAGAGTTGTTGCTTTTTGTTAGCTCCCATCTTCAACGCCAGCAGTTCACTGAACCTGTACTCTGTGCCGCTGTGTGCCGCGCGTGCGCGTGTTGTGTCGTGTTGCGTGCGTGCGGCCTCATCTAGTATGGCCAAGCGTTTACGTTGGACCTGCTGATCGATAAGATGACTTTCATTCTCGGGCGTGAGGGCAACCGGCTCTTCTTTGATTCCACCGACGACATCCTCGACTTCAACAGGTTTCACACCGCACACACCGCACACACCGCACGCACCGCACGCACCGCACGCACGCACAGACACACACTGGGGACGGACCGGCTAACACGGCGTGCGCGCGCAGTGCTGTTGCAGCGGTGGCGCAGAACGTGCTGGGGCCGGAAACTTTCACGGAGGACCCCGTGTGGACCAGCAAGAGCAGCCCATACATCACCAAGGTTCGGGTGCACGTGCGGTGTGTGCGGTGTGCGGTGTGTGCGGTGTGTGGTCTAACTTTCATGCGCCAGGGCTTCATGAGACATGAGCGCTTGAGCCTCTACAACTCGCTTATCAACGACGAGGTGCGAAAGCACATCAAGATCTGGTGCGGGAAGGACAAGGTGGATCTCTTCAAGTCGGTGTCGCAGCTGGTCACCAGCATCAACATTCGCTGCGTGCTGGGCGACGACGCCTACCACGCGCACGCCGAGGAGATCGCCTCCATCTACTACCAGCTCGAACTCTCCGGTACCCCTCTCACAGTGTCGTGTGTGCGTGTGTGCGTGTGTGCGTGTGCGTCATGTGTGTTGAGTACTAACCCTGACACCGACGACGACGACGACAGCTATGGACACAGTCGCGATTCTGTTCCCCAGCCTGCCGACGGCGACCAAGCGCGCCAACGAAAAGGCGCGGAAGCGACTCATCGAGATCATCTCCAACGTGCTCCACAGTCGCTCCGAGGACCAGGTACGCGTCCAATTTTTTTAAAATGTATATTATTCTTTTGCGTTATCAAACATTAACACTATATTGTTATTTATTATTGTTATTTTATTTTATATATTTTGCTGGCTGGTGTGTGTGGTTGCGGCGGAATCCAATGGAAAGGAAACGTCGGACTACATCGGAATGGTGTGGACGGCGGAGAAGGAGAACCACAGCGTCCACACCTTCGCCATGCACGCCCTGGCGGTCATGTTCGCTGCGCACACCAACACTGGTACGTGCCACGCACGTTCCTCCTCGCGTTGTCGTGTGCGTGTGTTTACACCTTTTCTTTCTCTCTCTCCTGTGCTGGCTGCAGCTGGCACAACGGGCTGGACACTCGCTAATTGGGCCAACAACCAGTCACTGGCGTACGCGGACACTCACGACTTGCCTCCCTTTCGCCCGATGCCACTGAGTGTGTGCGTGTGCTTGCGTGCGTGGCGTGTGCGGTTGTGTGCGTGTGTGTGTGTGTGTGTGTGTGTGTGCAGTGACAAGGCACTGCGCGAGCAGACGCAGCTGATCGCGGAAATGGGCGAGGAGGCGGAGACGTTGGCGCCCAACTTCATCAGCAAGCTCGAGTACCTGGACAGCTGCATGAAGGAGACGGTTCGTCGCTACGGCATGCTCATGCTCGTGCGCAAGGCCATGAAGGACGTCGCCTTCACCTCCGCCGACGGCCGCGAATTCACCATCCCCAAAGGTACTCCCTTTATTTTCTATTTTATTTATTTAATATCTGGTAATTATATCGTTGTTTTATTTATTTCTGACTTTTGCGTCATTATTTTAAAATAATGCATTTAATATTAATATATTAAAAACTATTTATTAACAAATATTTCAGGGCGTACGGTAGTGTCGTCGCCGTTCCTGTCGCACCACAACAGCGAGGTGTACCCGGAGCCGAGCCTCTACGACCCGGAGAGGTTCGCCGATCCCGAAAGGAAGCAGAGCCTCGTCGCCAACCGGCACTACGTCCAGTTCGGCTTCGGCCGCCACAAGTGCCTCGTACCGTCGCCCTCCACCACTTTCATATTAATAATATCATGTTATCTTTCTTTTCTTGTTTCTCACCACCAGCTCTCTCCTTCACCATCATTGTCGTCTTCTTCTAGGGCGAGCGGTTTGCGAACGTGGTCATCAAGATGGTGCTCTCGCTGGTGCTCAGGTCGTGCCAATTCGAGCTGGTGAGCGACATGTCGGACGCCGACTACCGCAAGCAGGCCGGCACTCCCAATCCCGGTACCCCCTACTCCTTACCTTCCCTCTTTGGCCCTCGCTTTCGCGTTTTGGTGGGGTGCGACTCACACCATCGCTTTCGTTCTTTCGTTTATTCGTTGTGGTCCCGACACGCGCAGAGCACACCATCTGGGTCAAGTTCAGGCCGAGGGAGTGAGTGGGGGCAAGCATAGCAATGTATTCTTCGGTTCGCAAGCACAGGAAAAAAAAGGTGACGTCAGCATGACACTAGTTCGGTGTGGGGGGGGGTCATCGACGGACGCCGCCGTTGCTGTGGGCGAGTAGCTGTCCCACGTATTCGTCGTCGTCGACGTCGTGGTCGTCGAATGAGGAGGGGACCTCGTCGTAGTAGGGGTCCGAGTCGCCTCCCTCTCGGTGCACCGCCGCGAACTCTGAGTCCCGCACGCACGGTCGCTTCAGCCCCAAACCCTCTGCGCGTGCCATGTGTGCGTGTTAGTGTGCGTGCGTGTGTGTCGTGCGTGTCGTGCGTGCACACACAGAGTGTGCAACGTGCAGCGTGTGCGGTCATGTGTGCGTGTGCGGGAGGAACGCACTCTTGCCAGACTTTCGGGCGAGAGGCGAGTCCAGGAATTCGTCGAGGGTGGCGAAGGAGTGCATGTCCTTGCCCACCGGCACATTCCAGCCACGGGCCGTTCTCTGCACCCGCATGTGCCTGAACCCGCCCTTGTGCTGCAAACGCGCGCACATTCCAATCACATTCCAACCACAAAGAATGTGAATGAGCTCAACTGGAATGCACATAGTTCTTTTGGGAAGGATGTGGGTACCCTTCGGCTGATGGTGAGACAGGTGGGGTCGCGCGCAGACATGCGCAGGAGAAACTTCTTTCTCTTCTTTTTGTTGCCCAGCCGGCGCTCGGCCTCCTTGGCCTCGATCAACCCGTGGAAGCACCCGCGCTTGCACAGCGCCTCGAACTGCACAGCCCAACACGATAAGAGAACGAAAGCGAAAGCGAAAAGCGAAAAGCGAAAACGAGGAGCGGCGAGCGTACGTCGACCAGGATCGAGCGGCGGAAGGGGCCGAACAGATGCACGAATCGGCCGAAGCTTTCGAGCATGACATTGTATTCCTTGTCTCTCTTGCTGCGCGTCATATCTTCGGTGGCGGCCGCTGTACAATAACACACGCACACGACACACAACACACGACACGTAAGCATTCATTCATCGAGCCAGCGCCCGTGCGATAAAGAAGCGCTGCAATGTGTAGCGCGCACCTAGAATGAGCCGCGCGCATCGGCCCTCCGCCGAGTGGAGGTAGAGCGGCAGCGGAAGGTTGGACTTGGAGTAGCGGTGGTAGGCCTCCATGAAGCGTCGCCACGACACCGACCACGGATACTGCATTCCATCCTAAGATTGCCACAATTCCACCATGTATTCCATCATGCTGAGAATTCATCAAATCGTTGGTTGTGATGATCATTGCGAGTACTACTTTACCTGTGGTCGCAGCTCCTTCCAGAAAGCCCGGGCGGTCTGGTCGGGAATCGTGGTATCGACGACAATGTCGTCCAATCGCTGCAGAATCTCCCCAAACGAAGGTCTGGGTGGTGTCAGTGGCGTGACCGGCCGACACGGCCTCAAAGGAATGGAAGGCGCGTTACCGCTTCAGCCGATCCCTCTGCCAACAATCCTCCAACAAGGCGGCCACCGCATCGGGTACGTCCGACGTGAGTGGCGGCCTCTTATTCTCGCCTGTGACGTGCGCGTGTGCGGTGGCGCGTGTGCGATGACGCGTGTGCGGTGGTGCGTGTGAGATATGTGTGCGGTCCAGGTTCTAGATTCGCGTGACGGCGTTTGAATGGGATTCTCAGGGACTAGGTGCGTACCCACGACGGCCTCATAGACCTCCATCGACGATTTGTACTCAGTGAAGGGTTTGGCGCGCGTAAAGAGCTCCTGCACAAGTCTCATGGGTGAGCTTCACCTGCGCAGGTGCGTTTGCTCGTGTGCGTGCGTGTGCCGTCGTGTGTGGTACCCAAAGCAAAATTGCGAAGGCGTAGACGTCTGACTTTTCGCTCGAGGGCACTCCTTCCATGACCTCCGGCGACTAAATAAATCGCAGAAGTTTAGCCGACGCAGAACAAAAAAGAACGAAAGAGAAGAAGAACGAAAAAAAAAGAACGAAAAAGAAGAGCGGGGCCAAAGTACGAGATAGAGGGCGGTGCCGGAGACGGTCTCCTTGGGCGGCGCCGAGGGGTCGAACTTCTCGCGCACGCACGAGAGCCCGAAGTCGCACACCTTGACGTTGCCGTCCTTGGTGACCAGCACGTTGGCCGGCTTCAGGTCGCGGTGGATGATGGGCTCAGGCTGGAGGCAGTGCAGCCACGTCATGCCTGCGAACACATGGAACCACATTTAGCGACACACGCCACACACACAACACTTACATGGCACACGCAACACGCACACGCACGCACTGTACACGCACGCAACACACACATGGAACACAACACCGGCATAGAGACACGAACCTTGGGCGATGCCCTTGGCGATGTTGAGCTTCTGGCGCACGGTCATGTCGACGTCGCGATCGCGGATGATGGCGCCCAGATCACGGCCCGCCACGAACTCGGTGACGATGGCCAGGTTGCGGCGCTCCGTGCACACTCCCATCAACAGCAGGATGCTCGGATGCCGCAGGGACCTGTCCAACGACACACACGACACACACGACACACACGACACACACGACACACACGACACACACGACACACACGACACTCATCGTAGTCAGTTGTGGATGGTCATTAGGAAACCCGGCGAGAGGGGTGCGTTTACCGCATGATCTCGGCTTCGCGCTGGAGGGCCTCGAGCTCTTTGCGGTTCAGGTTCTGGTTTCGCAGCAGCTTGATCGCCACCGGCGAGCCCCGACAGCACCCCTGTGCGTGTGTGCGTGTGCGTGTGTGCGTGTGCGGTGGTGTGGTGCCGAGCAGAGTCAACAACAAGGACTGGATGGTGATCAACGCTGCACGAGAGGGAGAAAATGCCTTGTAGACGATGCCGTGGTGGCCGCGCGCGATGATGTCGTCGCGGCTGAACTTGAGCTCCTTCGCCCGTATGCGCGCACTGCCCAGTCCCTGGTTGCCACCGACAACAACGAACAAAAATAAGATATATTGAAAATGAATTGTAATATTGCCTCTAATAAAAGAATGAAAAGGACAAAAACAGAAAAAATATTTACTTACGTGAGGGCAAGCTCAGGGGTTACGAAAAGATGAAAGATGAAGATTAGGGGTGTACCCAATCGTTGGCGCGGTCACTGTCGGAGATGGCGTGCAAGTCTTCGAGGGTGGCTGCCCGCTTACGTAGCGCGTGGGGGCTCCGGCTGTTGTACCCTCCCATGCTCGACTCGTGCATCATCTTCGTCTTCGTTCTTTACTTCGTCGTTTTTCTTCTTCGCTTTCGTTCTTTCTTGCGACAGACGCGGAGACGACGAAGTGCGTACGGGTAAGCGTAGCGCGAAGGTTGTGCTCGGGGAGGCTGGTCTGTGGTCACTAACGACTGCTTGCTCGCCAACGACAGCGAAGAAAACTGAACCGCGAGGTGTTGGTGCGCTGTTGTGCTGGCGGGCAGATTGGGGGACCAACGGCAAGCTTGAACCGTTACCAGAGGTAGCACCAGAGGGTACACCGTGTGATGAGGAGCAGCGCCGCAGTTACATTCTAAAAATTCCTGCTCCGCGTAAAATATGTTAGTTGTGTTGCTCCTGGGTTGGTAGGCCGTGCCAGCACATTTCGTGGCCTGGGCTGCATCCTCGCGGAGCTCAAAGCCGCGCATAGCCGAAGGCGAGAGGAAAGAGAAGCTGTTGCCCTGTGCCCCTTTCGCGCGGAAGTGTTATAACAGTCGGCGACCATTCACTCGGTTTGGCCAACTGCTGTGGGTGGCTCATGGCTCGGTGGAGGGTGTGCGGTGTCGCCGGTATTATGGAGTGCGTGCCGCACACCTCAGCGCGCACGCCTTTGCTGGAGTGCAGCGGCCGTGGGAAAAGCTCTCAACTTTTACCATATATAAATAATATTAAAAGGTTAGGTTATCTCATATTCGTAAAACGCCCGCAAGCACAACTTCGACCCGTACTGTGGCCATCTGGATGAATGGTGAACGCTCCGCTGACGGCGCCATCTAGATCGAAATAGAGTTTCTCTCCGGAGAGTGACAGAACAAATCTCGCAAAAATCTTGAATCGTATCGCGAACCAAAATGGAGCGAGAAGATTCGTTCCTCGAAGAAGCCATCTCTTCACTGGGGCCACGACTTCAACGCGGTACCACCCCAGCCTCTTCCTAATCAATTCTTATAATCATGATTTGTAGAGGTGTTTATAACAAATATAAATATAAATATAAATCTATAAAATGCAGAAGTGAACGAACTGCAGGAGCTGCTGCGCCTGGCCGACACAGACATGACAGCCGACGAGGAGGAATTGTTCGAACACAACTTCAACACCTACAAACGCTTCATCAAAGATGGCACCCACTACACGCTCGAAGGTTCGTCTTGCTGCGTGAACATGTTCAGGCATTTTATTTAAACGCACACGCGGCACCGCACACGCACACGCACCACCGCGCACGCACACACGCGCGCACAGGTGTGAGCGATACAGTGGAGATTCAGCTCAAAATCGAAAAGGCCAAGGCCGACCTCGTGTGCATGTGCTACGAGTTCGTGCGATCGTACTACATCAAGGTGGAGCGCACCAAGGTGTTGCGGCTGCTCGACGGGTTCAAGCGACTGCAGGGCCGACTGTCGACGCGGCACGAGCTGGGGCGCAGGGAGCACCTGCGCGAGTCCAAGCGCGAGTCGACCGCGGCCGCCGGCAAGAGCGAAAGCGAAGCCGAAGAGACCGAAGACCAGCCGAAGAAGAAGAAGAAGAAGAAGCAAAAGAACGAAGACGACAGCGGGAAAGCGATCTCTCCGCGACTGACAGACGGGTTCAAGATGAGGAGGAATGCCAAGAATGGAGGCGCGTGGAGTCACTACCTGCCCATCAACGACGAGCCCGCATTGGTGGTGGCCGACGCGTCGCCAACAAAGCAAAACACCACCCCGACGGTGGACGTCGACCAGTCCGTCGGACCCAGGTACCCGCTGCTGCGCGCACAGCGCACGGCCACCAGCGGCGATGCCATCACCATCAGCGGCGGCGGAAGCGGCGGCACCGGTGATGACGATGAAGCTGGGGCGTTGACGCCCACGACCCGGGAGAACACGTTCTACGACAGCGAGTACTTTCGCGCGGTGAGCTCCAAGCAGAGCAAGGGCCGCGCGGCGCGGGTCTACACCAAGGCCCGCGCCCAATGCACGCGCGCGAACGCGTTCGAGGCGGTGGCGCGCAAGCTGCCCATTTTGCGGTGGTTCCCGCTGTACTACCTGCCCTGGACGCTCCAGCAGCAGCAGCAAAAGCGGCAGCAGGGCGACGAGGAGGAGGCGGAGGAGCGGGGGTTGTGGTATGTGCTCGAGAATCTGCGAAGCGATCTCCTGGCCGCCATCACCGTCGGCTTCATGCTCATTCCTCAGGTGCGATCACACGCACACGCACACACGCAATACATACACGACACACACACACGACACACACACGACACACACGCACGGCATACGCATGGCACACGCACGACCGCACACGCATATTTACTCTGTTTAATGGATGTAGGGCATGTCATATGCGCTGGTGGCTGAGTTGCCTCCGATCTACGGCCTCTACTCTGCGCTCATTCCTTTGGCGCTCTACTGCGTACGCTGCCACCACCGAACTTCTGATTCCTTTTCGCATGCTTTGCCTCCGTGATGCGCTTACAAGCTGTTGCTGACACTTGGCGAATGCAACACAACACACGATAGTTCTTTGGTACATCGGCTGAGCTGTCGGTGGGTCCAACCGCGATGGTTTCACTTCTCATACCCGAAGCGGCTGGTACCATAGCCGAGGTGAGTCACGGGCAACCACCACCACTACTATTTTAGTCATTTTATCGAAATTTAATCTATTTTCCGTTCATTGTTTTGCTGACGTGCGCTCTTTCCGTGCGCGCGCGGCAGAAAGGGACCCCCGAGTATGTCCAAGCCGCACTGCTCGTGTCCGCCATTAGTGGGGTCCTGATGATATGTGGATCACTGCTGCACGTCGGCTTCATTCTCGAGAACATTCTCTCTCATCCGGTATGTCTGCAGCTACGCACACGCAAAAAGAAAGAAAGCGAAAGAAAGAAAAAGAAATGTGGGACTGACATTGTTCATGGTCGCGCACAACACCAGGTGTTGAGCGGGTTCACGTCAGGCGCAGCGATCATCATCATGGGCTCGCAGCTCAAACACTTGTTTCGGATCAGCATGTCCGGGAACACGCTGATCGAATACATTGAGTCCTTTGCAAATTCGGCTTCCGACATTCACGGCTGGACCACTGGTACTACGACATAACTCGTGTGTGTGTGTATAAATATATATTCTATATAAATATATATCATTTTATTATCCGTACATACCGGATTCGCTAACTACAACCAACCCAACCAACCACAGCTCTGGGGCTGATGTGCGTTGGATTGATCTTTTGCATGCGATATCTGCACCGACGGTATAGGCCATGTACTTGATGATATCTGAGTTGCAGCCTTCGTGAAAGTCGTCTCAGCTGATCCCTTTGCGTGCTTCTTGATGACTCAGGGTCCCCGCCTCGCTCTTGCTGTTGATCCTCACCACGCTCCTCAACTGGATCTTCGATCTGTCCACCAAGGTACGCTTCGAAATGAGCAAATAATTCAAACTACTTTGGTTTATTAGTTATTTATTTTATGATTTTCTTGATCTCAAACGCCTTTCTACGCGTGCGCAGCTGGGCTTGAAGGAGGTTGGCGCATTGCCCGATGGACTACCTGAGCCTTCCTGGGTCCACGCGCTCAGCTGGTACCATAAAATACAGGCGTGCCGTGTGTGTGTGTGTGTCTGTGTCTGTGTGCTGTCGCGTGTGCCGTGTGTGTCGTGCATGACCTCAGCTCTTCTCTTCGCTCGCAGGGACAACATCAAGACAGCCTTCCCAGCGGCCGCGACGGTCTCCTTGCTGGGCTTCATCGAGTCCATATCCGTCGCCAAGCAGTTTGCCGGTTCGAAATTCCTTTCGTTCTTGTTTTTTCTCACCACTGCCTTGGGTGAGCGCTAATCGTCCGTTTCCTTGCAGCCAAACGGCAGTATCACATCAGCGTGGGTCAAGAGTTGCTCGCGCTGGGCGTTTGCAATCTGGGCGGCGCCTTTTTCCAAGCCTGTACGTAGTCACACACACACACACACACACACACGCACACACACGCACGCACACACGCACCACCGCACACACACGCACAGCAAACAATGGCACGACACGCGCGCCAATGTCTCACCAGTGCTTGGTCGTGTGGTTATTTGCAGTCCCGGTGACCGGCAGCTTGTCGCGGTCGGCGGTCAACTTCCAGGCGGGCTCCCGTTCGCCGCTGTCGTCCCTCTTCACCGCCGGACTCATCAGTCTCACCCTGCTCTTCCTCACCCCCGGTACCACCGCATTCCCCGCATTCCTCGCCGTACGGCCCCCGCGCCTGACCATGTACCCGCCCGCAGCATTCCGCTACACGCCCCTGTTCGTGTTGGCATCGATCGTGGTGTCGGCGGCGGTGCTGCTGATCGACTACGAGGAGGTGATCTTTCTCTTCAAGATCGGTGACAGGGTGGACCTCGCCCAAATGCTCATCGTCTTCCTCGGGACCCTCCTGCTCGGCCCAGGTTCGACACGACACGCACGACACACACGACACACACGACACACACGACACACGACACACGACACACACCAAGTGTAGTGTGCTAATTCTATGTTGTGAGCAGAGCTGGGCGTGATGGTGGCGATCGCCGTGTCGCTGATTCAGCTCATCTTTAAGTCGGCCAAGCCCAATTTTGCGCGTCTGGGCCGCTTGCCCGGAACCCTCGTCTACAAGGACATCAAACGGTTCGTATAATACACAGTGAGCCTGGCGCGCTGTGCTCCTCTCCTGACCCTCGTGTGTCGTGTGTCGTGTGTCGTGTCGTGTGCCGCGTGTCGTGTGTCGTGTGCGGTGGTGTGTCGTGTTGCGCACAGGTTCCCTTCAGCGTTGAGGCACAAGGGCATCCTGATCGTTCGCTTCGATTCGAATCTGTTCTTTGCCAATGTCAATTGGTGCGCGGCCACACACCGTGAATCAGGGCCGCAGCTTGCCATTTTATTTTCTTTTATGTTTTGCTCAACGTGCCGGTCTTGTATTGTTTTAGGTTCAGAGAGACGCTCACCAAGTACGAGCTGAAGAGCAAGCACACGATCTACGCCATCATTCTCGACGCCACCGGTAAGACGACGCGCACACATCACCGCACGCGCACGCGCGACCGCACACGCACGGGCGGCTTACTGGTCTTTATGGGCGTAGGTGTGAACACGCTCGACTCGACGTCGATTCATCTGCTCGAGGACCTAGTGCAGGAGTACAAGACCAAACAGATCCGCTTCCTGTGGGCCAACGTCAAGGGCAGCGTCCGCGACACCATGAACGCCTCCGGTACCCCCAATGCCCTTGGCCTTTTAATTCTCTGTTGACTTATGCTCGTGCGTGTGCGGTGTGTGCGGCCTGTGTGTGCGTGTGTGTGTGTGTGTTGCGGTGTGTGCGGCCTGTGCGTGCGGTGGTGTGCGGTGCGAACACAGGATTGGCGAAAAAGCTGGGCGTGGACAACTTCTTTTTGACGACGCATGACGCGGTGGACTACATGCTGGCCGAGCTCGAGGACCACGGCCTCATCAAGCCCCACCTGCCCAGCACCTCGACCTCGCCCTCGCCGCTGTCGGAGGACGAACCCACCACCGACTCCGCCGCCTCCGACACCGACAGCGACGAGGCCCAGAAGAAGACACCCAAGTCGGGCGTGCTGGCGCGATATGCCGTCGACGTCGACGCTGATGGCGAAGGCGCTGCCGACCTTGAGCGGGGCGCCACCCGTGCCCGCCGGTGGTGAAGTAGCGACAAGACAATGATGTTGGTTGGTGCACAAAAGAAGAAAAAGAACGAAGACGAACAGAAAGAACGAAGAACAAAGAACGAAGACGAACCTTTTCGGGGCGCACCGTGAAGGAGCAGCGGTGCTCCAATTCAGCGGTGGCATCTTGCTATCACTGATGTGCAACTCCCAGAATCTGTTTTGAGAAAGGAGCCAAGAAGTGGGACTGCTCTCCACAAGGTGGCTGTGAAGAGAATAGGTTAACCTTCTGTGAAAAAACCTCTTTAAACACTCCCCCACCCCTCTGATGTGCTGCATTTGCTACGCGTCAGCATTCAGCGCCGGGAACTGGTCAGGGCGCGACACAACGGTTTGTTTGAAGCCCTACTTTGAGAGAAAAATGACTAGATTGTCGCAATGTGCGACGTACACGATAAGCCAGGAGTAGGTGGGCACGCCCACTACTCGAAGAGGTAAGCGTCGTGGCCGGTGCTCGCGCCGAAGAGGACAGTGCCAAAATCAGGAGTGGAGAGGAAGGAAAGCCACACGTCTTCTTCACCTGGTAGCGATGGTATGAAGAGTGAAGATGTTAGCCATTGTTTGGCCCCTGTGCAAGGACCCAAAGAAGCGGAAGATCAGCCTTACCTTGGGCAAGGGCGCGGTAAAGGCGTGGACGCAGCTGGTGCGGGATGAGGGTGTCCTCGCTCACGTTGCCTTCGGCGTCCATCAGGCTGGCGAAGCCATCATCGCTCAACATCAACAGCTGTCGATCCATCAAGTGGTCAACACACCCATCTGCAATGTTAGAAAAAATAAAGGTAGATGGATTGGTGGTGAGCTTATGGCGCACCTGCTTCTTCTCGAGGGTGACCGAGGGGCAAGCCCCGGCTTTACTCCAGCGGAAGGTGTAATGGTCCTGCGAGCCGATCTTCCTCAACGAACCTGTTCACGCGTACCAACCGCCATCAGAGAAAGGTAAAAAGACTTGAAAATGTGTGGATTGGATACCGCCACAGTTGTCGGGACCAATGGACTGGCTCCAGCCCAGTTCGGGTTTGCCCTCACAGTAGTTGTAGTAGTCATCGGGGTCGTTGACGCGGCAGAGCACGTCCCTTGTGAAGTACTGGCCGAGATCAGGCCTGCCGCGGTCCATGTCCTCCCACTCGAAGCGCTGGCAGTGGATGGTGGCGGTCTCGAGGAGCGCCTTGGTCGACCGCACCACATTCCTGAAAGCGGCCATCTTGAGCCACACTAATCCGCGCAACGCAAGCACGCACCCACACTCTCGCACCACCACGTGCACACGAGCACGTACGTTCTGAGGAGCTTGAGGGGGTTGTCTGCACAACGCTGCTTGAGTGCGTGGATCAGCTCTTCCTCGCGCTGGTGCCACTGGGAGAAGGGGATCTTGCTCTCCTGGTGGTGGTTGTTGCTGATGAACCTGTGCTCAAGCGCCACGGAATGTGGGTTCAGTGTCAGTCGATGACGCTGAGCACAACAACAAGCACGAGCACGGGGCTGCGTACGTGAGACTCTCCAGCTGTGGGCAAGTGGCGATGATATCGCTGAGGGACAGGTCCTTGGAGGTGATCTTGTGGCAGTTCTCGATGCAGATCTCCCTGAGCTGTGGCGCGCATGAGAAACACTGGGATGGCCTTCTGATGCCAGGGAATACAGCGTACGTGTCCATTCTGGCGTGACGAAAGGAGACCAGACAGGGCGTGGATGGTGATGTTGGGGCACCTCACCAGCCTGATCTGTTGTGGTCGAGTTCGTTAGTTTGCCGGTAAGAAAGAAAAAGAAAAAGAACGAAGACGAACAGAAAGAACGAAGAACGAAGACGAACCTTTTCGGGGCGCACCATGAAGGAGCAGCGGTGCTCCAATTCAGCGGTGGTCATCTTGCTGTCACTGATGCTCAACTCTCTGAACCTGAGTGTGGCCAAGGAGGGGAGAATGAGCAGGGCTTGGGGCAGTGGGTGCGAGTGAGGCCAAAGAAGAATACCGGGCCCAGATGGAGGTGCAGGTGTCGATGAGACCGCGCCACTGCTGGCATACGAGACGTTTGGTGACGAGGGCAGCGGCACTGTCTTCATGCGAGTATGAGAGGATATGGCTCACTACTTCCGGAGGCAGATCGTCCATGTTGGCAAAAGCTTCTTGGTGGTTTGCTCAGGAACGATGATATTCTACTGTTAGTTTGTGATTTCTTCTGCCTATTTCCATAGTTTTATACCGACCGGCCAGGCAAGTGTCGGGCCGTACCCGACATTAAAGGAAAATTACCCAAAGTAGCAGCATGTCTGACAATTGCAAGAAACTTCGCGCCACGTTCACCAAATCATGATAAAATATTAATTTTTATTTTTATTTTTTTGGTTTTTAGGTTCATGTCTGTCGGACAAGGTTACAGTGCCTCCCCCAAACTCCCAGTTTGTCTCCCTCCATCCTCATCGTCTTCATTCATGTGGGGTGGTGGTCCTCCGATCTTTTCTCTACGACCTGATGTCCACCTCCCTCCACCTCTCGTCGTTCTACTCAACTCCGCCTCCGCCTCCACCTGGTCCGAACGCAACACCTCCTTGTACATGTCCACCATCAACGCCAGTCCGCGGTTGGTGAGGATGTACCGCACGTGAATGAGGCCGTACAGCATCTCCGCTGCAGATTCTATGCTGTCCTGTTGCTCCTCAGTGAGGGCCTCATCTGAAGCAGAGGTACTTCCGCCGGCAGATCGTCCATGTTGGCGTGGTGGTTTGCTGTTCCTGATATTCTACCACTAGTTTGTGATTTCTGCCTTTGCCATAGTTTTATACCAGCCGCCATCTCTGACGGGTCATTGGCGATGCTCACAAAGGCTTGAAATAGCGACAGGGTGTCGTCAGTGTCATTCACGACGCCGAGGACGACGAACACGAATGGGAAATGCACATCAAGGCCCTCTGCATCACCACGGCCTATCACCCAGTGCTGTGGTTGCAAAGGAACGTGACTTTGGGTCTGCTCACTCTCATCCATGACGCCTTGGCAGACTTCTCTCTTCTGGCTGTCTTTGTCTTGGGCCAAGCCTCACTGTTGTAGGCAGACAGGAAGCAAGTGGTGTGTTTCTTGGTATGCCATGTCAGCAGCAGGAAGTTGGCATAGCCACCTTGACTGAGAGCTTGGTCTTGACAAGCCACCTGGCGAGGGCGCTGGCCAGGGGCGTGCGCAGCCTTGCTACGCTGGAGCCTAGCCGGGGGATACTCAGCCATGAGCCACAGTGCTGTGCTGGCTGATGGGGTGCTGGGTTGCTTGTGGGGTGGTAGTGGTGTCCCTTGTGCAACTTGCCAGTGGTGGTCCCACTGCAGAGGTGAAGAGCAACTGCCCTCAGGCTTGGCTGGCAGTGGAGATTGTGTGAAGTGATTTGGAGTGTGAGCTCAGAGGCCAACTGCATCCACACTTGTACTGCATGGGGCGCAGGTGTTTTGAGCACCATGTTGAGTGTGGCAAAGATGTGCTTCTGCAGCACTGACAGGCAGGCAGTCATCAGGGCAGCAGGCATCTCATGTTGCAGCAGGTTGCCATCCTCAACATTCCAGAAGCCAATGACATAGTCTTGAGCAATGGCGTGGGTGGCGTCCTGTTTGACCTTGGCAATCTTGCAGCGCAGGAGGTGGAAGCTATCCTTTATCTGACTGACATGCAGGTTGGCAATGGGATGTGACCCTCAGAAGGCATGTGTGATGCCCACTGTGAGGATGTGGGCCTTGGGAAGTTGGGCTTAAAGGGAGCATAGGCTGTGCTGTCAAGTGTGTGACGTTGACATGCATGTGGTCAAGCAGGAAGGGCTTTGTGATGTGGTGGTCCTGTAACATCCTCATTGAGTGTGACATTGTGTGGAGGGTGCAAAAGTTGGCTGTGGAGACATAGGAGAGCACCTTGCATAGGAGTTCGCCCTCTATGCCAGCTGGAGCAGAGAGGAGGGTGATTGGTGGGACATCCTCTGTCAGTGCAGGCAGAGGTGCAGAGCTGGTGTTGTCAGGTTTTGGACCAACACCTCAGCCAAAGTCAGTATGGGGTTGTGTGCTGCTGTGACAGGAAATTGGCAACTGCAGCCACACCAAGGGAGGTGGAACACCCCCCTATGTTAGCAAATTACAACATTAGAGGAAATGGTGGCAAGAATGGAGGCTGAAAAAAAAGAAGAAAACATTGCCCATAATCTTGAGGTTGAACAGCTGTGTGCTTAGATGCATCAAATGACACATCACAATAAATGCCTCAAGGCTAAACCTTTGTGCCCTTACAGCAAAATGGGAAGTGTGCCTGGTGGTTTGCTGGTGGGGTGCTACCAAGCAAAAATTGGTACTTTGCTGACATGTCATGACTGAAAAAGGGAAGTTGACAGATCAGGCCAGCAACTGGGAGGCCATGTTCAGAGCAGTTGGTGGCCAGGTAGGGCGGACACCCCAGCAACACAGGAATTGGGCCTAGTACAGCACGATAAACGGAAATGATATGTCTGGCGTGCGAAGTGGAGCAGCAGCCCATTGGTCTAGCCCCAGGAACTCCGGGCTGCTGGCTCCGCGTGGTACCAATTTTTGCTTGCCTGTGTCGCGTCACTCATTTTTTCTTAGCCGCCTTCACCACAACACAACGTACTCCAAAGCATGTCTCAACCTCTGCGCCCAACAACTGAAGGCCCCCGGGTGTGGCTCATCACAGGCTGTTCCTCGGGCTTGGGCAAAGAGCTCGCGCTTGCTGCAACGTGGAGACAAGGTCATCGCCACTGCCCGATCGGCAGCAAAGCTCTCTGAGCTTGTCGAAGCCGGCGCCCACGCGCTCCAGCTCGACGTCACCAGCCCGCTCGCCGAGCTCGAGGCCCTGGCCGACCAGGCCGTCGGGGTCTACGGCCGCGTGGACCTGATCATCAACAACGCCGCGTATGTATTTCAGGGAGCCATTGAGGCCTCCAGGTCCGTAATCACCTCTCCCGTATGCGTAAATGGTGTACACCATTTGCACCACAACTGACACCCGAGGTCTCTAACCAGCCCTGAGGAAACGTTCGCCCAGTTCAATACCAATGTCCTGGGTTTGCTGAACGTCACTCGAGCCTTCCTCCCTCATCTGCGGGCACGCAAGTCAGGTGTTGTGGCTCTCGTAGGCAGCGTGGGCGGCTGGCAGAGCGCCGCTGGTATGGGTCTGTACTGTTCCACCAAGTTCACCCTCGAAGGTACACTCACAAACAAAAAACTTGGTCGTCCGAAAATGTTCTGAGCGTTATTGTTATTATTATTATTATTACCTACAGGCATTACTGAGGCACTGCATCAGGAGTTAGCTCCGCTTGGCATCTCTGCCACCATCATCGAGCCGGGCTACTTCCGAACGTCCCTTCTCAACCCGGGCTCCAACTCATTCGTCGCCCAGCGCCACATTCCCGACTACGACCAATCTGCCGGCGTCGTACTAGCAAAGCTCAAGGAGGTGGACGGCAAGCAGCCTGGAGACCCCGTCAAGGCGGTGGAGCGCATTGTGGACGTGCTCACGTTGTCTGGATCGGCTGCCGGTCGCAAGGAGATCCCCCTTCGCTTAGCGCTCGGAATGGACGCGTACACGGCTATCAAGGCGAAATGCGTGTCGATGCTGGCGCACCTTGAGGAGTGGAAAGATCTCTCATTGGGCACTGAGCACGATGACGTACTTGGGCAGTAACCTTCTTCCCCGTTCTCGGGAGCCCGTCGGCGCAGTGGAAAATAAAAATAATTGGTGCCAAGCTCTCCCAGCCGGCGCCGCGCCGTTCGGGCTATGTCACACGCTCGGCTCTCGGCGCAGCACGCCTGGCTCAAGTGCCCGCCTAGCCCCTAATCCCGCGGGGTCTTTGTCTTGCCCCCCCCCCAATTATCCGAACTCAGCGAACTTATGACCCAGCGAGCGCATGACAGACGAAGCCAACCGCGCTCTTGTCCACAGCGCGTGATGTCGGACAGGCGGCGAGGTGCCCTTCTCGCAGGCACAGCCAAAGTTCCGCACTGCGACGCGCTGGTCAGCACAACATGCAACAAGTGCCTCTGTGTTACTCACTGCTTCGACTACTCGCTAAACAGCGACGCCGCTCCTTGCAGATCGCCAAACCATCGCCACAGAATCAGCGTGGCTTGGCGACAATTGCAAGAAACTTCGCGCCACGTTCACCAAATCATGATAAAACATTGATTTTTATTTTTATTTTTTTGGTTTTTAGGTTCATGTCTGTCGGACAAGGTTACAGTGCCTCCCCCAAACTCCCAGTTTGTCTCCCTCCATCCTCGTCGTCTTCGTTCGTGTGGGGTGGTGGTCCTCCGATCTTTTCTCTACGACCTGATGTCCACCTCCCTCCACCTCTCGTCGTTCTACTCAACTCCGCCTCCGCCTCCGCCTCCACCAGGTCCGAACGTAACACCTCCTCGTCCGCTCGCGCCGCTCACTCCTCCATCTTCCTCGCGCCGGCCGTAGCGCCTGAGTTTGTGTTGTTGGAGAGAGTTTCTGGCCCGGGTCAGTGCAGTCAACAGTTGCGTTGCATTGCGAGTGCGCGTGCCGAGCAGGAACGGTGCATGTGCATGTCGCGGTGGCGCGTGGTTTTCAAGCGAGAGAAGGTGAAGGGGCGAAGGCGCGCGTACCGATCCTCGACCTGGCGCTCTTGTGAATCTTGAAACCGTAGATCCTGGGCACGTAGGAGATGGTGGGCTTGGGCGGGATGAACTCGGGGTACATCTGAAGCAGCAGGTGCGGGAACGTGCTGCCGAAGTAGGCACCATCGATCTCTACAATGCGATCCATCAGCGCGATCAGGCATCGACACGCAACCGCACACGCACACACCGCACACACACGGAGAGAGAGAGAGAGACGTACGGTTGTGGCGAGAGAGCTTGGGGTAGTAGATGTCTTCGCAGCGCGGGCAGAAGAGCTTGACGGTGTTCATGCGCGGGATGTCGGACTGGCCGACGGGCAGGACGGCCTGGCCCTGGCAGTAGACTCGTGGGCAGCGGCCAAACTCCATGGCGTTGTACTTGTCCACCATCGACGCCAGTCCGCGGTTGGTGAGGATGTACCGCGCGTGAATGAGGCCGTACAGCATCTCCGCTGCAGATTCTATGCTGTCCTGTTGCTCCTCGGTGAGGGCCTCATCTGAAGCCATTAAAAATGCAGAGATTGTGATTAATCAACGGTTCGATCCAGTGAGTGCCGAGAGACGTGATAATGTGAAAATGACAAAAGAAATGCGAAAATTCGCTCGAACGACAAAATCGGACAGATTGGCAACGGCATACACCAAGATGGATGCTAATGACGTACCAGATTCAGCATCGAGAATCATGTCCAGAGCATAGTCATAGTTGGAGACGATACTCCGCAGACCCGTGAGGTTGAAGTCGTCCTGGATGTAGTCCTCGTCCACCTCTACAAAAAATTCGTTGCCCTTGAGACTGCAAAACCACTGAATCCAGGTCTGATCCTCCGACGAAAGCTCATCCGAGTCTGATTCGGAGTCCACCTCGACATCCTTTTTGTTACCCTTCTCGCTGGCGGCAGCTCTGCTTTTGCTTCTCTGTTGATTCGATGAGAAAAAGAATTAACAAAATCGGAGGGAGGGGGAAGCGGCAGAATGAAGCGAGAGTTGAATGAGGTGATCGGTGATGAATCGCCCCAGTTACAGATAAATTACAGCCTCGATTAGAGGGAGGGGAGGAAAATTGAAAAAAGAGGGCGACAGAAGAAAGGACGTACATTCATGCTGGAGTGTTGTGGGGCGAACCTAAGCGCAAGATATGGACAGAAAGAAAGATGGGAGAGAAGGAACAAGAAGAGGAGAAATCAAGTTTGATACAAGAGGCCGCCCCCTTCGCAGATGTGCTGCTCCGTTTGCTCGCCGGAAGCCAAAAAAATAAGCGAAAAAAGAAAACGCGAGCAAGAAAACAAACAAAAATCAAAAATGGGAGCCACACGCAACAGCGCGTAACATCAGGTGCGCTCACGATCTGTCAGACAGCCACTGGTCCAACACGCAAGGCCGATGATGATGGTGTGAGTGGGCCATGTAACACTTCTTCTTCAAGATACTACTAAGTCAAGAACAAAACAAAACCAGACAAGACAAGACATAGTGCCACACAACAACACACGCAGCTGTAGCTGGTGGTGCCGAAGTTGGCGGTTAGCCGAAGGGGTGGGCCTCCTCGTTGATGGAGAGTGCGGGCATGCCCATCGAGCCCGGTCCCGGGATCTTGCTCTTCTCGGCGACAACGGCCAGGCTGCCGCTGCGGGTCCGGGAGTGCTTCTTGTCGTCCCGCTCGATCTTCTTCTCCTCCTGCGCGATCTTCTTCTCGACCTTCTTCTTCTTTTTCTCTTCCTTCTTCTTCAGCCTCTCTTCCTCTTCCTTCTTTCGCTTCTCTTCTTTCGCTTTCTTCTTCTTCTCCTTCTCCTCGAGCAGCCGCATGGGCGCCCACGACCGCCTCCTCGCCTCCTTCGCTTTCTTCTCCTCCTTCTCTCTTTGCTTGGCCTCGTCTCTTTCGCTCTTTCCCTCCACCAGCGCCTCGGAGCTCGTCGCCTTGGCGCCCTCCTCCTTCAGCGCCTGCTTCAGCTGCGACTTGCGCGCGCCCCGCAGCGCCCAACTCCGAGCGCGCTCCTTCTTGGGCTCCTTGCCGTCGTCGTCTTCGTTCTTGTTCTCTTTCTCTTTCTTGGCCTTGGCCGCCGACGAGCCGGAGCCGAGCTTGCGCGACCGCGGCGAGGTCAGGTTGAGTACGGCCTCGTCCCGCGCGCGGCGTTCGATCTCCTCGCGCTCCTTCTGTTCACGCTCCTCGCGCTCGGCCCGCTCCTTCTTCTCGCGCTCTTCGCGCTCCTTCTTCTCCTTCTGCGCGTACTCCTGCTCCAGCTGCTCGCGGATGGCCTTCTTCTCCTGCTCGAGCTTCTCCATCACCTCCTTCTCCAACTGCGCCCTGATCTGGCTCTCCCGCTCCTTGGCCCGCTGCTCGTCATCCTATTCAATCAAATATTTTTGTTGTTAAAATTAGTCCAGATTAACAAAAAACAATTATAATTGTAGAATTGATTCTTCTAAATTAAATATATTAAATGTTGGGAGTACCTCTTGCTTCTTGATCTCCTCTTGGCCCTTCTCCTGCTTCTTCCTGAGCTTCTCGCGGTCTCTGAGTTCCTTGTCGCGCTTCTCCTTGACCACGCGGGCCTTGCGGTCCTTCTCCTCCTGCTCCCGGCGATCCTTCTCCTCCTGCTCCCTCCGGTCCCGCTCCTCCTGCTCCCTCGCCAGACGCGCGTGCCTCTCCTGCTCCACCCTCGCCATCTCCTGCCCGATGCGAACACGATCGGCGTAAGTCCGAGCCAACGCAAACTCGGACTTAAAAACAAACAATCGAATAAAATAAAATAACAATAAATTATAAATAAGGATAATAATAAGAATAAATAGCTAAATAATAAAAATCAATAAAGCGTACCTGGCTGTTGTTGACGAAGGCGGCGGCTTCCTCGGCTTCGAGCTCGTCGAAGAGCTCCTTGAGCGAGCGGAAGATCTCCTCGAACGAAGGCCGGCCCTCCTTCTCGAACTGAGTGCAGTCCATCGTGAGAAGCGCCAAATCGGGCGGACCTGATGGTGATGGTGAGAAGTCAGCAACGACATGCACTCGTCGACACACGACACACACGACACACACGACACACACGACACACACGACACACACAATGCCAATATGTTGGTGAACGTACAGTCGGGAGGCATGTATTGGGTGAGAAGACCCGACGGGAACGAGTACTTCGTCTCCAGGCTCCTCTTCGGCGGCGGGTGCCGGCAAATCATCTCAAAGATCACAATGCCAAAGCTGTACACGTCGCATTTCTCGTCGTAGTCCTCACCCAGCATGACCTCGGGCTGAACAAGAAAAGCAATTTTACTCATTAGCCGTGTGTGCGGTGGTGCGTGTGTGCGTGTGTGCGATGGTGCGTGTGGAGGGATGCGCACCGCCATGTACAGTTCGGTACCGGCGACCGACATGCTACGGGTGAGTTTCTTTGTGGTGCGGGCGAACCCCAAGTCGCACACCTTCACGCGGCCGTTCTCGGTCAACAGCAGGTTCTCCGACTTGAGATCTCTGTGTGCGGTGGTGCGTGTTGTGTGCGTCGTGTGCGGTGAGCAACGCAGCGTTGGCAGCACTGAGACGACCGGGACGCACCTGTGGATGATGCTGTGGGCGTGGAGGTAGCGCATGGCAACGGCGGCGTCGATGAGCATCTGTGTTCGGTCCTTCCACGATATCTCGACGCTGGAGTTCTTGAGCAGGTGCGTGAGGTCGCCGTTGGGAATCCACTCCGTGACGATGTACACGCCCGACGAGTGGACGCACACGCCCATGAAGTTGACGATGCACGGATGCCGAATTCCCCTGTGTTTAATTAATGCATTTAAATATTTGAATTTTTAAATAAAAAAATAACAAAGAAAAAACAAAAAGAAAGAGGAGGTGGGCGTACTTGAGGGTGGAGACCTCTCGGGCGATGTACTTTTGGTCATCTTCCACGTACCCGCTCTCTATGAACCTGGTTTGAGCCAACGCGGAGTTAAAGAATTGAAATTAGATAGCCATGTGCCGCGTAACAAATAAATAAAAATAAATACAAATAAATTAAAAAAAGAAGCAAGTCGTGGGGTCATGGTCACGGCCAACAACAACAAAGGGGAGAAGTGTACTTTTTGATGGCGACGGGGGTGCCGAAGTAGTCGCCTTTGTAAATCTTGCCGAAGGCGCCCTCGGCAACCTCGCCCTCGAAGTTGAGGTCCTTGTAGTCGATTTTGAAATCCGTCTCCCAAATGCCCTCGTGGTCATTGCTCCCGCTGTCCATCTTTTCCTTCTTCTCTCTTTCAAAAAAAGATTGAACGATGAGGAGGTCGAGGGCGCGAACGGCAACGGACACAGCGCTGTGTTTCGCTTCTGGCCAACAAGAATGAAAGCGATAACAAAAGAACGAAAACGAAAAGACAGAAAAAGAGAGAAAGACAACACCCAGCAACCGCATTCAAGCCGTTCGCCCAGTTCGTTGTCCGGTTCCAAGGGGCATCACAGAGCACACGCCTTACCAGTAAATGGGTCTTGTGCTTTTTCTGTTGAAATCAAGAACGATCGGGTGAGGTGGTGGAAGGCGAGGTGGGCTGATTCTTCTTTTCTTGGTCTGGTCGCTTGGTGGCGGCGTGGAACTGGCGGATCGTCTCCCTGGCCTGCTTGTCCTTCTGCAGCTTGTGCTGCTCGATCATGTGAATGACCCGCCTTCCTCTCTTCACATCCGCCTGTTGCGTGTGCGGTGGTGTGTGTGCGGGGTGTGTGGCGCGTGTGCGCGTGTCGTGTCGGGGTTAGTCCCATAACAGTGAGAGCAAACAAATGTAAAAAAAGGTCAGGAGGAGCGAACCGCTGGAATGCAGAATGAGAGGAGGGTGGTCAAGGTCTTGATGTCCGGTTTCGTGGCGTAGTCCGTGTTCATCCTGTGCAGCCACTCCTCGGCCTTGTCCAAATTCCCGTTTCTCGCCCACGCCTGTGTGGTGCAGTGTTAGTATTGTCAACTCCTTGTCGTGCGCGCGTGTGCGATGCGATGCGGTGTGTGTGTGTGTGTGTGTGGTAGTGCGTGTGTACCTCGATGACCGAAGTGAAGTTGTTGGTCTCCAGCGCGATGCCGTATTCCTTCATTGCGCCGCACAGCACCTTCTCGGCCTCCTCCGGTTTGCCCATCCGTCCGTAGGTGTCGATGAGGAGGTTGAAGACGACGTTGTCCGGCGCTCTGCCCTCCTTCTTCATCCGTGAAATTAATCGGAGCACCTTCTCGAACTGATCCGCGCGCGTGTAGGCGTCCATGAGGCTCGCTATCGTGTACATGGTCGGCTGTAGCCCTTCCCTGTATTTGCGAACATTGTCATGAGCGTGTGTCGTGTGTGTGTATGTGTGTTGCGCGCGCGCGATGGTGCATGTGCGGTGACGAGTGGTACCTCTTCATGAGTACGTAAAACTTTTCGGCTTCGACGGCCTTTCCGGTTTTGGCCCAGGTGTCTATGAGCGTGTTGTACGTCTTCACGTCTGCCGCCACCCCATCTCTGATCGCACCACAAAAATGTGTGTAAGCCAGCACATCGTGAGGGTGTCGTGTGTGCGGTGTGTGTGTGTGTGCGCGCGCGCGTCGCAGGTGCACGAACCTTCGCATGGCTTTGAAGGTGTCCATCATGCTATGAATATTCCTGGCCTTGCCGAACGCGTTGATGATGGTATTGTAGACCGCCGTCGACGGCTTGACGCCGAGCCGCTTCATCTTGTCCAGCGTGCGCAGCATCTCGTCGCTCCGCCCCGCCGTGCCGAGCATGTGCAGGATCGCGGTCCACGCGTGGAGGCTCGGCTGGCCGCCCGTCGCCGCGATCGAATCGAAGGCCTCCAGCGCCTTGTCGACGCGGCCCGCACGCGACCACGCGGCGACCACCGCCGAGTGGGTGAAGTTATCGAGGCCCAGGCCCGGGTCGGCCCGCATGCGCTCGACCAGGGCCTCCATCTTGTCCATCATCTGCTGCTGGCCGTAGCTGTGGACCATGGCGTTGTAGGTGGTCCGATTGGGCTCGACCCCGTCCCCCGACGAACGCTGCATCTCGGCAAAGGTGCGCTCCATGGCCGCCACGTCGCCCAGCTTGCCCAGGGTGGCGATGACGCTGGTGTAGACCACCACGTTGGGCCGCAGGCCCTGCTCGCGCATGTCCTCCCACGCCTGCCACATGCGGCGGAGGTCGCCCGCCTTGCCCCACGCGTCGATCAGGATCGTGTAGGTCGACATGCCCGGCCGCACGCCGACCTCGCGCATGTCGCGCTGCACCTGCGCCAGCCGCTGCCGGTCACCCGCGCGGCCGTAGCCCTGGAGCAGGACGTCGAACACGGCCAGCGGCACGGGCGCCGCCGCCTGGGTGGTGGTGGTCTCGGCGCGGAGGTGGTCGTAGAGCTGGGTTGCCAGGTCGGGCCGCTTCTCCTCGAAACACTGCTCGATCAGCATTTCGTACTTCGCACCGGTCGGTCCCTGCGTGTTGCGCCGTTCAACGGTGTCAGACGTGTGCGTGTGCGTGCGCGTGTGCGTGTGCGTGTGCGTGCGCGTGTGGTGTACCGGAGGCGCGTTGGCGAGCATCTCGAGGAGGATGGGCAGAGTCTTCTCGCGCTCCGTGAGCTTGCGAAAGCGCGCGGCCCACTGGTCGAGGCCGGGGTAGCGCTGCCTCCGGAGGACAGCGGCCGGCCTGGCTTGCCCTGCATGCCTGCAGACCTCCTGAGTCAGCAGAGCCCATCGCTGCCACGAACGAGATGCGTGCCGATCGATTATGATTTTACCTTGCTTTGTGCGTAGAGGACTCTTCGAGGTTGTGTGTGGACGAAGCAAATCGCGAGCCCTGTACGATTGATCAATAAAATCAACTTCACTTGATATGGAATTGGAGAAGATCGTATCCGTACGGATGCAGCATTGGTGGATAGGCGCGCTGATGATGAAAATGAAGATGAAAATTGTGGAGGGGAAGAAGAGGATGACAGAAAGCAGGTGCGGCAGGACAGCGAGGGGCTGCCACCAAGTCGTGGCGCCGAAGAGGAAGAGGTGACCCAGCGTCGCAGGTGATCAGCCCCACCAGTGCGGGCACGCATGGCCGAAAGATGAAGTCCAGGAAAAGAATTTTCTGTTTTATTATCTGGTGTAAAATCACCGCCAGACAACCTGTGGATAACTGCACCGGTCTTCTTCTTCTGCTTCATCTTGTCGTCCTTCTTCCGGCAATGTGCATGTGCTTGGTGAGACGCCAAAGCTTGGCGAGTGTGAAATGTGCGCTCGCACGTCGGACACGTCGGTGCCCCTTGAGGTGTAAGCGTCGGTAAGCTGGAAGGGCGCGGTGGGGACCCCGTAGGAGGTGTTGAGCATGCCGCCTGGGTACCACCGGCACTCTTCACGATACTGTCATCCGAATCCTGGCGTGAAGAATTGGGCAAGCGTTATGAAGGTGTGTTGCAACACACAAAGAGGAAGCAGACAACCAACCTGTGGGGGATTGCTCGATTTGTCAAAGCACGTGCGGCAGAGCACAACGGCGTCCTCGCTTTCTTCTTCGTCATCATCTGACGACTCCTCTTGCTCCTCGGCGCCTCCTTCCACTTTCGGCCGAAAGAAAAACGAACGTCAGCGTTGGACATTGCAAAGAGGGGATTGGCATGAGTCATCAACACGTACTCCGCCTTCTGCGTTGCGTGACCTGGTGGCGATAGATGACTTGGTCTTGGGCGTTGATCACGCTGATTGCCAGGCGGTGCAGGGTGGGTTTGTGCGTCTCCATCGGGTTCAGGCACACGAGTCGGCCCCAATTGATGTCGCACACGAAGAAGGCCACCCGACCGTCATCGTTGGCTCGGCCGCCGTTGACTTGACGCTGGGCGAGGAGTGTCCACGGCCAGTAGTAGTCGGGCCGCCGTCGAATCCGTGCAGCGTCACCGACGGCTGGACGGCGTCGACGTGCGCCCGGGAGATGAGCAGCCGCAGTTGCGTGCCGGTCGGGTGCTCGGGAGCATCATGCAGCTCGCACAGGACCTCTCCGACACAGGTGCTGCTGGTGATCACCGGTGGCGGCGACTCAAGTGGTGTCTGCATTAACCACGCCGGCACAGACGATGAAGACGAAGACAAAGATGAAGATGACGAAGTGGCCGAGCCGGATGAGTAGCCGAAGAGTGAATCGATCGCTGTGGCCTCGAAGCCGTCGTGGAGGTGCACCGTGGGAGTCGGAGCTTGGTCAGTGGCCACGTTCTTCTCCGCTGGGGCGTGTTCTTCCAGTCGCGGTTTTTTCTTTGGTTCGTGTATCTTGGCGTGGCTGATGAGGGCCTGGGCTGATCCGATAACCCTCTTACACACGGCGCAGATTACTGGCTTCGTTACCCGCTTGGTCCGCGGCCGCTTCTCACCTCCAGCATACTTTTGGGTGGAAAGGTTAATTAAAAAAAAGGTGTGGCCTCACCTGTGAGCGCTCTCTGAGCGTTGTGGGGGGTGGATACCTTTTCTTCTCTTTGCATCCGTGGGTGACAGAGAAAGTGAGGCGCTGGGTCCAATTTGATACTTCTTTGTTGCCACTTCGACCAAAAAGCAATTTGAATAATAACTGCTGACGTGGCTCCCCACCGACTGAGTTGTCCTTGGTGACGTCTGGAGCCATGTTGAAATCTAAAGCCCTGTCATAATACTGTGCCTCTTCTTGCCCCAGAAACATGTTGTATTGCTCCCTTTCACTTCTGCTCATTATCCGCCGTCTTCTTTTGTTGCTGCTTGTGCCCTTTCTTCTTTTTCTTCTTGCCGCTTGCATTCTCCTCCTCGCTGTTCTCGTTCCTCTTCCTCTCTGCAACATCCTCTTCATCGTTTGGTGTCGTGGTTTCGACGTCTGCGGTCGAGGGCTCCTTCGCCTTGGGGCTCTTCTTTGCCTTCTTCTCCGTCACTTTGTTGGCATGACCTTCACTTTGTGTCGTCTCGTCGCTCTGCTTTCCTTCGCTAATCGCAGCCTCTTCGTTTTGTTTCTTCTTCTTGTCTTCTCCTTCCTCGTTCTTAGTCTTCGTTTTCTTTGTTGTCGCCTTCGTCACTTCGGCTGGTTCCTCGCTTTTGGCTTCGCTCTTTGCCTCGTCTTCCCTGGCCTTGTTCTTCTTCGACTTCTTCTCCTTTCCCTTTGTCTCCACCGCCGCCGTCTCTGCCACCTCTTCGCTTTCGTTTTCGTTCTTCTTCGCTTTCTTCTTTTTCTCTTTCTTCTCGCTTTTCGCTTTTTGCTCGCTGCTCGCCGCGTCTCTCTCGCCGCGGTTGAACCGTTCGACCCGCTCCACCAGGCGCTTGGCCGCCTCCCGGTCCTTGCTCCGCCGGCCGTCCGCCACCGGCACCGAGAGCCGCGCGAGCCGGAGGCCCGCCCGGACCACCTTGTCGAGCAGCTCGTCGTAGACGCACAGCGGGATCGCATTGTCGTCGCACCCGAGCTCGACCAGCTTCGGGTGGGCCTCGACCACACGCACCAGCTCCCGCGCGGCCTCCTCGCCCGCCTCGTTTCCGTCGACCTCGAGCCGCTCGAGCCCCGGCGCCGCTGCATCGGCGCATGCCAGGCATTCCAGAGCCGCGCCCAGCGCCGGCCCGAATCGGAGAGGCGTTGTAGTCGCTGCTGACGTCACCGACACCGCCGCGGCGTCTTTCTTCTTCAGCGTGCTGCCGCGGCTTGTCGCCGAGTCGGCCGCGCTGCCGCGTTTGAGCGTGCCGCGCGAGTGTTCGCCGGGCAACGACGACGAAGTCGACGAGGCCAGAGCGGCGGCGGAGTGGTGGCGGCCGGGCGGCCGGGCGGCGCCGCGGAGGGTGAAGGATCGGAGGGACGGGCCGGCCTTGGACAGGAACTGGTGGATGGCGGTCGCCGTCTTCTCGCGCTCGTCGCCCTTGCTCTTCGTCACATTGTACGACACACTGCGAACCGCACACACCACCGCACACCACCGCACACACTCCATTGGTTAGAGTGGGTGCTGGGCTGGGTGAAGAGGGGCACGAACCTGAGCGAAGTGAGCTGGAGGTCGGGCGTGAGGGCCGTCAGAGCGGCGAAGAGCTCCTGCATGCCCGCGTCCTGCAGATCGCAGTCGTCCAGGACCAGTCCGCCCAGCCTGTTGACTCCGCCGATCACCTGTGCGTGTGCGGTCGTGCGTGTGCGGTGGCGTGTGTGCGGTTACGATGACGCACTGAATGGAACGAAGAAAATGAAGAGAAAGAGAGAAAGAGAGAGCTTACCAGCTGGGAGATGAGTGGAGCGATGTCGGGCCGGAGCGCGGGGTTGCCGCTGAGGTCGAGGTCGACCGGCTCGGTGAGGTCGTTGTTGTTGTGGAGGGCCGTCAGGAACTTGGCCACCTTGGGCGCCGTGATCCCCGTGTACGAGATGTCCAGGTGGCGCAGCGTCGTCGTGAAGAGCCCCAGCGACACCAGGTCCTCGGCTTGCTCTGTTCGCGTGCGTGAAAAATAAAAATAAATAAATAAGCAATAAAGCAATAAATCCACAATAGCCCGGCTGTGAGTTACCTTCTGTGATTGGGTTGTGGGAGACGTTGAGGCGTCGCACGCCGCATCCCTTGTTCTTGACGTACTTGCAGATTTCTGGGTGGCGTGTGTGTGTGCGTCGTGCGTTGTGTGTCGTGTGTCGTGTGTCGTGTGTCGTGTGTCGTGTGTCGTGTGTCGTGTGTCGTGTGTCGTATCATTTGAGTAAGATGCAACGTGAGAGAGAGAAAACAAGGAGAACGTACCGGCAATGTCGAGGGCGCAGTTGGCGAGGTTGATCTCATAGAGACACGAACCGGAGGAGATCACGTGATTGAGCGAAGTCGTGCCCTCGAGACCCAGCATGTTGTGAGAGAGGTTGAGGTATCGCAGATTGGCGCCTATCACCCCCCCCCCACATCATCGAGACGGCTGTGAGTGACCATGTCATTGACACAAAAGCGAAAGCGAAAGCGAGCGAATAAAGAAAGAAAGAAAGAAAGAAAGAAACGGTACCCGTGGCAAAGATGAGTGCCTCGGAGAGATAGGCGATGCCCTTGTGGGTGATGGCGCAGTTGGAGAAGTCCACATGCGAGATGTGGTTCCCAATGATCTTCAAAATTTCACCTGCAAACACGACATACACATTACACAATAAGTTGTTAGTGCTCAAGAAAGAACGAAGAGCGAAGAACTAAAACGAAAACGAAAAGCGAAGGGCGAAGAGAGGGGAGGAACCCAAGTGCTTCCAGGCCTTTTCGTCGAGCTTGGTGCCGGCGAGAGAGAAGTACTCGAGTTCGAGTTCGCCCAACGCGGGCGGGGCCAGGGTCGAATACGACACCGACGATCCAAGCGAGGAGCGCGGCGATACCACCGACGAGGCCACCACGGACGACGACGGCAGCGACGACCGCCGCTTCTTCAAGCACTCACTCAGCTTCTTGAAGAACGACTCTGTGTATCATGACGGTATTGTTGTGTGTCAGCAAACACGAATCAGATTTAGGTCCGAGCAAGAAATTTACCTCCGAGGGGAAGAGACGAGAGGGTGAGATGGGTGAGCGACGACGTGTGGGAGAGTAGCTCGACGATCTGCGTTTCGAGCGTCTTGCTCCACGGCTCCGTCAGCGCTCCTTCCACTAACCGAGCAGCTCGGAGTCAGTTTTAGCTCCGATTAACGCCTGATTTGGTTTGCAGGCCGCAACGTACCACGCGGGCTGCGGGGCAGCTTGGGGATGGACTCGTCGCCCATGCCGGGCGGAAGGAGCTCCTTGGCCGCCATGATGAGACTGCCGTCCGCGCTCGCCACCGAGTAGTCCGTCAAACTCACGTGCTTGAAATGCCGATTGAAATACAGCGCTTTGCACAGTGCCTATAGTGTGTCGCATTTTGGTTGTGTGCGTGTGCGTGTGCGTGCGTGTGCGTGTGCGTGTGCGTGTGCGTGTGCGTGTGCGTGTGCGTGTGCGTGTGCGTGTGCGGACAGTTAGATCAATGGATTGATGTGATGGGAGATAATGGTGGCGGGCGCGAACCTTGAAGTGAATGGCGTTCTGGAGGGGCGGATTGTCGAGCACATGACTCTTGTCGGCGAACTTCTTTTGCAGGTAGCGCTGGAACTCGGGCAGGAATTGAATGGAGGCCGCCGCGTCCTTCGTCTCCGGGCTGCTCTTCACATCGCGGATGCCGTAGTAGTTGCACCACGCGCAGAAGATGTGCCAAAAATTGTCAAAACTGCCGGCACGCCCTGCGTGTTGTTGAGAAAAACAATATCAGAAACATATAAATGAATTAAGAACATATTAATCATATGATGTCTAGGAAACATTGAGGTGTACCGACGATGCGCTCGACTTCGTGTGGAGCAGGGTCGATGAGGCTGTGTATGCGTGTGTTGCGTGAGTGACGGTCCAGAAAAAAACAGAAAAAAGACAAAGGGTGAAAGCTGGTGGTACATTTTTTGGTCGACGTTGACGATGAGCTGCTGCGTGAAGTGTTCGGGGAAGTCGGGATGGAGACCTCGGTAGATTCCCTCGATCACCCGAACGATCTGACCCACCTCCTGGCTGTTGAACTGTAGCATAGGGTAGCGCACGTTCAATGCAACATAGAGTGAGAAAATGCGAGACGGCATCGCAGGCCTCACACCAGGCACGCCGCACAGAACGAACAGAACGAACCAGAATGTTGAAGCTGTGGAAACGGATGTCAAGCTAATGCACACATTCGAGAATCGAGTTAGCTGCATTCTTACATGAGACGCGTGTGCAGTGGTGCGTGTGCGGTCGTGAGTGTGCGTGTGCATGTGCGTGTGCGATACCTGGTCGGGCTTGCCGGCGTGTAGTTCGTAGAGTTCGTAGTAGTGGCCGCATCGCTGGAGCCCCTTCTTGCCGAAGGTGCCCATCTTGAAGGAGAAGATGTGGAACGGCCCCAGCACGAGCAGACGCTTTTGGACCTTGCCCTTGGGGTTGATCTTCTTCACCCAGGTCGAGTACACGATCTCGTAGTCGCCATAGCTGCTCAGCGTCTCGTACACAAACTCTGCACATTCATTCACCGCACACCGTTGGAGCGGTCAATAAATCATTGAGTGATTTTTTAAATAAATAATCAAAATAAGAAGAAGAACGAGGAGAGAGATGAAATAAAAGATGAAGGTGAGTTGAAAAGAAATAAATTAAAAAGAAGTTAAAAAAAGAAATGGCAAAGAACGAAAGCGACGGACCGAGCTCCTTGGCCTTGAGGCCGACGGAGGCGACACTGTTGCGTTGGGAGACCCGTCTGCCCGCCGCGGAAGACGACGAAGAGAAAGAATAGGTGGCCTCTGTTGCCGCCATCCTTGCCGTTCGCTACACTCGTGATTAATCGAATCACTCTCTGGTCGTCTCAAGCGATTTGTTGTTTCTTCCAATTTCGTTGATTTGGTGCCTTCCTTTTCTCGCAATCCAGGCGAATTAGATTACAGCCACCACGAGATGTCGGCGAGTGCGAGTGCAGACGAGAGAGAGAGGAAGATGAAGGCACTACACCAACGGCCAAGCGAAGGTTCGATACCTCCGAAAGACCAACGGGCAAATAGAGCACTTTAATTCGACCAATTGAGTGGTTTGACATGGAAAAATAATTTAGATACTTGATCTATCAACACTACCATAAGGCGTAAATTTTGTCCGAGAGGGTGTGCCACATCATTTAGGGGGCTCTCACCCCGAAGAGGGCGAGAGATCTCTTCCCGGGACCTAGGCCTTGCTTGGGCCTGGGCTCACTCCCTTGGTGGCCGTTGGCTTCGTTGGCTTCTTCTTGAGCTTGAAGAGATGTGTCTTCTTCAAGTGGTTCGGGTTCATCTGAACCGCGTCCACCGGCTTGCACTTGATCTAGAGACAGACAGACAGACAGAGACACACCAATCATCGCCACAATCAACCCGTGAGACGCTGTGCGTGGCTGCTGCGGATTGTAGGGATGTCGGTGTGTGTGTGCTGTCTGCGTACCTCTTCCGATGTAAAGTGCTTGCCGATCATCTTGAAGAACTGCTTGTCATTCTTTCGTCGCTTCTGCCACGAGAGGTACACTACCGTCTCCGGCGAGCAAATATCCTGTGCATGTGTGCGTGTGCGTGTGCGTGTGCGTGTGCGTGTGCGTGTGCGTGTGCGTGTGCGTGTGCGTGTGCGTGTGCAAACGAGCATCAGCACAGCAACCAGAAGAATTGCGAGAAAGTTGTGGTTGGTGGTCGGTGACATGCCCCTGTGAACGTACATTCAGGGTCTGTGCGAGGGGCGCAAAGAGGTGTTCCCAATACACCACGTCGCTGGCCACCACCACGTCGATCGGTCTCGCGATGTGCTCGTGCTCCTCTCCCCTAGAGCGTACGTCAAGACCAGGCAGGAGTAGTAGTAGTAGCAGTATTAGAGGTGGTGTTGGACTCAAGGTGAGATCACGATTCCACTGGGCACCACCTACCAAGCCAGCGGCGCAGCGTCACAGCACTCAGGCGAGGGCAGCAGGTGGGCGTTGGCTTCGACGTTCCACTTCATGAGCGGCAACACCTGTCGTCGTCGTCGCCGCCGCCGTTAAGCGATGGATGGATGCCATCGTGAGTGTTGAGTGTTGAGAGACTAGCGAGACGGTGGTGCGGTGCGCATAGGGAGAGGTCTGGGCGACACGTACGTCGGGCAGGTCGGTGAGCACCACGCGAGCGCCCTTGGAGGCCAGGAAGATGCCCGGGATGCCCGTGCCAGCGCCCAGCTCCACCACCCTTGTTGGTGCGTACGCAGGCACCAAACAAACAAACAAACAAACAAAGCGTGGGCCAGTGAGGAGCAGCCGACCGCGAGTGTGGAGGGCTGTGGGGTGGTTACGGTACCGCTTGCCTGCCCACCAGTTCTCGCCGCCGGCGGTTGGCGGGAACGCCTCGCTCGAGTTGAAGTAGTCCGTCAACACCAGGCTCTGGTGAAATAAAAGGGCAATTTAGAAATACTTATTTTGCAAATGATATAATATTATAATATGATTTAATAATATTAAATAGTCTAAAGAATTCAATAGTGAATTGTGTAAATATATGATTTAATAAATAAATATTCTTGAAAAATGGATTGGTAGAGGTGGAGGCGACGTACGGCGTGCCAGACTTGATGAGCAATGCCCAGACGGGGCTGCTGCTTTATGCTGATCTTCAGGCCCGAAATCATGTACTCCGTCACTACGAACTCGTCTTCATCTTGTTCCACTTCTTGATTTGACGAATCGGCAAGGGCAAGACTGCTGCTTTCTGCAAGCTTGTCGCTTCTTCGGTGAGGCGGCTCTGCATCGCCCTCATCTTCAGACGATGACGAGTAGACGGGCGCGCCGAGCAGGGCGCCCCACGCAATGTCTTCATCTTCGCTCCATTCGTCCAGATTGCAGCCCTGGTCCGGCTGCCACAACCTCGCATTCTCACCCGCCACCCTTTGTTGAATCTCCATCTGTCGTACGAGATCTCGGCAACCTTGCGGGCAAGGTTGAGTGCAGGATTCGAGTTTTTGGTTCTCAAGAACGGAAAACAAAACGCAATTCTTCAAAAGAGAAAAACAAAAAGAGAGAAAAAAAATAAAAAATAAAAAGCAGAAAAGAAATGGAAATTAAAATCGGGCTGGTTGGAACAACAGCGCGGCTGTCAAGGACTGTCATCAGGTACATTTTGCTGACTTGCGCGAGCTGTTGATGACGAAGAAGAGAGAAGCTGATTGCCGCAGGGGCAACCCGATGTCATCGACCGATGACAAGCGCGCGGTTGTCGAGAAAGAGAGAACTGATCGCCACAATGTCGGCGTGCAACTGTGGGGTTTTCGTCTACACCCGGCCGACCTGGCGACCTGGCCCACAACCTGGCACAACCCTCCAACGCCTTAAATACCGTTGTACAGTGTGAGTTTTCAAAACACAACATCACCAACACCATCAGCATCAACAACATCAACATCAACGATCACTGCTAATGTCGCGTAGGCGGAGAGACGAGGGAGAGGACTACGGTCACGAAGAGGAGGAAGAGGAGGAAGAGTACGGCGGCCGTGGCGGCGGCGGGTCGCGTCGCGGTTTCGCGGCGATGCCCAGGGAGAAGGTGCGCGCCATCGCAGCCAAGGGCGGCCGCGCCTCGGGCCGTAGGCGAAGCGAGGAAAGCGAAGAAGAAGAAGGAGGCGAAGAGGAGGATCGCGGCGGCCGGTACGGCGGCGGATCGCGTCGTGGCTTCGCGGCGATGCCCAGGGAAAGGGTGCGTGCGATCGCGGCCAAGGGCGGCCGCGAGTCGGGCAGGCGCCGACGCGAGGAAAGCGAAGAGGAAGAAGGCCGAGGCCGCGAAGAAGAAGAAGAAAGCGAAGAGGGCGAAGAGGAGGAAGAGCGCGGCTACGGCAGGAGAGGAGGCGGCGGTCGCCGTGGCTTCGCGGCGATGCCCAAGGAGAGGGTGCGTGCGATTGCGGCCAAGGGCGGCCGTGCGTCGGGCAGGCGCCGAAGCGAGGAGAGCGAAGAAGAAGAGGGAGGAGAGGAGGAGCGCGGCTATGGCGGCTACGGCAGAGGCGGCGGTCGTCGCGGCTTTGCGGCGATGCCCAAAGAGAAGGTGCGCGCCATCGCGGCCAAGGGCGGCCGCGTGTCCGGTAAGCGGCGACGCGAGGAGAGCGAAGAGGAGGAGGAAGGCGGCTACGGCAGGTACGTGCCCAACTGTCGACCGACCGATTGTCAGCCGTCGCGTACACGTGACCTGTGTGTCGTGTCGTGTGTGTCATGTGTCGCGTGTGTGTCGTGTCGTGCGACAGGTACGAGGAGGAGGGAGGGAGGAGGACCCGGCGAAGGGGAGAAGACTACGGCTACGGCGAGGAGGAAGAAGAAGGAGAAGGCTACAGCGAGGAGGAAGAGGGCTATGGCCGCCGTGGCCGGGGCGCGGGTATGTGCTAAGAACTCACCGCACACACTCACAGCACACACTCACCGCACACGACACGACATGACACGCATGCACAGGATCGAAGAGAGGCTTTGCTGCGATGCCGAAGGAGAGGGTCAGAGAGATAGCGGCCAAGGGCGGGCGCCACTCACACGGCGGTGGCTTTGCGGCGATGCCCAAGGAACGCGTGCGCGAAATCGCGGCCAAGGGCGGGCGCCACTCGCACGGCGGTGGCTTCGCGGCGATGCCCAAGGAGCGCGTGCGCGAGATCGCGGCCAAGGGCGGACGCCACTCGCACGCCTACATCTACTGACACACGAGCGCGCAATACCGCACACGCACAGCCGCACACCTTTATGGAGTTCATTCATACGACCAACACATAGAGCGATGTGAGCTTCAACAAAAGAAATAAAGAGAGCTCACAAAATTTGGGTGAACGTGCACCTCTGGCGGTGGTCGGGCGAGAGGGCGAAAAATCGCCGCCTGGATTTCAGCCCTGAAAGACCAACCGCCTGACAGGCGCGTGCGGTTGGTGAGAAAGAGAGAACTGATCGCCGCAATGTCGCCGTAGGGCTGTGGGGTTTTCGTCCACACCCGGCCGACCTGGCGACCTGGCCCACAACCGTCCAACGCACCTAAGCAAAACTATAAATATCGCGATCAGCCTATGAGTTTTTTTCAAAACCACCACAACTTTCTTCAACATCAGCAGTCGTACCGTGAGCAGCAATGTCGCGTAGGCGGAGAGACGAGGGAGAGGACTACGGCAACGAAGGGGAGGAAGAGGAGGAGGAGTACGGTGGTCGTAGGGGTGGCGGCGGCGGCGGATCGCGTCGGGGCTTCGCGGCGATGCCCAAGGAGAAGGTGCGTGCGATCGCGGCCAAGGGCGGCCGCGAGTCGGGCAGGCGCCGACGAGAGGAAAGCGAAGAGGAGGAAGAAGGCCGAGGCCGCGAAGAAGAAGAAGAAGGCGAAGAAGAGGAAGAGCGCGGCTATGGCGGCTACGGCAGAGGCGGCGGTCGCCGCGGCTTCGCGGCGATGCCCAAGGAGAGGGTGCGTGCGATTGCGGCCAAGGGCGGCCGTGCGTCGGGCAGGCGCCGAAGCGAGGAGAGCGAAGAAGAAGAGGGAGGAGAGGAGGAATACGGCGGCTACGGCCACGGTGGCACAGGCGGCGGCCGTCGCGGCTTTGCGGCGATGCCCCGGGAGAAGGTGCGCGCCATCGCGGCCAAGGGCGGCCGCGCCTCGGGCAAGCGTCGGCGCGAGGAGAGCGAGGAGGAGGAAGGCGGCAGGAGGAGAACCCGAGGACGTAGGGAAGAGGAGGAGGAAGAAGAAGGCGAAGGCTACGGCGAAGAGGAAGAGGGCGGCTACGGCCGACGCGGCCGTGTGCGTGACACCTACGCCACCGGCCCTTCGCAGACCGTGAGGCGGTACCGCTCGCACCTGCACCTGCGCTCATGCGCCGGTCAATCGTCTGATGTGACACGTGTAACACAGGATGTACGAGCGGGGCGAGAGAAAGCAGCAGCACTCGCTGAGAGAGGAGGACCAGGGCGTCGGGTACCTGGAGTCGCTCGAGGACCGCATGGGCTACTTCGGCAAGGGTACCTTGGACGCCTGCACTCGCCACACACACACGACACACACACACTCATCGCACGACACGACACGCACAGGAGCGCGCAAGGGCTTCGCCGCGATGCCGAGGGAGAGGGTCAGAGAGATCGCGGCCAAGGGCGGCCGTCACTCGCACGGCTTCAAGCGCAAGGCCAGGTGCGTCCCATGGAACTGCGCGCGCGCGTGTGTGTGCGTGCGTGCGTGTGGCTGCGGGGCTGACCCGGGACTTGTCTGCGCAGGTACGCTGAGGGGGGCATGGAGGAGGTGCCCGCGGGCGAGGAGCAGCGGGGCGGGTACTACCGGGTCGGCTTCGCGGCGATGCCCAGGGAGCGCGTGCGCGAGATCGCCCGGAAGGGCGGGCGCCACTCGCACGGCTACGGCGAGGAGGAAGGCGGGGACGAGTACCAGCTGGGCGAGGAGGACCGCGAGCACTACCCCATGCTCACGTCCTCGGGCGCTCGGAGCAGGCGAGCCGGCCATGCTTACTGACACACACACACACACGCACCAGCACACCCACCCACCCACCCACACCGCACACGCACATGCAAACGATGCAAGATTCGGGAACAAAGGAAGGAGCTTAACAGAAATGGTGAGTACACGACGTGGTCTCTTAGGGCAGTTGACCGCTGCTGGGCGGTGAAGTCTCGGATTGGCGGCACTGGGCCTCCCAGCGCATCAGCTGCTCGACGAAGCCCTTGTGTGCCAATAACCGAAGATAAAGTAGTAATGGTTGAGTACTTATCTTGATGCACTTCCAAGGGGGTGAGCGGAAGTACTCGGTTGGGCGAGACGACGGATCGAACTCGGCGCAGCCGCTCGAGCGCCACGTGGAACGAGATGCCGAGTCGCTGCATCATGTAGGCCAGCACCACAGTCGCGCTGCGCGAGATACCCGCCGCACTGGGGTGGCGACGATGATGACGGTTGTAAGTGAGGGGTGTGAAGTGTGTTGAAATGTTGATGACGAGTCATGCCTCACTGGTGTGATAAACGCACCAGTGAACTAGCACGCCGCCCTGGGCCATTCCCTCCTCGATGAAGGCGCAGCACTCCGGCAGCAGTTCGAGCAGGTTCGTGTCCTCGTCGTCATCAATCGCAACCACCTTGTACGTGAACGCCTGGGGACCAAATAGAGAAAAGTGAGAATTGTGTGTGCGTGTGCGGTGGCGCGTGTGTGCGGTTGCGAGAACCTCGGGATAGGGCGGAGGTTCGCTCTGCAGGGCCATGAGCACGTGCGTGATGTTGTGATGCTCCAGCGAGGCCCGGTTGGCACCCACGGTCATGTCGCCGATGAACAGGTTCGCCAGGGCGCGCTGCGGTATCGACGTGAAGATCTGCGCGCCGGTCGACACATACGAGAACTCGGCGGCCGGGTCGAGGAAGGGCAGCGACACGAGGCCCGGGTTGTCGGTGAGGTCCAGGTGGTGCAGGCCCGGCAGCACGCGCTCGCCAAAGTCGTCGGGCAGCGACGTCAGCCGATTGCCGGCCAGGCGGAGTACCCTGAGCGAGCCGCCGCCGCCGAGCGAGGCCGTGAAGCCCGGCGGGAGGCACTCGATCTGGTTCTGATTGCACGAGAGCGAGGCCAGGCTCGCGCCGAGCGCAACGGTGATGGAGGCCGGCAGGCGTGCGAGCCGGTTGTTGCTCAGCGAGAGTGTGGCGAGCGCGGACATGCCGGCGAAGAGGTCGTCGTCGAGGTGCGTCAGGTCGTTGGAGCCCAGATTGAGCGTGGTGAGCGACGTGAGGCATTTGAAGTCCGACGGCAGCCGTGCGAGCCTGCGCGGCGACAACTGAGACATTGCGTGTGTGCGTGTGGCATGTGCAGTGTGCGAGCGTCGCGCGAGGAAAGGGTGGGCCGTACGCATTGCCGCGGAGGTCGAGGCAGACGAGGCCGCGCAGGGCGGGACTACTGCAGAGGCCCTCGTCGATGCTAGTCAGCTGGTTGCAGGACAGGTCCAAGTGGGTCAGGAGCGGCATTGGTGGCCCTGGCCAGGCTGCAGGCCCGCCCAGTGGGGGTTGTTGTGAAGGCTCTGCACGTTCATCTTCGGCTCCCCGTAAAGAAGATGAAGATGGCGACGATTGGAGTAAATAGGCGAGTACGTCGTCGGGCAGGCTGGCGAGACGCTTCCAAGACAGATCGATCGCGGTGCCGTCCGCGCTCAGCCAGCTCCCGCCGGGCCTCGGCGCAAAGAGCGCATCGAACATGCGAGCACACCTTTGCCTGCCCCTTTCCTCTACGCTGTGCCACTCGTGCCCTTCATCCACCAGCACCTCTTCAACATCCTCCTCGGCTCTTCCGTTGGTGTCGTCTTGCATTGTCTCAAATGTGCGCAAAGCAAAGAAAAGAAGACTCTGATCATTCGTCACAAAAAGATGTCGCTGTCCAATGCAGCACGCAAGCTCAAGGAGCTGAATGAGAGGGGAAGCGTGTACAAGCAACTCACGCGAGATGAAGTGGCTTTGCTGACCCCAGAGCTGTCCCCGGCCATCATGATGCGAAAGCTCATCGCGAAGCACGGCCACGCCGAGGTGTTCAGGCGCCACGGACCCACCGCACGCCGCCTCGAACCTGTGGATCCTTGCCCACGAATCTTGCGAGCGAGGACGAGGTATCTTCTCATTTCGTGCATGAGATGAATCGGCGTGCCCGAGAGATGACGAGATTGTATCAATTTACTTCACCGTCATGGTGTGGTCCTGCATAACCAGGGGTGGAGTCGATGCGACGCTTCTTCCAGGCGGTGCTGCTGGACATGGAAAACGCCTGCCCGCTCAAGTTCCCGGACCCTGCCGAAGGCCCGTACACCGGGCCTTCGAGTTGGCCAAGGAGGAGCTCCACCGGCCCAGCGCCGGCCTTGCACGAAACCAGTTCGCCTACGCCTATTTCTCACTCTCTGTGCAGGTATAACATAGAAGCTGTAGTGGTGGGTTAGTGCACGTGGAAAGAACTCACACCACTCATCATTGTCTTCTTCCCAGACGTCCGTGCTGCTGGGCCATTACCTCTTCACGAAGGGCGGCAGAGCCCAGGGCAGCACGGAGCAGATCATCGCCGCTCGGACGGCGGCATCGAGCAGTTGAACGTGATCCGACAGATGAACCCCGCCGGCCCGCCTACGCTGCCGCCGGAGTACGACGTGTGGCTCTACGAGGCCATCGAGGGCGAAGACGTCCCCGGGCTCGACAGGCCGGCCGCCAAGCCGCGCCACTACGCCACCGCGTTCGACGACAGAGTGCTTGTGTTCCTCATGTTCCGCAAGGCCATCTCCACAATGCGCCAAGGTCGACAAGAAGCCTATCCTCAAGGAGGTATGTTGTACTTATCAATCATACACGCACCCACACTCGCACGCACGACCGCACACGACACACGCACGACCCACACAGCGAGCGTTAACTTTGTCCCGATCGTCGATAGGTGATGGCCATGGGCGAGAAGATGACGCGCCTGGTGCCCAACAGTCACATGGGGTGGCACTGCCGCGGCTGGGCCGCCGAGGAGTACGGAGCCATGGCCAAGGGCGCCGTCAAGGCCACCGCCGACGACGACAAGGAGCATAAGGTGACGTTCCTCTACCGCTACATCGACTGCATCCGGCGCGGGCACTTCCGGATGGGCGACATGCGCAAGCTCTACATGGAGGCGCGCCAGCTCGAGAAGGACATTCGCCCGCTGGGCCTGCGCCACCACTCGGAGGAGAAGGCGACGGTGAAGCACCTCATGAAGTCCACCCCGGCCAGCGAGGACCACCGCGTGTGCAAGAAGGGCCTCGTCAACGTCTCCTACTCGTCCGAGGAGGAGTACCAGCGCAAGGTGGCCGCGATGGAGCTCGAGGCGCAGCTCCGAGGCCGGGATCTGATCCTGCACAAGGACATGCCCAGGGGAGTAGAGGAGTTCGTCTCACCGGGTGCGTTCTACAAGGTGCTCCGCTGCAGCCGGTGCAAGACCGCCAAGAACGTTTGTGGTTCGTGTCGTGTTGTGTTGCGGTGTCGTGTGTCGTGTGTCGTGTGTCGTGTGTCGTGTATCCTTTCATGCGATCTGACATGATTGTTGTGGTGAGCAGCTATTGTTCGGCAGCGTGCCAAAAGCAGAACTGGCCCACGCACAAGAAGAACTGCAAGGCGCCCGCGAAGCCAGCTGCGCCCTGAAGCGCTTGCTCTCGGAGAGCACAAAGAAACAAGAACACAACAAACTTTTCTCCCCCTTTCCTCCTCTGCACAAACACACTTCTTTAGTTTTGCGTGTGGCCGCTCCTACACGGCAGACAGTTTCGTTTTCCTGATTGATACACAAACTCGTTTACTAGCGGCGAGATGGAAGACGAGGTGAACGAGATTCTGCAGGAGGTGGTGAAGATTCTGTGGAATGCCGACTATGCCAAGGCCGACGAGCTCCTTGCGCCGCACAAAGACAACCACCCGGCCGTGGCCACCATGTACGCTCAATCCATGTGGCTGCGGGTACACCCTCCACTTTTTCCATTATTATTGGATTTTGTATATTTTAAAATATACGCACAAAATGTCAAAAAATAAGTCTATAATTTGATTTATTGTTTCCAGGTTTGAGTTTATTTTGGCATTAAATAATACATTAATGTGGGCGCAGGCGGTGGTAACTGAGACAGCAGAGGAGTCCAAGGAAGCGTTCGAACGAATGGAAGCCGTACGTGTGCTTGCACTCTCTCTACTTGGAGAGCTCCAGCAGTCGCGACCACTCACGCCGCCTCTTTCCTCGTTCGGATCTGGGTGCACGCACAGGTGCACCGTCTGTCGCACGCCACACAGGACCGATTGAACAAGATCAAGAAGAACAAGGGCAACAAGGGCGGCAGCGAGCAGGAGGACCTCACCGAGGCACCACGCACCAGCCTCTCTCTCTGGTGCAGTATCATCATTCCTCACTACTTGCTTTTTACCACAAAAAACGTTCAACAGGAGCAAATGCTGGCGCTCCTGCTGTGGAGCAAGCTCTCGCTCGCCGAGGTCACGCTGTTCGAATCCATCCTCAAGTTCAAAATGCAGAAGCAGGTCAAGGGTGAGGCTTATGCGCATTGTGTGCGTGTCGTGTGTGTGTGTCGTGTGTGTGTGTGTGTCGTGTGTCGTGTGTATGTGTGTGTATTGTGTTGTGTTGTGTGTTGTCATCATGTGCCGTCGTGTTGTCATGGTGTATTCTTTGATTGATTGTGAGACCTGGTCAGGCGCGTATAATTTTAGGAAGAGTTGGAAGCACTATGAGGAGTGCGTGGAGCTCATCAAGACGCTCTCCGAGAAGTCGCCCTACTTCACCAACCTGGCCTGCTCCCTCAACGTGGGCATCGGCTTCTTCCACTTCTTCATCTCCGGTACGTCCCCAGCTCAGCTCTCAGCGAGTCGTCGTCGTCGTAGGCCCCACAGTCAACCGCTGCTCACCTGGGTGCTGTTCAGTGGTGCCGCGACAGTTTCTCTGGCTGGTGGAGGCCATTGGGTTCAAGGCCGACCGCGACCTGGCCCTCAAGGAACTCCAGCTCGCCAGCGAAAGCGAAGGATTCCAGAGTGCGTGCATTCCCTCTCGTGGTTTCGTGTGTTGCCAGCGTCAGGGAATGAAGACTCGCTGACTCATTGCGAAAAAGGCTCGCTTGCGTTCTTCCTGTTGGTCACGATCCGAACATTCTTCTTCGAGGAACTGGAGGCCGGCAGAGACATGTTCAACCTGCTCATGGAGCAGTATCCGTACGTCGCCGGCCTTCTTCCTTACCTTGGTCTATTAGTTGGCCATAGTAACTTGTGGTGGATATTGTAATGCAACAGTGACTCGCCGATGTTCAAGTATGTAGGCGGATATGTATGCAGAATGCAAGCCAAGTTGGACGAAGGTATGCAATGCATGCGAGTGCGAAATATATATAGAGTGATATATACATCAGCTGTTTACTCACCGCACACGCCTTCCTATTCAATTCGATTCAGCCAAGGAACTGTTTCTCGCGGCCAAGGAGAAGTTCATCGCCACCAACAACAAGCAACTCGAACTCTTCTGCGTTAGCGAGGTACTCAGCCCTCCACCGCATGGCAGCCATGCTGATGGTCGTCAATGCACCTACAACACGAAACGCCGCTCACAACACACAGATCGCGACTCTCGAGTATCTGAACCTCAACTTCGCCGAAGCCGTCCAGGGCTTTGAACAATTCCTCACCCGTACGCAACACCACTGTGTTGTGGTGCTATATCGTATGATGGTGGTGATGATTGGCGCCTGGCTAACTCTCCGAGCGCAGTGTCGACGGTGCCCGGGTTGAAGGCGCTCTGCTACTACCAGTCGGGCATCTGCTACTCGTTCCTCTTCCACGAGGACAAGGCCAAGGAATGCATGACGCAGGCCCTCAAATACGTCCGCAAGGTACAGCCACACGACACGACACGACCAACGACACACACCACACACACACACACACACGACTCACGCGTGCACGTACTGGCGGAACTGAGCAGGGTTACGCACACGACGAGTTCGCCAAGCAGCGGGCGAAGAAATTTTTGACCAAGGGCGGTGTGTCGGACTTCGAGCGCAAGTTCATCCGAGCACGCATCCTTCATGAGGGGAGACAGTTTCAGGTGCATTGTTGCCACACGCACCACACACACACACAAACACGCACACACACACGCACACCCACGCACACACACACGCACACGAGGATCAACACGCCTGAATGTTGGTTTGTGCATGCAGCTGTCCTTGGAGATGGCCGAACAGGCCGAGGCTGTGGCGGTGACTGATGAAGACAGAGCGTGTGTGGCGTTCATGCGGGGCGATGCCCTTCGAGAGCTCAAGCGAGACGAAGCCGAACAAGCCTTCATGGTCTCTTCCTCCTCCGCTTCGTGTCGTGCTGTGCTGTGTGTCGTGCGCGTGTCGTCATGCTGAAAGGGGGGCTTGCAGGTGGTACTGAACACGCCGACCAAGTCGATATCCAAGTACGAGCAGTACGTGCTGCCCTGGAGCCTGAGCGGCATGGCCGAGCTCAAGCTGGAGCAAAACGACCACAAGGCCGCGCTCGACCTGTACAAGCGGGCCAAGAAGTACTCCGGCTACGATTACGAGACCTGGGTGGCCTGGCGGATCAAGCGCGGCATGGATCGGCTCCGAGTCCGCGACACGACCCACTGAAGTATGAGAATCCCCCACCCTCTCTACGCACACGCAACGACCAATATTCAAGGGCCAATATTTCCCACTACGGCGATTTGCGCGAGTCTACTGCGGGCGTGTGGCAAATACGCAGGCGATTGGAGGAAAAGCCCTCAGTTACCTTTTCTACGCCTGTGTCACAAAAAAAGGAAAAAGGCACCGAACGGAAATAGACAGAACAGTCTCAGTTATTTTGAAGTAAAGATGAGGGACCGGACGACGCTGCTTGATGTAAGTCGGCGACAATTTTTCCTTCTGCTTCGGCCTCTACGACGGCTCGCCCAATTCTCCAACTCCAACTCCAAATCTCTCAAATCCGCCTACTCCTCTACTTCATCATCTTCCCGCCCTGCCTGGGGAAAGATTCCATTTTTCTTTTTATTCACAGCCGCGCTGGTGTGCGCCACCCTCCTCTCGCCCGCAACAGCTACGACGTACACGTGTCTAGACGGCTCATGGACCGCGGGCAGCACGGACACGTCGTTGCCCTTTCGATGCTACAAACGAATCGCTGGAAGTTGGCGTTGGAGCCAGGGGGCCACGGCCTGCGCCAACGCGGCTTCAGGGGCCACCCTAGCCGAGTTCCAGTCGCAGAGCGAATTCGACGTGGCTTATAACTTGTGCACGCCCCGTGTGGTGACCATCCCCGACTGGTGCTGGACCGGCGTCTACACCGACCCGGGTCCTAACAACCGCACCTGCTGTTGGAAGTTCGGCAACGACGGCGACCCGACCTGGCTGCGCAGCAACGGAAGCCAGGTCTGGGCCTCTTCGGAGCCCAACAACGCCTCGGGAGAGCAGTACTGCGCGGCCCTCGGCTACTTGACCGGCGGCATGGACGACACCGAGTGCGCCAACCAGATGGGTGTGATGTGCTCCCTGCTCGCCGTGGCGGTCAGCCCGTCACCCTCGAACTCGCCTACGCCCTCGCCCTCGGCCAGTCAATCACCCTCCACCTCCACAACCGCCAGCCCGTCCCCCTCAGCCAGCCTCACGCCGTCGGCCTCCCCCACCGCCAGCCCGTCGCCGTCGAACGTGCCGGTGCTGACCGTGGTGCAGAACGTGACCGCCGTCATCGACAACGAGCTGCCCACTATCAGCATCTCTGCTCCCACCACCACCACCGCAGGAGGTACGTCAACCGTGCACTAACTTCGTATTCGTCTTCCCCCTTCTTCTTCTTCTTCTTCTTCACGCTGACAACAATATCTGGGTACCAGAGGAGAGCACGGTCGGCGTGACGTCGTCGTTCCAGAATGTACAAGTGGGATCCAATACCCCTGCCACCTTGGAAGGTAAGACAAAAATATGTTACAATGTAGTGTGCCTGCAGTGACTGGTTGGCCTGGTTAATTATACATAACTTTGGTGTGAACGCGCAACTGTGCAGCGTCGGATGTGACTGTCACGGTGGAGGACAGGCCGGCCTCGACCGACCCGGAGTCGACCGCCACCGTGCCGACCCACATCTACAGGTCGGTGCTGCCGGACACGACCACCACCTTCGAGCAGAGCTTCGCCTTCCACAACCATTCAGCCCAGGGCCAGTTCGCACAGATTGGCTTCACCATCGGCTCCAGCACGCTCAAGTGGTCCATCAACGTCACGGGGGCCTCGAGCGAGCAGCTCACCGTGCGCTACCGCCTCGCCACACTGGGTTCCTCGGCCGCGGACGCCATCGACAGCTCGCAGCCGGTCATCGTCCGACGAAGCCTCCCGCGGGCCAACATGACCACCTATTACTTCACCCTGCTCTCCACGTCATCATCGCCTTCTTCTACATCGTCATCATCGCGCGTAACGGCCAAGGTGGAGGTCTTTGACGTGGCCCTGGTCGACAGTCTCACCGTGCCGCTGGTGGGTCACAGCGTGGTGCTCGTCAACGCCTCGGCCGCCCAGCCCGAGTACGTGCTCGAGCTCACCTTCCCGGCCTTCGCCCACTCGCTCTTCTATGACCCGTCGATCAGCATGGGCGTGCTGCTCAACACCCGCGAGAAGTCCAGCTCGAGTGACGACAACTCTCTGGTGATCGCCGTGGCCGTCGCGGTACCGGTGGCCCTCCTCATCGTGGTCATCGCCGCCTCAGCCGCCACCGTCTGGACCAAGGTCCACCGGACCCGCCTTCGCGAGCGAGTGCGGCAGCAAACCCTGGCGTTCAACATGACCACATTGTAGACACTACCAACATAAATTCCTCAAATTCAGGTGTCCGTTTCGCATTCTTAACCTCGTTGCACCAGGGGTTAGATTCTGGCCAACAACGGATTTCCTTTTCGTGTGCAGGTTAGCAGCCATTGTCAGAGTCCCATTGGGCTGCACAAGCGCTATTTGCCCATTGATCAAAAGCTGCCATTTAATAGTGGAATTCCATTGGTTGCGCACTCCGCCGTCCTTGATTGGGGCCAGCCATCCACTTGGAGAATTCTCAACTGAGTTGTGATATTGGCTCGTTGGCTCACTTGTTGGAGGATCACTGACCCATTGGTCGGCACAGTGACAGCCGTGACGTGTTGGCCATTGGGCCGTCCACTGGGCGAATAGCGCTTAGCCATTTAACACCCCTCAAACCATGTCTCGTTGCCCCATTGGCCGCTTAAAAAGCCCCCCACGCCCCCCCCCCTCATTGCTGCTTTCACTCACCACAACACACACCATGGCAAGACTGGTCGTGGCCTTGATCGCGGTTCTCTTTGCCCTCGTCGTCCTCCTGTCGGCCGCTCCTGCCGCTAAGGCCCAGACCTACCAGCAGGCCTCCTACAACGCCGCGGCGGCCCTCGAAGCCGACCTCGACGCCCGGTTCGCCCAGGTGCTCGCCGCCATCAACGCCCTCCAGCTCTCCTGCCAGGGCCAGGCCAGCGCCACCCCCTCCCCCTCCCGTGCCGCCGCCGCCCCCAGCACCACCCCCTCGCCTTCCCGTGCCGCCGCCCCCTCGGCCTCCCGGTCGCCCGCCGCGCCCAGCCCCTCGCGCACCCCGTCGGCGGCCCCGGCGACCGGCCTGCGCTCGGTCACGGTGGGTCCGGGCCAGACCTTCACCGAGCCGGCCGACGCCATCGCCTCGCTGGCCTCCGGGTTCAACATGACGGTCCTGGCGGGCACCTACTACAAGCCCTTCGACATCCCCAACACCCTGCGCGGATGGACCATCAACGGCGCCGGCGGCGGTCTCACGATCTTTGACGGCCAGGGCGGCGTCGGCGCAGGCCACCGCCTGGCCTGGGGCAAGGGCTTCGTCCACGCCCAGAGCCCCGGCACCCTGAGCAACATCGTCTTCCGGAACGCGGGCGGCGCCGACGGCAGCGGCGACGGCGAGGCCGCGGTCTACGCCGAGCTCTTCACCTCGGCCGGCACCCTTACCATCAACCGGTGCCTGTTCCAGAACAACGAGAACGGCATCTTCGTGCCGGCCACGGGCAGCGGCAACCCGGGCGCCGGCATCGCGGTGGTGGTGACCAACAGCGACTTTATCGCCAACGGTCAGTCGCAGGACGGTCAGTCCCACGACCTCTACGTGCAGGGCGACTCCTACACCGAGTCCAACTGCAACCACTATGGCAACCCCTACGGCAACAACATCAAGGTGCGATCGCCGGTGCTCTCGGTCACGGGCGGCTACCACGCCAACACGGCCGGGTCGCGCTGGATCGACTTCCCCAACGGCGGCACGGCCACCGTCACCGGCGGCACCTTCACCATTCCCTCCACGTCAGGCGGCGGCAACATCATCGGCTACGCCGAAGAGAACCAGAACAACGGTGTCACGGGCGGCATGGCCTTTGGCGGCAACGCCAAGCTCTACGTGGGCCGCTACAACTCGCAGATCATGGTGGCGACCGGCGGCACCGTCTCGTTCGCCTCGACCGTGTCTCTCACGTGGACCAGCTCCGGCGCCTCCATCTCCGTGACCAACGGCGGTTCGGTGACCGGCATCGCGCTGGCCCCGGGAAGCAGCACCATCGGCTCCGAGCCCGCCGTCCCGGCCCGCGTCAGCGGCAACTAAAGCCACAATTGGCTATTTTAAGGTTGAAAGGTAATAAAATCAGAATAAATAGGGACGCCAGGCGATCAGAATGGAGGTGCCAAGGGAGACCAGCGCTTGCGACCGAGCGCCTGGCTATTCCGCTTGGCCAATCCTCTGATTTGTTTGAACTTTGCGTTCCTGTCGACCGATTAGAAACCTCTTTCCTTTTGGCGATCGCAAGGACACCGTTGGGCGGCGACCGGTCCTGCGCGCCACAAAATTCCATTTCTCTTTCTCAAACACACGCTACACTCGAGAGAGAACACGCCTGGCGCGCATCGGTTCACCATCTTGCCTGCCCCCCTTGACGTTCGCTGTCACTGCCGGGCGAATAGAGGCGAGATTGAATCAATTGATAGAGAGCTGGGGCGTAAATTGATTCAAAACAAAAAAAAACCAACTTAGTTACTGCTACGTTGCTGGGCAGTTCATAGGCGAAGATGAAGAGTGGACATCAATTGGCGGGCGAGATGACGGAGGATCTCAGGAGGATTGAGGCAAAACGACGTGGCATCGTGCAGTGGGTATGTTCCTACTTTTCCCACTCTCATAATGCAACAAGATTAATCAATTACGCTTACAAGTGATGATATGTTCTCGATTCTCGTTTACTGATTCTTATGTTCGAACTACCAAACAGGAACCAGGCCAGACTCTGATCAAGGCATCAGAGCTCTCCTATGACAGAGAAATCGCACGCGGCAACTACGGTACGGTGTACAAGGGCAGATGCCGCGGCTTTCCCGTCGCCATCAAGCTGCTCCACAACCAGCACCTCATCGAGCCCAAAATCGAGGAATTGAAGCGCGAAGTAGAGATTATGAGGTGCACTTCATGCCTCCTTTTTTTATCATTCATTTCTTTTGGCCTTCTTTTGCTTTGCTTCAAAGCCCCCGGTTTCTGTGTTTGTGTTATTCCCGCCCAGAGGCACCATGTGCTCACATTGCTGTGTGGTAACTGATGTTTCAGTTCACTGCGGCATCCGTGCATTCTGCTGTTCATGGGCGTATGCACGGAGAAGGACAACCTGGCAGTCGTCATGGAGTACGTGGACGGCCGCGACCTGGAGAGCATTGTACACGACAAGGACGTGGTCATGACCACTGCACAGCAGCTCTTGATCGCCAAAGGAATTGCCCAAGGTGCTTTCCCAACACCACACACACACACACAACACACAACACAGGGCCGCCACAGCGATTCTCACAGCCGTGCGCTGCGGCGTAAATGCGCAGGAATGAATTGGTTGCACTGCCTGAAGCCGGAGCCCATCATTCACCGCGACCTCAAGCCACCAAACGTGTTGGTGACGAAGGACTTTGAGGTGCGGGTGTGCGACTTTGGTCTGTCGTGCGTCAAGGAGAAGTTCGACCCCAAGGCCCCGCCCAAGGACAAGGCCGTGGGCACGCCCGTGTGGATGAGTCCCGAGATCCTCTGCGGCCTCCCCGCCAGCGAGAAGTCCGACGTGTACGCCTTTGGACTCGTTCTCTGGGTACGCCAACCAAACTATTATTAACTTTTATATTATTTTAATTTAATTTATTTCAGAATGTTATTATTGGTACATAAATATTAATATTATATTCATTATATCGCTGCCGTGTGCTGTGACACCAGGAATTGTTTACGAGGAAAGAGCGGCCATTTGCGCATGTGACGTCGTTCTCCGAATTCTGCGACGACGTGATCGATCGAAATGTGCGACCCACCCTGCCCGACGAGGTGCCCAAGCACATCCGACGGCTTATCAAGGCCTGCTGGCATGGCGACATGGACAAGCGGTACACCTTTACACGCCTTAAACCTTGCCACCACCTCGACAGTACCTGGCTGGTGTTTGAGCGATCATCACTGATCTATAGCCTGCATGTTCGTTGAATTCTGTCACGCCCAGGCCAAGCTTCGAGCAGATATTGGAGAAGATCGACGAGCTGGTGGTCACGAACTCGATCAAGGACAAGGTGGCCCGGAATCTGTGGAAGATCCTCAAGGAAACGGAAACGGCTTCGCACTACCCGTTCTACGCCGAGTGGGACAACTTCATCGAGGTGCTCTGCGGCGCTCTCGGGCTGCCGCTGGATACGATACCACCTGAGAGCACCATCTACCAGTGTGCCAAGGCCATACTGGGTACCGCTTCCATCGCCAGCGTGTGTTGTGTTGTGTGCGGAGTGTTGCGTGTGTTCGTGTCTAAAGGCTCTGTTCACCATTAGCCGAGGAAGAACGGGACCTGACCTCGAGTGACGCCGCGAAGAAGTTCCTGGTCAGCTGCGAAAGCTTTGGCCGATTTGTAGATGTGTTCGGCCCGCTCAGAAGTGATATATTATCTAATGTACGTAACGCAGTACTTACTCGACACCCCAATACTCATGTGGGTGTGGGAGCGACTCGTGCTAACATTCAAACTGGTTTGGTGACGGCGTGCGCGTGTGCGACAGTTTGACGAGCTGTGCAGAACGGGTTGCTTCCACGGCTCGATTGACGCCAAGGAGGCCGAGCGACGATTGACCGGACAGCGAAGTGGTTGCTATCTCGTGCGACTCTCTTCCAAAGACAACTGCATCGCAATCACCAAGCGGTACGACACACACGACACACGTTCCACCGCTCGACACACACACACACACACACACACACACACACACACACACACACACGAGCTAAGATTCCCGTCCGCGGCGACCACGACAGGCACAAGCACGGGTTCAACCATCAGAGAGCGTTCCGGAACGAGAAGGGGTTCAACATCCAGATCGGCACCAAGTGCCACCTGTTCCCGTCGCTGCTGGCCTTCCTCAACTCCCCGCAGGCCCGGTCGAAGAAGGACGGCCTCTACCTCAAGTGCCCGTGCTTCACCGACTCCAAGTTTGCGCAGATCCACAAGAAGGGCGCCGAGGAGCGCGAGGTGAGCTACGTCGGCCTCGACTACATCCGCGAGGGCCTGCGAAACGCCAAGGTCTCATCCTCGTCCAACATCTACGGCAGCAGCACCAACAACAACAATGGCAACAGCGACAACCATCATCATCATCATCATCACGACGGCGGCGGGCATGCGCCAACGATCAGCAGCCACTCGGCGAGCAACAGCAACCTCGTCTCGCACTCGCCCATCTACGGGTCGGAGCCGCAGGTGGTGGTGGAGGAGGAGAAGATCAGGAAGAAGAAGAAGCGGCTCTCCTGGAGGAAGTCCAAGAACTACGAGTAAGGGGAGAACTTCATCGCCACAACCTTCATCAGCGTCATCATCATCTTCATCGACGACCTTCGTTCATCTAGTTCGGCGTGATGAAGAGAGCGAATCCCAACCGCCCACGAAGAAACGAAACCGCTTTTTCTTTGTTTTAATCGTCGCGGAATGTGAAATATTCATAGTAGATTGCTCCATCAATTCTTTCAATTCCTCAAAGTAATATATGTTAGTATATCTCCTGGCTGCACATAATCCCGCCCGAAGGCAACCGCAACACACAACGCCAAGCCACCCAGCAAAGAGCGAAGCCATCGCGGGAGTGAAGGGAGAGCGAGAAGCTTGGGACAGTAGAAGATGGCGGCGATAGTGGTACTGGCGGGAGCCGCCGGAGGCAGCATCTACGATGGCAACAGCCCGCTCGGAACGCCGCTCACTCTCTTCATCGCCCAGCTGGTCATCATATGCACCCTCGCCCGCGTCCTCACCAAGCTCTTCGCCTACATCAAACGTAAATGGCCCCATTCAATTTATTTTCATTTTTTACTTTAAATTAAATCTCCCGATTGAGTTTTAATTATAATTAAATGCAGAGCCGAGCGTGATCGCTGAGGTGGTGACGGGCATCGTGCTGGGGCCGTCCATCATGGGCCGCGTGCCAGGCTTCACGGACACCATCTTCCCCGAGTCCTCCCTGCAGGTGTTCGGCGTGGTGTCCAACCTGGGCCTCATCTTCTTCATGTTCCTCATCGGCATGGAGGTCGATCCGCAGCTGCTCACCTCCAACCTGCGCAGCTCCTTCGTCATCAGCATCAGCGCCATGCTCGCGCCCTTCTTCCTCGGCCTCGCCGTCTCCACCTACATCTACGAAGAAGTCCGGATGGTAACATCGCACGCACGCGCACACACCGCACACGCACCGCACACACCGCACGCACGCACGCACCGCACACACTGATGGTCGGCGTTGGGCGGTGGTACGACGCGCCAGGCGGAGAGTGCGACGTTCTTTTCGTTCCTCATGTTCGTGGGCGTGGCGGTGTCGATTACTGCGTTCCCGGTGCTGGCCCGCATCCTGACCGACCAGAACCTCATGCAAACCCGCGTGGGCCTCATCGCCCTCTCCTCCGCCGCCGTCGACGACGTCGTGTACGCCCCCTCGCCCTCCGTGCGTGTCGTGTCGTGTCGTGTCGTGTGTCGTGCGATTGACGTGTTGCTGCGCTTGGTGCACACACAGGGCGTGGATCATGCTGGCCGTGGTGGTGTCGATCGCACGAGCCGAGGGGCCGCTCACAGCGCTCTACACCTTCGGCGCGCTGGTGGCCTACCTCTTTTTCATCGCCATCTTCATTCGCCCGATTCTCGCCCTCATCGCCAGGTCTCCGCCCCATCCCCGTGTGTCGTGCGTGTCGTGTCGTGTGTCGTGTCGTGTGTCGTGCCGTGTGTCGTGTCGTCGTGCCGTGTCGTCGTGCCGTGTCGTGCGTCGTGCGTGTGTAGTGTGTCGTGCTAAAGTTGTGCTCACATTTGGCTTCAGGAGGGCGCAAAGCCGGGACGCGATGAAGCACGAGGTGATCGTGATCATTTTGGTGATGGTCTTCGTGTCGGCGTGGATCACGGAGGTTATCGGCGTGCACGCCATTTTCGGGGCCTTCCTCCTGGGCGTCGTCACGCCACGCGTGAACGGCTTCGCCATTCGTCTCACCGAACGAATCGAGGTACACGTCACGACACGACACGACACGACACACGACACGACACGACACATGACACGACACTCACAGCACACACTGACGATCATCGTCCAGGACGTGGTGATCATCATTCTGCTGCCGCTCTATTTCACCTACTCGGGACTGCGGACCAACCTGGAGAGCCTCGACTCGTGGCAGGGTACACGATAAATATATTTTTGGTTATTTATTTAAATATCAAAGAAAAATATACTGGCATGGCTGACTGATGTGTGTGCGTGGGCAGGCGGTGTGATGACGGTGCTGGTCATCCTCGCGTCGATCGTGGGCAAAGTCGGCGGTGCCACAATCTCGGCGCGCATCCTGAATAACTCGTGGCGGTACGACCCACGACACCGCACACGCAACACCGCACACACCGCACACGTTCGATTGATGGATGTGGCTGACGAAAAGGCAAAAAAAATCAGGGAATCGTTGACGATCGGCATTCTGCTGAACACGAAGGGTCTGGTGGAGCTTATCGTGCTCAACATCGGCCTGGACGTGGGCATCCTCACCAACGAAATCTTCACCGGCTTCGTGCTCATGGCCCTCTTCAACACCTTCATCACCACCCCGCTGTGCTGGTTCGTGTGGACGCGCCACATGACCAACGCCGCGCCCATCGTGGGCAAGAAGTGCGTTCACGCAGCCCCTCCCCTCGACGTCTCGATTCACGCCTCTCACCGCACACGACACACGCACAACCGCACAACCGCACACGCACAGGGAGTATCCGTCGATTCTGGCGTGCATTTCTGGGTCGCGGGCGGACGTGGTCATTCTGCACGCGGCCGCGGCCTTCGCTCGCGCGCAGCAGATGGCCACGGGCGTCAAGCCCCAGTTGAGCGGCGTCTCCTTCCAGGAGGTGTCGGATCGGCCGTCGACCTATTTCTTCACCGTACGCCCACACCTTTTCCACCCGCTTCTACATTTATATTTTTATATTGTTATAGATCTAAATATCTATATTATAATATATATGTACACATGTTCGCTTCACGCTTTTACAGACCCAAATCTTTCTTCTATACTCTGTTGTCTGGAGTAATAGTTTCCTTTTGTACGCACGCAACTCGAACACACACGACACGACCAACGACACGACACGACACGACACGACACACGCGACACGCGCAATTACCATAACACGAATAGAACCGTTGGGTCAGTTCGTTGCATGCGTTGGGTGCAACAGCGGAGCAGCTCGAGGTTAACACACCACCGCAGGAAAACGCGCAGCTGAGCAGCCCCATGAGCGGCGACGGCCTCGGCGATGTCGGCGGGCCACTCAGCCCCCGCAGCGGCCTCGGAAGCCGCCACAGCGGCATTGTCCTCGGGAGTGGCAGCAGCGGTAGCAGCACCGGCGGCGGCGCCTATCGCAGAGTCGGCCAGACCGATGACAAGGAGAAGGCGCCGCTGCGCGCGGGCGCCGGGTTCGACAAGGCCTCGAACGGGGGCCAGCTCTACTCGACCTTCCCCGACCTCACCGAGAAGGAGACCCGCCACGTGGAGCAGAGCGTCGACGTACGCCCTGCCCCCCCCCAACAATGATGTTAAGGTGGCATTAGCTCACGTGTGGTTGGTTGGTTGCTTAGTTGGACGACGCGGCGACGAGGGCGCGGCACATGGCGGCCATGCTCGATGTCGAGATCAATCTCACCACCCGCGCCACCACCAACGTGTCCAAGGACCTCGCGGCCTTTGCCAACTCGAGCGTACGCTCCACCACCGCACACACCGCACACACGCATCATTTGTTGACTCTTGGTTGGAGCAGGCGGCGAATTTAGTGGTGGTGGGCTGGGCACGGCCCTTTGCGGCGCTCACGGCCGAAGGGCTGCAGACGACGGCGACCTACCTCCTGCGCCACGTCCACCCGCCCGTGGCCGTAGCCCTCACCAAGGGCGGCCCGCAGGCGCGGCTCAACGCGCGGCACGTGCTGCTCGTCTACGGCTTCAAGAAGCACGAGCGCGAGGCCCTCAAGCTGGCCCTCTCGATGGCGGCCGACCCGGAGGCCCGCGTGGAGATACTGGTCGCGCGCCAGCCGGGCGACGAGCCCCTCGAGGGTGCGACCCTGGACGGTGTCGACAACGGCTTCGGTGGATCGAACGTGGGCGAGACTCCCAGTGGCGATAGTGTCGACAGCTCGAACGACGGGTACGACGACAATGTCGACACAACGACCGCGTCGCGGCGAAGGTGGTACGAGTACCTCGACGTGGTGGTGCTGTCGTCGCTCGTGTTCGACATGGACGACGAGAAGGAGGAGACCTGGGACACGGTCGAGCATACCAACGTCAGCGGCCACCTTAAGCCCGACGCCCACCAGCGGCTCGACCTGAGCATCGGCCCTGGTGACGTCATCACGCCGGCCGCGGTGGACATCGAGGCGCTCGACGTGGCGGCCGGCGGGGCGAGCCTCGAGTCGCTCGTGCGGCTGGTCCAGGGCCTGCCCAACGTGCGCCTCGTACAGGCGGACCCCGACGACCTGTGGACCGCCGCGCTCAAGGAGGAGGCCAAGGACGAGCACCGCCTGCTGCTCGTGGGCCAGAGCCGCAAGCTCTTCCTCGACCACCACGACCACCATCAGCATCAGCATCAGCACCATCAGCGTAACGCGCCGACCACGTTCGAGGAGTTCGCGGACGCGGTCGCGGCGCCGCTGCTGGTGGTCTACCCGCCGCCGTCGGCCAAGTACCAGGAGAAGCACAAGCACAAGCGCAGGAGCCGACGCTTCTCCGTTCCCGTCGTGTAGTTTATATCATCGCTCTCTCGTGGCGGGCACCATCATAAATTGCTAAGGGACACGCCAAATGCTGGCTGCGGTTATTAACATGTGTATGTAGTATATGTAGTATGTTTCAGAATATGCAGAAGGCTGGTGCTTATCTAAGCAGCCAGAGGGAGACAATATGTCCAGGGAGAAAGAGAGAGAAAGAAGTGGAGAACGTCGTCGAGGTCGGTGATGGTGGGCAGAAAGAGAGAGTGAGAGATCGGGGCCGGCGGGAGGGACGAAGTCGCGGACGAGCGGTCGATCGGTCGGTCGAAGCCGGTGGTCGGTCATCGGGCGAGGGCCGGCGCCTTCTTGACGGCAGGGCCGGGGGCTGGGGAAGGAAAAGGAAGGGTGGAGGTGAAGGCCATCTGCAACTTCACTTGTCGGTGGTGTGTGGTGTTGGCGTGACGTGTCGTGTCGGTGGTGTTGGCGGTGGTTTGTGGGGTGTCGATGGGCGTCGTGGTGAGGAAGATGCGGTGCGTGGGGAGGAGTGGCGTGTGGTGTAAGGTGTGGTGTGGTGTGTGTTGTGTGTCGGCGGAGGCGTGATGAAGATGTTGATGCGTGGAAGAAGAAGAAGAAGTGTGGAGTGTGGCGTGAGGTGCGGTGTAGTGTGGTATTGGTGGTGGTTTGTGCGTTGTGGTGTAGGTGGTGTGTGGTGTGGTGTGAGGTGAAGTGGAGTGGAGTGTGGAGATGGCGATGGCGATGGCGTTGAAGTGGCGAAGGCGGTGAAGTGGGGCGGCTGTGAGGGAGGAGAAGGCGTGGCTGGAGGGTGTTGCGGGCGCGACGCGCCAGTAGAAGCTCTCTTCCACTGCGTGCGGTCGGGGTCAAGTGTTGGGTGTCGATGGTGATGACTCTCTCCAGGGTGGCGGTGGTGGTGTTGGGTGTAGGGTGGTTGTGTTGTTTGTTGTGGTTGAGGGGTCAGGGGAACCGCATCATCGTGGGCAGCTTAGACCGGCATCTCGTAGACGGGGGACATGTTCGACTGAGTCTCGTAGACCGCCGACTCGTAGACTCGCTGCTCCTTGGTGGGAGCGACCTCGGGCAGAGGCACGGGCACCCAATCTGCGAACCACAGTTTTAGCTCCGGACCCAAAAGAATGAAGAATGAAGAATGAAGAACGAAAGAGAAAGCCTGTGCTTACCGTTGCGGGCGACCGAGTAATAGCCGACGGGCACGGGCTCCCTCTTCTTCTTGATGTCGCGGATGACCCACACCACGCGGCCGGCGATAAGCCAGTAGCACGCGCACAAGAAGAACAGGAGGGCGAAGAAGATCACGCCACCGCCAAACAACGCGAACGGCGCCCTGTAGAACGTTGATAGTTTTTGGTCAGTTTTGTTCTCCACAGCACTACAACTAAAGAAGAAAACGTACTTGGCGATGTAGAGGAGGATCATCTCGACGAGGTCATTCATGGTGTTGCGTGAAGAAGAAGAAGGAGGAGGAAGAGTTGGTTGTGGTGAAGTCGAAGTTGCAGTCAAAAGTGAAAGGCTTGGGCTAGAGGCGGTTGTGTTGATGGTGCTTGGATGATGAAAGTGAGAAAATGAACTCGGTGGGACGGGTCTTATAATGAGGGGAGGGCGTGGGCCAGGGCAAAAGGGCGGCGGATGGTGGCTTGTTGCTGGTGTGGAATTCGCAGCAATGGTCCACAGGCGACCCACTCATCGCCCCAGGCTAACAGTGAACGATGGGGAAATTCGAGTGAAATCTGACTCGAATTACACCATCCACCGAAAGCAGATTGCAATTGGTTGGGCGCAGTTCAAATCGATGATCAAGCACCATCCACTAGGGCCAATAGGAAGGCGAGGTCAGCTCCCCCGTGACCTCAGCAGGGCACAATCCCGAAAGAGAACCAAATCTGTGTTTTCAACGGCAGCGCATCTCCCCAGCAAGCTGAAGCTCAACTTGGGGGACTCCTGCCTGGAGTCTAGCGATACAACCCGCGCCACTCGAGCCTCCCAAACTGAGTCCGTGTGGCCGCCCGGCAGGTGGTGCGCTCATGTGCGGGTCCGCTGGGCGTTCTGCGGGGATTGGGGTTGGGCAGGCGGGGCTCAGCTGCTGTTGTTCGAGACGAGGGCCATCGTGTGGCTCTCTCCGCAAGCCACCATCAGCACCCTCTTGCCTATGCACATTCATATCATCCCAAAGTCAGTAGGGGATGCTATTGGCGAATTCATACTAGAGAGGGGAGGGGGGGAAGTGACTTGATTACCTCGTAGTTGTTCGACTAGGACGGGCGTGAGCTGATTTTCCACGTGGAGGCCCAGTCCACACTGGCCGTACACATTCCACCCCCACATGTAGAGCTCCCCATCCACTACGTCCCCCCCCCAAAGTATGGTATGTTAGGCACACGCAACGTAACCACGAGTAGGAGGAGGGGAGAGGGAAGCGTACGGGTGGTGACGCCCATGTGGTAGCCGCCACACTCAACCGTGAGGGCAACCAGGCCGTTCATGCCCTTCACCAGCACCGGCTTCTTGCTGTCCCGCTCCGACCCGTGGCCCAATCGCCCATTGCCTCCGCACCCCCACGTGAACACGTCGCCCTCAACTGTCGACACACACAAGCGCAGGTGAGCACCAATCTTTCACGCGCTTGGCTTGGTGTGGGGGGGGGGGCAGCGGCCGCACTGTTGAGTGCAGCCATGTGGTCGGCGCCGCAGGACAGCGAGACCACCCGCTCCGTATCCAGCTCCTCCACGAGCTTGGGCACCAACTGGTTGCTGTCGTTGCCATGCCCCAGCTTGCCGTAGGACCCCACGCCGAACGTGAACACCTTGCCCGCCACTGGAGATCACGACACCGTAAGTGAAAGTGGTCCACCACGCAGTTGCGAAGAGTTGATTGGGCATATACGTGTGAGCACTGCCGTCCAATCGGAACCACAGCTGATCTGTGCGACCTTGTGCTCTGGCTGAAATTCCACCTTTGGGTTGGAGAGTACAAGACAGTCAATGGTGGGTCGGAGCAATGGGACCATGGAGGTCGTATTTGTATGTACCAGTACGGGCTGTGTTCGAGAAATCTCGTCCCCCGTTCCTAATCGTCCCCCGGTGCCGTTGCCCCACGTCAGCACCGTGTTCGCCTCTGCAGTGGGGATGAGGTGAGTGAGCTCACACGGAACCGATGATTGGAGTTCCAGGTGCGTACCTGTGAAGACGGCCGAGTGTTCATCTCCACAGGATACCCCCACCACCTTCTTCTTGATGTTGATCCTCTTGGGAATGTTGCAGCAGTTTTCGTTGCCCAAGCCCAATCGACCCGACTCCCCGTTGCCCACGCTATACAACCCTCCCGACTCTGCTCGCAAATCAAGGTGAGCCTCACCTTCCCATGGCCCAGCAGAGGAGGAAGAGGGTGGTGTCGAGTACTCTTTAAAACGAGAGCGTGCGTCTCCCCGCACGCTATGATTACAGATGGTTTCTTTCGCAGGGCCGACACCTGCAGAGGTGGTGAGTGAAAGATAAGGTTGATGGTAGGTAGTAGATGGTGGTGGTACCTCACGTGGAAAGGACCCGTTCTCTTCGTCGTGGTGACCCAACTGCCCGCCGTTCCCTAGGCCCCAGCTGAACACCATGCCTTTTTCTGGTGTGTGCAAAGAAGAAGAAGAAGATGAAGGCCAAATAAATATGGATTTGCACACAGAAAAAGGTGGTGTGCAACCAACAATCGAAGTAGATGTGTCAATGCGCACCTGTTACTGCTGTTGAAAAGTTCTGGCCCGCAGCCACGAACACCACTTTTCGAGCTGACAGCTGTGTTTTGATAAACGGGGGGGGGGCTTAGCGATGATGCTTTGAGAGATGGGAGCAATCGTGTGCTCACCTTGGAGAGCAGGAATGGTTCCTCTTTGTCTGTTTTGTCTTCTTCAATGCCTAGCTGGGACCAGTAGTTCCAGCCCCAGACATAGACATCGCCTAAGGAAGGGAATGGGGAAGGGGATCAGTACTCAACCGCAGATAATGTTGCGATCACTATGAACAAGGCTAAGGACGCCGGTAGGGGCGAAGAGATAAACAACATCTGCTGAACATCATCTGATCCGATTGAAGGTGTGTCAACTTGCCTTGAGTTCGCTTTTGATTTCTCCATACGTTCTTGGTCGTCGTCTCAGTTCTTGCGCGTTCCATCTTTGTCGCTTCGACGTTCAAGCGCAAGCTGGCCGGAAGAGGAGCGAGGAGATGGAGAGATCAACAGCACCACTCGAACTGGGGGCAGCGCGAAGGTCAGAAAAGAAACCCAAAAGACAGCTCAGCGAAGAGGTTTTGTACCGGTGCCAACACACTCCACTTACTTTAAAACAACACGTAGCAACTTCTGCTTTTAAGGTCTATAAGTTTATCCTAAAGTGGGGGTTGAATGCACTCCGGAGCTTATTTGCTCATGCATCTTCGTCTTCTCCCCATCCGTGCTTGCCTCGCCAACAGACAAAGGCCCGGGACGAAATAGAGCAACAAATAAATGTAATTTCTCTTGCATTTATTTTTGATCAGAACTAACGGTCGGAATGGTTGGTATGCAGAAACGGTTTGGCGCCTGGAGAAGAAGGGACCCAAAACGAGAAGGATTCAGGCAGAGAGGCTTGGGGGGCGTGCCCATTGGATTGCGACTGGCATCGAGTAGAGGCTCACTTTGATAAAGAGATTCAAGGCGGTGCCATTGAGCGATTAGATTGTTCGAGAAAGAACGAGACGAGGCGAAGTAGAGATACGAATTTGATCGTTAATTTTCGCCATCGAGGTCGATCATTGAAGAGACGCTTGATCCCACCCGGCGACAAACTTCACAGGCTGCAACACCCACATCGAATTGCGGCCGATTAATCCGGTGCAAGACATGTCGATTCACGAAGCTGCCGAAGATGGCAGGGAGGAGGAGCTGCAGAAGCTCATTCAGCGCAACATCCAGGCTGTGAATGAAGAGGATGAGTACGGGGAGACACCACTTCATCTGGCCTGCATGGCCGGCCATCCCAACTGCGTCAAGCTTTTGCTGCACAACGGCGCTCAGGTACGTTTTACCCTTCTACCCCCCTTCTCTTTCTCTTCGGCCAGCAACCTCCACACTTTGTTCAATCCAGCTCGACTTCGACCTCCAGCGTTTCCCTTTTTCAACGCTGAGTTCATCAGTTTACCCGTTGATCTTGATCTTGTCGAGCTCAGTGCTAGTTTTCTTCCATGACAGCAACTTGCTGACATCGTTGCCGTGTGCCCTATGTGTTCTTCTTCTCTCTGTGCGTGTGCGACGTGTGTTTCGTTTGGGAACGTAGGTGGACTGCCAGAACTCGAACGGGACGACACCGCTGCACTACGCCGCACGCTACGGTCGTCAGGCGTGCGTGACCTTGCTCCTTCGCAATGGGTGCGTTCCCCCCGCCCCGCCCCGCCCCGCCCCGACAATGGGCAAAGCTGCTGGGCGGCGTCATGCATTGTGGCTCGTCTCACATCGTCACCTCCACCTCCACCGCCACGCACACACACACACACACACACACACACACACACACACACACACACAGGGCGAACGTAGCGCGCAAGGACAACGCGCACTGGACGCCGCTGCACTATGCCGCCATCAACGCCCAGACCAAATGCGCTGCCCTGCTCATAGAGAAAGGTACCCGCGCACACGAAAGTGGCTGAGGGCGCATGCGATTGATCACTCACGCACGCACGCACACGCGCGTGAACGCGGGGGAGCAGGAGCCGATGCGAACGCTCTGACGTCGGACCACAACTCGCCGCTGCACTTGGCCGCCTCCGCGGGCGTGCTCGATTGCGTGCTGCTGCTGGTAAAGCACGGGGCCAAGCTGAACGCCAAGAACAAGGAGGGCAACACTCCGCTCTCTCTGTTGACCATCAAAGGTACCCCCTTTCTTCCCTGCCTCCGCGCGCGCGCGCACTACACCGGCGGCGTTTCGGTTTTCGATGTTGACCGTTCGGACGTTGGCCGCAAAACCTACACAGCCAAGGCTGCTGTAGATAAGGAGAAAAACAGCCTGCAGCGCCTGAGCGAGGATCTGCGCGGACTTGTAAATGACAAAACCTACGCCGATGTGGCCTTCATCATCGAGGGCGAAGACAGGTCAGTCTACACACACACACACACACACAACACACACGTGTGACGTGTACTCACCACCCCACACACAAACACACACACACACACAGGCGAACGCTCTACGGGCACAAGAACATCATTTGCCTGCGCTGTCCGCGGCTGAAGGAGATCATCCAACAGCACGAGCGGCACAAGGGCAGCAACGGAAGCACATCAGAGCCGGAGCAGATCGGCAACCTCACCATCGTACACGTGCAAGGTACCCGCCCGGCCCCGTAATCGCTGTTACGTACGCGTCTGGACCCACGCCACACGCGACTCACTCTTTCGCCCCAGGAATGAGTGCCTCCGTGTTCGAAAATCTGCTCCACTTCGTGTGTACGGGCGAGGTGCCCGCACTGGTCTCCCTCGCCGCTTTCCTGAGCTCAGCGTACGTCGTTCACTTCACCCCTCAGAGCTCCGAGTTGTGAATGAGTGAGCGTCACGCTCATCACGCCATATCCACACGCACACGCACACACGACCCCGCACGCACGCGTTCAATTAGATCGAGCGAGACGGACAAAGTGAGAGAGCTGGCGCAGCTGGTGGAGCTGTTGCGTGCCGCAGAGATTTACCAATATTCGCACCTCGCCGATTACTGTGAAGAGGTGCGCCACCCCCCCCCCCATCGGAGGAGTGGCTCTCTCGTTAACCTCTTTCGCTCCCCCCCAACCACCACTACAGATTCTTTCAGCCAATTTGAACGTGGAGAGCGCGATCGAGTTCCTGAGCGCGACCGACTACAGGAAGAAAGGAGCGACTGGGTAAGCTCACGCGCTCGTTTGTTTTACAACACCACACGCCGCCGTGTGCGCGTGCCTGACTGACGTGTGCCGTGTGTCGTGTCGTGTCGTGTTCTCACTCATTGCTTGAAGGCTGCGTGAATGGGGAACCCTGCCCGGAATGAACAACGACGACGTCAGTCGCCAGTGCCTCGCCCGGGTCCGCAAGACCTTTGGCGAATACCTCATCGGTGCGCTCCAGCCCTTGCTGCTGCTGTGCGCCGCGTGCAAGGCCTCTTGGCTCATCTTTTACCCACCACCACTACCACCACCACCACCACGCAGCGCACTTCAACGAAGCGGCGGAGAGTAAGGGCTTCCGAAAGATCAAGAAGGAAATGATCGTCGACCTCCTGCCTGAGCTCTCGGTCGAACAGGCACGCTCCACACACCGCACACACACCACACACACCACACACACACCGCGTTGTGCGGTTCGTGCCGATTAATAATTTACAATAATGGTGGGGTGGTGGTGACTGCGCAGAAGCACAAGCCCGCCGAATACGTGCGGCGCGTGCCGAAGAAGAAGGTGGAAAAGGTGGACGCGATGAAGGGGAACATCCTGCTCGAGTGCAAGAAGATCATGACCAGCCTCATCTCCGACACCGTACGCCAACACCACCAGCCCACCACACCACCGTCTGCCGTCTGTCGTGCAGCACCAGGTGCTCACTTTCTTTCTTCCCCTGTCCTGGCTCGCTCTTGTAGGACGCCTGGCCGTTCAACCAGCCCGTGGACCCTGTGGCGCTGGGCATCCCCACCTACTTCGACATCATCAAGGAGCCCATGGACTTTGGCACCATCAACGTACGCTGACCCGGGTCTCCTTCTTGCGCGGCTTCGTTTTTCTTTTCTTTTTCTTACGCAACGCACGTGTACAGCAAAAGCTCAAGAACGGCAAGTACGAAGTGCTGGCCCAGTTCGAGCGCGACGTGCATCTGGTCTTTGCCAACGCCCTCCTCTTCAACGAACCCGACTCGGACATCGGCTACTGGTACGTTATTATTATATCTCATAATAATCATAATCAGCATTTATTTATTTTGTACATTTACTCTCTTCACTTATATTTACGTTTGTGTTTGTTTGTACTTTTTTAATGTTATTTTTTGTTTTTTAAAACAGGGCCAAGAAGCTGCGAGGCCTGTTTGAGAGGCGACTGGTGCGAGTGCACAACATGCTGAAGGAGGAGAAGGAGCGCTACGCCTCGGCTGTTGCTGCCGCCCCGCAGCAGCCGGCCGCCGCCGCTGGCCCGCCCGCCGCCCAAAAGGAGCCCGCCGCGTCCACCTCGACCTCCACCACCTCCTCTTCATCGTCCTCCTCTTCATCTTCGTCTTCGGGCGCATCCCTCACCGGCGCCAAGAAGAAACCCTCCCGACCCGTCGCGTACGCCCCTCCCCCCTGCGTGTGCGTGTCGTGTGTGTCGTGCGTGAGTGCGTGAGTGCGTGCGGTCGCACTTACAACCCGCCGCACGCACGCGCACGACACACAGTGCGGCGACAGCGGCCAAGGCCGCGCCGGCGACGGTGATCAGTCCGGAGGAGCTGGAGGTGGCGCGCGCGCGGCTGAGCCAGAACGTGAACCGGTTATCGCCGCACCAGCTCATGGAGGTCCTCACCATGATCCAGCAGGCCTCCTCCATGCCCACCGTACGTGTCCGCCCCCCCCCCCAGCCCCCAAGGTGTGCGCTGCCTGCGCTGACTCCGTCGGCGACCACCAGGGCGAGGAGGGGGACAGCAACGGCGATATCGAGATCGACCTGAACGAGCTGCCGCCCGACGCGCTGGTGCGCATCCAGGCCTACGTCGACAGCTGCCTCGCCGGCAACGGCAACGGTACACCCACGCTCCACGCTCCACGCACCACGCACCACGCACCACCCACCACCAGCAGCCACGGCATCGCACTTGAGCTCACCCTTTCCGGCCCCGTGCGGTCGACGTGTCGACCACAGACCCGGGAGACGAGGAACACGAGGAGATGACCCTCGAGGAAGAGGACGAACCGGTCGCCGCGGCTCCCGCGACAGCGCTCAAGGTAAGCGGCGAGACCCTTCCCCGAGGTCGCGCGTGTGTCACATCACCTGTTCAGCATCCACTCACTAATCATCGCCATTCGTCGTCGTCGTCTTCTTCTTTTTCTTTCCTTTCAGACCGTCTCTGCGCCACGAAAGAGACAGCGAAGCGAGTTTGGTTCGTTCTCCCTCAACTCCCCTTGGCGCTCACAATCTTCTTCTCTCGTTCTTCTCTCGTTCTTCGTTCTTCTTCGTTGTTTAACTTTCGCTCTCGTGGCGCAGACTTTGATGCGACGCCGGAGGAGCTGGGAGGAGGGCTCGACCCCAAGAACGAGAACGGGGTCGCGAGGCAGCAGCGACGAGAGAAAGGGCGCGAGAGGCGGAAGGACAAGGCCGACCGCGGCAGCGGTTCCGGGAGCGACGCCGGCGGCGGCGACAAGAAGCGGAAGCGCCACCACCATCACCACCATTCGTCGTCGGCGTCGTCGTCATCGACTCCGTCCGGCGGCTACGCTTCGCCCGGCAATGCCGGCACGCCCGGCGTCAGCGGCAGCAGCGCGTCGGCGGCGGCTGCGGCGGCGCAGCAGAGGAAGGAGCGGAAGCGGATAAAGGAGGAGCGGGACGAGACCTACTCCCAGGGCGGCGGCAGCGGCGGTCGACGAAACGAAAGCTACGCGCCCACCTCCTTCGAACACATCGAGTTCGGGCACAGCTGAGGACTCTGCCTGTCTGCCTGCCTTCTTCTTCTTCTTCTGTGCCCACCGGTGCCCAAGGCCACAACAGGTGCGTCGACGCCCGTCTCCCATGATTTCTTCCCGAGCGTTGAGCTAAGCCCCATCAACAACACAGTGTATGGGGGGCGCAATGAAGAAGAAGAAGGAAGGGCGAATGATGATGATGATGATGATGTTACATGACGGGGTGGAAGAACCAAACGACGCGACGACGACGAGGAGGAGGAAGGAGGAGGATGAAGAGGGTGACGAGGCCGAGGGCGCGGCTTGATTTTTTGGCGGCGTGTGTGAGGGGAGGGTGGCGTGGAGCGTGTGGCGTGTACGCGGGATCGGCAGTGGGGCCTGTAAAATACGGCGATCCTCGCTTTTGGGAAACGCATCGCGCGTGTCGTGTCGTGTGTCGTGTGTCTTCCCGCGGCGGTAGTGGTCCGAAAAGAACGAAAGCGAAGATGAAGATGAAGAGAGAAGAAAACGAAAAGGGAAATTGTGGGGGAAGGCCTGATCAGGAGGAAGAGGAGGAGGCGGCGGGGAGGGAGAGGACTTGGATGAAGGCGTGCGGGAAGATGCCCACCTGCCCGCGCACCTCGCCCTCCCACCAATTGTCGTCGATCCGCTCCCGAAGTATCACCTTCTCGCCTGTCCGCGCGCCCCGTCAGTACGCGTGTGTGCGTGCGTGTGCGTGTGCGTGTGCGTGTGCGGTAGTGATGGTGCGTGTACCGCGAGTGAGTGCGAGTTCGTCGTGCGATTCGGGTACAAAGTCGTGCGTCACCACGGCCGATCCGTAGGTGGGCTGCGCCGCCGGTGCGCGGATGGGCGGCGTCGGCCGCACATTCGTCGCTGTCGCCGTCGCCGTTGTCGGAGCTCGCGCGCCGCCGACGCCGCCACCTGAACTGGGCGGCGACGACGACGATGAAGGCGACGACCCGCCGCCCGGCGCCAGCCGTCCGCCCAGCGAAGAGGAAGACGACGAGGCCGAGCCCAGCGCGGGCCGGTGGTGCGTGGGGACCGACGTGTGGGAGGAGGAGGGCGACGAATAGGGCGACGAGGAGGGCGACGAGGTGAGCGACGCGGGCTTGACGGGCAGCGCGGGCTTGAGCGCCGACCGGGCCGTGATGGCCGCCGACGACGAGGAGGAGGGCGTGAAGCTCGAGGCCGGGCGCGGCGCCGGCTGCGGTCTAACTCCGACTCCTGCGGTTTTAGCTCCGATTCCGGCGGCGGCTCCGGAGGGCACGGGCGGCAGCGGCGTCGACGGCGGAGTGACGCCGGCCGGGCGCGAGCTCGCCCGCGTCGACAGCGCCGGCCTCGACGGCGAACTATAGTTTGACGATGTCGACGTTGAAGGCGACGACGCGGCCGCCGCTGCGGCATAGGTCTGCTGCGCGGCGGCGGCCGACGCGGGCTTGGCGGGCGACTGGGTGGGCGACGGCGACGGCGAGGCGGCGACGCGCTGGCGGATCGGGAGGCTGGGCGACGACCCGAAGTGGGCGAAGGAAGAGACCGGGCGGGCGGCTGCGCCCTTCTGCGGCGATGCGCGCCCGGGCGACACAGGCGTGCCGGACGCCGTGCGGGGAATCGATGACCCTGCGACCACAGTTGATGCGGGCGAGGCCGGGGGTGACGTCGGCCGCAGCGCGCCCGCGGTGCGCTGAGGGCTCAACGCCGTCACTCCTCCCGAAGTCGGCGACGATGATGACGTGGGCGTCGGCTGTTGCAGTTGCGGCTGCTGCTCGACCCACTCGACTTCCTCTTCGTCCCACTCGACCCACTCGACCTCCTCGTGCTTCGTCGTTCTTCTCTTCGTCGTCGTCGTCGTTTTCGTTGTTGTTGTGGCTGTTGTCGACACCTGACGATGACGACGAGAGCGTGTGGGTGTCGACAGTTTCCGAGTCGGTCGGTGGGACCGAGTCGAGGGCGTGGAGCATCTCCTGCTTCTTCTCGAGCATCTCCTCGAAGACCCGGGTCTTGAGGTCGATCTTGGCCCGGCGGTCGGTCAGCTCGCGCCGCGTCTTGTCGACACCGGCCTGGTCCTCGATCTTCTCGTAGCTCTTCAGCAGCCGCTCGAGGCCGGCGAACATCAGATTCTCATCGCGCAGCCGCATCTGCAGCTTCGTCGACACACTCTCCAATTCCTGCGCGCACGCACGTACACACACACGCACATCGTCAGCGCACGACACGACACGACACGACACGACCAACGACACGACACACGTGCCTGTAGTTTGGCGTGGCTCACTTCGTGGCCGAAGAGGAGCTTCCAGTTGTCGTCGAGCGAGTCGATCTCGTCCTCCAGCAGCGACGGCGGTTTCTTCACCACCGAAGAAGAAAGAACGAAGAAGAACGAAGAAGAAACGCGTCAGTCACACGAGCGTGTGCGGTGTGTGCGCGTGTGCGCAGGTACGAACCCATTTGCGGCCGGTCCCATGAATGAAGCGCTTGGGGACGATGGAGATGCGGCGGCGGGCCTTGAGCGTTTGCCGCCACTCGTCCTGCGGCGCACTGATGACCGACACGGGTATCTGCTGCTCCGAAAAGCGCTGTGTGTCGTGTCGTGTCGTGCGACACAGGTCAGACAGCACGACACGACACACATCGCACACGCACGACACGACACACGGGCCGTACTAGTTTTTGGTCGACGAGCAGGACTTTGCGGGAGAGACGCGATGGCGGAGGTGCCGCTTGCCCGCCGTTGGCCGGGCCGTCGCCGCTGGTGGCCATGGCCCGCGGCGTGAGCATCACCGTAGTCGGACGCTGCAATGAGCCAACACGCGCCCGCGTGAGCAAGGACCGTGTGCGTGTGCGGTCGTGTGCGGTCGTGTGCGGTGGTATTGTACCCTGATCACGCGCGGGCTGCTCTTGGCCCACTGGCGCGACAGTTCGTCGACCTTGGCCATGAGCCGCGCTATCTCCTCCTACGACATGTCCCAACGACACACGACACGAGGCACGGGGCGAATGAGACTCGAAGATCGTCGCGGTGAGAAGTGTGGCATGGCCACGCTAGGCGTACACTGGCGCTGCTGATGTCCTTCTTGAGCTGGAGGTTCTCCTGCGTGACCGACTGCAGCTGTCGCCTGAGCGCCAAATTCTCGAGCGTCACGTCGTCTGCGCACTGGGCGCCGGCGCCGGCAGCAGCTCCGCCGATGGTCGACCCGTGGTGCGGACCCGTCTGCACCACCGCCGCCGCGCTCTGCGAAAAATAAACGCCCGAGCACTCAGCACACACCGCACACACACACCGCGGGCGCACACACACACACACACACACACCGCACACGCACGGCCGCACACGCACGAACCTGGCCACTGGTGAGGGCGACGGCGGGGAAGCTGGGCTGGCTGTGCGAGTGGTGCGGTTGCAGGTGGTGTTGGTGGTGGTGGGGCATGGGCGCGAGCATGGAAACGGGCCGAGGGGAGGAATCGGCCGCGTGGCTCGCCGTCGCAGTGCTCCCCGGCCGCAGCAGCTGCGACGGCGGCATCGCGCTCCTGCGCAGTCCTCCAGCCACCACTGCATTACAAATAAATAAATAAATAAATTTACCAATAAGTAATTCGTAATAAGCAATGTCACCGAGTATCACAGTTTATATTGTTTTATTTTACGTATTTAATGTTTATTTTCATTGCAGAAGCTGAGCTTCTACTCGCATTACTGAATAGAATAATTAAATCTTATATTGATTATATCGGGATTTATTTGTTTATCTATTATTTTTTAAAGAGCTAAGGTGGTACCCTTGGGAAGTTCGGCAGAAGGAGTCGTGGGGCCGCCCCGCAGTTTCCGCTTTTCGAGTTCGAGAGCACGCTCCATGTGCCGGTTGGCCTCGGCCTCGCGCCATCGCTTTTCCATGAGTTCGATCTGCCGGATGGTATCCATGATGTCCTTGTGCTGCCCCTCGGCCTTCTTCATTCGGTTCGGGCCACCCTCTCCACCTCCATCTACCCCCTCCATCTTCTATTTCTTTAATTTTATTTTTAGTTAATATTGCAATATTAACACCTTTCTTTCGTTTCGCTTTGCGCCAATTGGAGGATACACAGAAGAACATGGAAATTTGGTTGAAAGAATGCAAAAATTGAAATGCCGTGGCCACGAGGTTGTGGAATGCACATTCCAAGTCTTTTACAAATGAAATCACATATTCGATGTCGACAGGAAACCTATCATCGGTGGTTGGGGCGCGGTGGTCTCAAGCCGCACACGCGCGACCTTGGCTTCCTCAACCCTGTTGGCCTCGGCGTCGTCGGTTGGTCTTCATTTTCTCGCGAGAGCACACAACACAAACAACACTTCCCAAGAACACCTACTCCCCTTTATACGACATGGCCACCAGCGAGGAAGAAGTCAAGGAGTGCTTCAAGGTGTTCGACACTGACAACGATTCCAAGATCGCCATCAGCGAGATTGGCCTCGTCATCCGCGCCCTCGGTACGTCTTCATTCTTCGTTCTCTCTTTCGGCTCTCGCGCTTCATTCTTTTTGTTTTGTTGGCTCCCCACCTCTCTTCCTTCATCTTCAAGCTTCTGTCTTTCTTCTTTTGATTTCTTGAGTTCATTTGGCGGGTCTCCCGGCTTCATCTTCTACCTTCCGGACCCTCCATCTCTTCTCGTTACTGTCTCTTTCTGTCACCCGGGTGGATGGAGCCCTGGCGAAAGTTGAGAAAGTAGTCGCTTACTGGTGGTCTCTCTCTGCATCATGATGTGGCGAACAGGCAAGGCCCCTCTCCAGAAGGAGATCGAGGCCATCGAGGCTGAGGCCGGCGGTGATGGTGTGGTCGACTTCGCCCAGTTCATGAACTTCTACCGCCGCAAGTTCAGGAGGCCCCAGGACCTCGAGAAGGAGATGAGGGAGGCCTTCCGTGCCCTCGATGCCACTGGGTACCGCTTTCTTCCATTCTTGCTACTTCGCATGCGAATTGCGCCTCCAGGAGGATCGTCAACAAGTCAGGAATCTGATCTCATTCTCTTCTTCCTCGCAGTAACGGCATCATCTCCTCGGCCGACCTCCGCATGCTTCTTGGCAGCCTTGGCGAGCCCCTCGAATCTGAGGATGTACGCCCCTCCATCACCTCGGCACAACGTTGCTGTGCGACGCTACAAGATAATCTCGATTCACTTATACGACTCTGGTCATTCGTACCTGCAGGTCGAGTCGCTCCTCCGGGCCGTGAGCGTTGATGCTGAGGGCAACCTTTCCTACGAGCAGCTCGTTGACATGCTTTCTGGCCTTGCCAAGTAAAAGCGTGCATTTAGAACAGATTAATGCGGGAGATACATAGGGCGGTTCCCCAAAGAACAATGATCGCAGTGTACACACTTGTGGATTCACTCCATGTAATGAATAATGATGATTTCAAACACTACTACCGCACCACCTGCACACTGGTGCCCTTATTTTTGGTCCAAAAATGGCTTTGTGGACAGCCCACCACTTGCTCCTCTAACGACACCACAAGGACACTTCAGGAGTTTCTATCGAGTTGTTTATTTATATTTTACCAGTAGTCGCCGCACGAACAGTGCTGGCCGCTGCCATGGAAGTGGTGGAACCGGTTGGCGTCACGCACAACGATGTCCCGCCCGGTCAGGTGGGCGATGAACTTGGTGGCCTCGTGGCAATCGGGGCACACGCGCAAGTTCTTAAACACGCGGATGGTCGTACCCGGCGGCGTGCTCATCAGCCCGAAGGTGATCGCAAGTTTTTCACTGTGGTGGCACAGATGGCACTCCTTGGCCTCCTCGTCTGCCATCGACCGCAGCACAACCGACGTGTTGGGGACGAATCCAGCATTCTTCATCCTCTGCCAGAGCACGGCGAGCTCGGCGCGGATCTCCTCGATTCGTGGGTGCCGCTTGTCCTCGACCGTGAAGACATGCCGTGTCCCGTCCACGACCAGCCAGCTCTTGCCCGGCCGCTTTCGCACGCCAGCCTTGTCCATATTCTTTCGCTCGAGGTCCCGTTCCTCCCAGTGGCCGGCGGCAGCGTAGACGTTGGCCATCAGCACGCGCGTGGGCGCGTCCCTCGGTGCGAGTTTGCGAAGGCGCGCGACGGCGCGTTCGGCCCGGGCAACGTCGCCGTGGATGCGACAGGCCCCCAGTAGTGTTCGCCAGGTCACCTCGCTCGGTCGCGAGATGGTGTCGATGAACTGCTCGGCCTCGTCGAGCCGACCCGCTCGGCCCAGGGCATCCACGACGCAAGTCTGGTGCTGGATGTCGGGTGCGATGGCCCCGTAGCGCCCCGCAACGAGGCCGCTGTAGACCCGGAGCGCCTCCTCCACCAGTCCGGCGTGACTGCAGGCGCTGAGCACGGTGTTCACGGCCACACCATCGGGCGTTGCGTGTCGGTCGGTGACCATCTCGTCGAAGAGCGCGAGTGCCTCCTTGCCTCGGCCGTGCTGACCCAGCGCCTGGATCATGGCCGACCAGGAGCCCACCCGCAGCTCGCATCGCCCGTCCTGCTGCAAGCGCCGCATGTCGGCGAACACGCCGGCGGCTTCGTCGACAAACCCGCACTTGGCGTACATGCTGATCAGGGCGGCCGTGGTGTAGTCGTTCACGACGGCTTGGCTTTGACTGCCGACGATACGTGTGTGAAGCTGTCGCCCGATCGCTGCTTCGCCAGTGGCAGCGCACGCTGCGAGGACAGGGGTGAAATGGCAGCTGTTTTGCGCGATGGCCTGCTCCTCCATCAGCTCCAACAGGGCCAGCGCGTCAGCGATCCTCGAACTGGCCCCGGCGGAATCGGGGTCTACGCCGGTGACCAGACCCTTAATGAGCTGCCCGCAGTCGACACTGTTGGCCTTGAAGGGCAGGCGACCTTCTTGAAGCCGGACCAGCAGCCTCTTGGCTGCTGCCGCGTCGCCAGCTTCAGCGGACGCCGCCGCCAGCATGTGGAAGCTGGACTCATCGATCGCGATGTCGAATCGGTCCAGGTCGTCGAGGAGGCGAAGCGCCCTGCCCGGCTCACCGCAGCGTCGGCACGCGCTGACAAGCGAGCCGATGAGCACGGCATTCGGTTGGTGGCCGCTCGCGATGAACTTTGCGTAGACGCCAAGCGCCTGCTTGAGGTCGCGGCGCCTCCCGCATGCGGAGATGAGTGCCGACGCGCTGAAGGGAGTCGGATGCTGATCGAAGAGGCTAGCAGCTTCCCTGATCCTGTTCTGCTTGCACAATGCCACGACGCGCCGGCTGCCAGCGTTGGTGCCTTGGCTTGCCACCGGTGCAAGGGCGGCCGGCGATTGTCGAGCGCTGCGCGCACGGCTGCACACAGAAGAGGATGGAGTGAGTACTCTTCTGAGTCGGGATCATAATGTAGGTCGCGTACCTCGCCGCGTTGGTGGTGAGGTTTAAAGCCGAGGTGCCTCCCGAGGCCGACCAAAGCAATCTTCTGGATTGCACTTGCAGAAGATTTTCGCATTACTGATTGTCATCTTGATGATATGGAATTGAATATTAAATGGTTGGCACGTACGGCGGGACTGTGTAGCCACAAATGGAGTGATAACAAAGGCGTGCTGAACGTCAGACACACGGCAGCGCTTCATCGAACGCGAGGAGATTTTCGATTTGTTCAAATGTTGCTGTTGCGCGTTTTGTTTGTTCTTCAAGGCAGGAAACGGGAAAAGGAGCGAAAATTTGCCTCAAAATCGCGCTGAAAATTTATTGAATAAGGAGAATGAGCTGAGCCATGCAAATGTCCACACCCCTGGCTGTAATTGATTGACTCTACACTTCCCTACAAGAACCCCTTCACATCACTCCCTCTTTTGGAAATATATTTTGGTACAGGAAATAGTGATATGGAGAATTGGTCAGTGTCACCCCCTCATTGCAGGAGTCCTGGCTTGTAGAGGCTGGCTCATCAATAATGAAGGCTTGTTGGGCTCAGACCAGGAGCTGTTGAAGGTAACCACATCCACACCTATGAAAAAGGAAGAGGTTCACCAGCCCAGCAAGTGCAAGAGTGATGTGGCACAACTTCCCTTCCATTTTTCAGGAAGCACACTTGGCCCTCAAACATTTTTACCAAACTTTTTCTTTTGTGGATTTGCGTAGGCCGAGAAAATAAAAAAATATATTTCCAAAAGAATTGGTGCAGGGAGGCGGTTTGCTCAAGTCACGCGACACCCAGGGGCCAATTTGCTCATTTCAGCAGACAACGAACATGCTGGACGAACGGCGATGCATAGACGAATCGCCCAATCTCGGCCTGGGAATCGGGCTCGAGGAAGTGCTGGCGGACAGCCCCATGGCACGCAACAGGCTTCGCGAGGTCCAGAAAGGCGTGGAGGACTGGGGCGATGACCTCCTGCGCCTCACCTCTGCCGCCACCAAACTCGGCTCCGCTGCCAAAGGTGCCTTTTCCATCCATCCATCTCCATCTCCATCTTTCTCTCTGCGGAACTCTCCTGTTCTACGCGAGCCTTGGACTTGTTCGTCTTCTCTGCCGGCGTGCTCATCTCTCTCGATTTGCAGTGTACTCGAACGCGTCGTCGGTATTCTCGCAGACGCTACTCGAGCTGGACACCTTTGGCGATACAACGCTTAGTACGTATATGATGCTGATACGCACACGCACCGTGCCAAGATATGTGCTCGCTCGCTCGCTCGCTCACTCGTCCTTCATCTCCTCGTTTGTGTCACAACAGAGCACTCGGTGCGACGACTAGCGGACGTGTTGAAGGAGACCGACGCTTTCCGGGAGACGCTGGTATGACCCTTTGGGACGACTACACTTCATCTCGTCTTGGAGGCCTTTCCTCACACTCTTTCACTCTTTCACACTCCACGTAGCACCTGCAAATGGAAGAGGCATTCGCCGAGCCGCTCAAAGCCTTCGTCAAAACTCAGATCGCTTCCGAGAAGGTGATCCTCTCACCGCCACTGCAGTGCTGGTCGTGGTCTGCTGCTGCTGCTGACGCGTGCACGTCCGCTCTAACATGTTCATGTTCTCTCACGGCACGGCCGTAATACAGAAAAGTATGCAGCGGCTTGAAAAGGCCCAAATGTCGTACGACGCGCTGCTCTCTCGTCTCTCCCACGTCAAGCAGAAGGACCACTCCAAGTTCTGCGGCGTACAACCTCCACACCGCCGCCGCCGCCGCCACTCGAAGCTTACGCTGCTCTTAGCTAAATCCTGACTCCCTTCCCTTTCGTTCGTCTTCAACAGTTGTCCGACGAATTCCAAGGAGTGAAGCGAGACTTTCAAGAATGTAGCTTGAACATGCTCTCGGAGTTGTACGATACGAAAGCAAGGTGACCGCCTCACCCACTCCTCAGAGTACTCTGTCTTGCTGGCCTAGATCTCACGCATTGTGTGCACACCAGAGAAAAACTCGAGTTCATGGAGCGGCTCTCGCTTTTGCTGTATGCCGTCATGGCGTACTTTCAGGTAAGCCTGAGGTTTAGCCCACACACACACACACACACACATACACACACACACCGTCGTTCACTCCAATCCTAATTCGCGGTGGCTTGCAGCACGGTTTTGAGGTGTACAAAGAGCTGCAGCCCTTCATGCATACGCTGTCGGATCACATCGTGAAGGTACCACGGTGCACCTTGCCGTTGTTGTTGTTGTTGTTGGACCACACCGGTGCGCTGAAGCTGCGATGGGCTCGTGATGTGTTCAGTGTCAGGAGGACTACGGCCAAACGAAAAAGGAGCTGTCCGGGGTGAGGGTGAAGCTCGCGCAGGAGCAGGGCGCCAGCGTGCCCCTCGCTGTTCCGGCCGCTTCCACCGGTCCCTCGCTCGTCAAGAACGGATATCTCTTCCTTCGCTCCTCCGGCCACGTCAGGTAAGATCGTACGCAGCTCGCTCTCTTTTCTTATTTATTTACAATGGCATGCCCGCGCTGTCGCAGGAAGGAATGGAAGAAACGCTACTTTGAGATCAAGGACGGCGAACTGCTGTACTACAAACATAAACGAGTGCGTCACCGCTAGTTATCATCACCTTTCGTTGGTATACTTTTGGTTGCCTCTTTGGAACTCCTCTGACTTTTCATTCGACCAAACAGAGGGAATGCGAGCCCGAGCGGTATTCTCTGCTTCTTATCACCCCGCGCCCGCCACCCGCTGACGTTGAGCGACGGTTCGCTTTCGAGGTAAGCGCCGCTTCGCATCATCGAGGCAGCTGTCCGCGAGTTCGAGCCAATCACTTACTCGCTCACTCGGCGCATCGCAGTTGACCGGTACCAAGCGATCATTCATTTTGCAAGCTGCCAGCGAACAAGAAAAGCTCGAATGGATGGAGGTACACACTTCCACGTGTGCACACTCTGTTGAATGCGCCTTCTTATACATACGCGCGCATGTGCAGGTGGTCCAAAATGTGACCAAACACTTGCTCGACACTTCGATGACGGAGCCGCGCCTCTCCAGGTTGGTGTCGGGCGTTTCCACGTGCGCCCAGTGAACTGTGACGCTCACCTCCCCATTACTTCCTCTCCTCTCACCAGGGCCAGGTCTACCAGCGGCCTCACCAGCGGCCTGCCCGCCCCGTCGCCGGAGCTCAAGAGAAACGCGGCGGGAGGGTCCGGGTCCACGGCTGAAGTTGAGCCAGAAGAGGTTGGCCTTCCCCCCCCCCCATCACAAGCAGACCGTGTGGCTGATCAGTGGTCTCCCCCCCCCCATTGGGTGTTTGTGCAGACAAGCGTGCTGGCCCAGATCAGGGCAGTCAGCCAGTCCAACAACTTTTGCGCCGACTGCCAAGCTGCGGGTATGCCTTCCCCTTCTTCTTGGCCGTACCGATGTCTGTGATCTGCAAGCTAACCCAGTTCCTGACGTCTTTCGCCGCCTCTACTGCGTGGACTGCTGTACTCTCCCCGTAGACCCCACGTGGTGCAGCGTCAATCTGGGCGTCACCTTCTGTATAGAATGCTCCGGTGTACATAGGTGCGTCGCCGCTCCTTCCCCCCCACCCACCCACCCAGCCGGTGGTCTAACGCCTTTGTGTTCGCGCTTCGTGACGGCCGCAGAGGTATGGGCGTGCATGTGAGCAAGGTTCGCTCACTGACGCTGGACGCGTGGCCGTCCGAGCTCGTCCAGGTACCAACTCAACGCACAGCCTCCACGGTAGAGATGCGGATCGAGCTATGCTCACACCGCCCCGTTAACGTCTGTAGTCCATGCTGCGCATGGGCGGCAATGAGAAAGTCAACGCCATTTTCGAGGCCACCCGGCCCTCCGATACTGAACGACCGAGTCCAGGCAGCGCCGTGTATGTCAGCTCCTCATCCCTGTGTGTGGGCCGTTTGCGTTGTGTCGTGTCGTTGGTCGTGCCGTTGGTCGTGTCGTGTCGTGTCGTGTCGTGTCGTGTCGTGTCGTGTCGTGTCGTGTCGTGTCGTGTTTTACTGTCGCTCACCTTGGAATACGATCATGGGGTACAGCGCTGTGCGGGAAAAATACATCAAGCGCAAGTATGCCAACCGCGAGTTCGTGCGTCCCTACAGCGGCGGGGCCATTGTCGAGGTGCCCACCTTTCTCTCAGCATCTCCTCTCGCGAGCCTCTCCGCTTATCGGCCGCCCACACCATTGGTGGTCACGCGATTACGAGCAGGACTTTATGGAGGCGGTGGAAAGCGGCGACCTGCACAAGCTGCTGCTCCTTCTGGCCCAAGGCGCCAGCCCGAACTGCGGAAATCCCTCGGCGCTATTGGCAGCCGCCCGCCTCAACGACGCCACACTCCTCGAGTTCCTTATTCAGGTCTGCTCCCCTTACTCCTTTCATTTGCCCAATCGCAGTGGCGGTGATCTGACCCAGACCACACACACACACAACAGAGTGGCGCCGATACGAAGGCGGTCGATTCGCACGGCCGCACGGTGGTCCACATCGCAGCCGAACAGGGCTACACCCAGTGCCTCTTGCTTCTCTACAGACGCGGCGCGCCGCTCGACACAAAGGATCACGCTGGCCTCACCCCTGTCGACCTCGCTTTGCAACACCAGAAAGCGGGTACGTCTCTATTCTGCGTGCGTATGTGAGTGCGGGCTGGCCCCATTGAACGTGGTGTGGCCATGTCGGGTGACAGACTCTGTGACCCTCCTGCGGCTGGCGCTGCTCTCTGCCGAAGAACAGAGGGGCGACTTCGAGGCCACCTTCGCACAGGCCTTCCAGCACTTCTCAGAAGATCTACGGCGTACGCCCTCTCTCCACCTCTCCTTCCGTCACGCGTTGCAACCCTGAGCTCACTCCATCTTACGCCACACGACACACACGACACGACACGCACGACACACACGACACGACACACAGTGAAAAAGGGCAAGGACCAGCGGACAATGAGTGTCGGGGGCGCCTCTCCCTCTAAACCCGCACTCACCACCTCGACATCCGAGCCCTCGCTGGCCATCCCCGCGCCCTCCTCGCCCGTCGCCCGCCCACTCTCCCGGCTCGGCTCGTCCTCATCCGACTCGTCTTCCGGCGCCTCCCGCCAGCGCACCTCCACCACCGTCTCGCCTTCAACGGCCGGCTCGGACCACACCGCCACCGCCACCACCACCGACGGCGTGCCGTTCCGTCGGGTGCCGTTCCCGCCCACTAAGGTGTCGCCTGTGGCGTCGATGGAGGTGCCGACGATGACGAAGACGACGATGGCATCGACGGCGCCGGTGCTGTCGACGTCGGTCGAGGCGGCGTCGGGCGCCACGCTGAGACCGGCCAAGAAGAAGCGGGTGCCCATGTCCAAGCCCACCACGCCCTTACCCGCGCCGCCAAGGCCGACGTCGCCACGCAGCGGCGGTGAGGGCAGGCCTCCGGTGACGACCGCGGCCGAAGACACGAATGCGTCGTCGACGGCTTGGAGAAGGTATAGCGTGCGAGGCAGGAGGAGCAACTCGCGCGATGAAGAAGGAGAAGGAGATGAACGACATCAGTGAAGGAGCTTGCGTGTTTGTTTCTATTCGAAATAGATTTTAGCAAACCTAAAATTTGCCAAATTTTACGAAGGCGTGTTTGATTTTTGGTTGGATGGCGAAAATGAGCCAAAAATCTCCACTTTGGGCGTTTTGGGTCTTCTGGCCTTTCTCTCTTTCTCTCCCGCTCCGATCGTCCGCGTGAACCGCACCGCATCGTGCGTCCCCCTTGACCCCGTGACTTCTGTGTGTGAATGGCCTTGGGATAGAACTTTAAATCTGATCGAGGTGTGGTGTGATGTGCAGTTAAACGTCACTCAATAGAAGATGAGTCAGGTTCCGCGTTCCTTGCACGTCCAGGAGGAGGATGTCCAGAAGATGCTGGCCGCTGAGGTCCACGTCGGCTCGAACAACCTCGACCCCAAGATGGAGCGTTACGTCTGGAGGCGCCGCCAGGACGGCGTGCACATCCTTGACCTCGGCAAGACCTGGGACAAGCTCGTCCTCGCTGCCCGCGTCATCGCCGGCATTGAGCACGCGTCCGACATTTGCGTCATCTCGGGCCGCACCTATGGTCAGAGGGCCGTGCACAAGTTTGCCAACTTCACCGGTGCGACCGCCATCGCCGGTAGGTTCACCCCCGGTACCTTCACCAACCAGATCCAGCAGAGGGACTTCAAGGAGCCCCGTCTCCTCATCGTGGCTGACCCCCGCGTCGACCACCAGGTTCGTCACCTCACGCCCCCATTTTGCTTCCATCCTTTGTTTCATTGTGTGTCTTTTATAATGATGTTACAAATAACGTGTTAGACTACTGAACTACAACGTTGACAACCTATTTCGGACTGAATATCATGTCATCTCTCAGTTGATCATTTCCTCTTCTTTCCATCGCTTTCTTTACTAACGCCATCTTCCACACCAACAGTCGCTCACTGAGGCCTCGTATGTGAACATCCCCACCATCGCGTTCGCCAACACCGACTCGCCCCTCAGGCACGTCGACATTGCCATTCCGTGCAACAACAACTCCAAGCACGCCATCGGCCTCATGTTCTGGCTTCTTGCCCGCGAGGTGGCCTACCTGAAGGGTACCCTCTCCCGCCAGGAGGGTTGGGACGTCATGCCCGATCTCTTCTTCTACCGGTACGCAATACTCCCATTTCCATCTATTCCAGCCCCATTTCCTCTGTCGCGACAATCGCTCATCCTGTTCCTCCCCGATCTGCAGCGATGCTGAGGAGACTGAGAAGGCCGAGGAGACCGTCGAGGCTCCCTCCGCCTTCGACGAGGCCTACAAGCCCGGTTATGATGCCACCGCCGGTGAGCAGTGGACTCTTGAGGGTACTGAGGAGAGCTCCGGCTTCACCCAGCCCGCCACCGAGGAGTGGGGCGCTGATGCCGAGGCCGCCACTGCCCCCGCCGCCACCGAGGGTGCCCCCGCCACCTGGGATGTGTAAAAGCGCTCTCCATCCTTTGGCTCTCGCTCTTCCACCAGTAAACAAAATTTCAAACATCTGTCGGCTGTTGCATTTGCTTCTTGAGGTGAAGAATGACGTGCACATCGTCCAGGCGATCGCCACGAGCAAGCATATCTTGTTCATTCACGAAACTGGTTTTATTGTATTTTTTATAAAATAAAATTAACGATTAGTAGCGAGGATGAAACGCACCTGCAGCGCAAGACGTGCTGCTGTGGTCTGCCGTTCCACAGCGGCGGTAGCGCAGGGTTCCAGCACGCGCAGCCTGCACAGCGCCCAGCCCACGCAAAGCGGCCACCGCGCTATCCCCCCGCACCACGTGCACGGACCCACTTGCCCCTGCTCGGCCGCACACAACCCCCAGTACTTTTATCGAGGGTACTCACTACTGCTCATTGAACTTGTCTGATGCAATCACAGAAGATGTGATGCAATAATAATTCGTGATAACAATATTGTATTTTATTTTTTACGCTCTTGCACTCGCAGGCTGCTGGGCGCAGAGGGGGCCGAGGCCCGCGCTTCCCTGACTCGCCCGGGTGTGCGCTTCGCCAGACGCACCCAGTCCACACCCACCACCCATGCTCGCCTCTCCTCCTCCGCCGCCACCGGTGCGTGTCGTTGGTCGTGTCGTGTCGTGTCGTGCCGTGCCGTGCCGTGCCGTGCCGTGTGTATGCGCACGTGTGTCGTGTCGTGTGCGTGTGTCGTGACGATCGTCTTCTGCCACGCAGGTGGCCTGAGCCGCAGCGGCCCGAAGGAGAGCGAAGCCGACTATGCGTTCGAGATGGCCGGGTCCAACATCAGGTTCGGCGTCGGCGCCACGCGCGAGGTGGGCCTCGACCTCGTCGACATGGGCGCCCGGCACGTGTGCGTGTTCACCGACTCAACGCTCAAGGACCTCGCGCCCGTCATCACCGTCCTCCAATCCCTTCAGGACGCCAAGGTGGGCCTCCTCTCCCCGCTTTGCTCTGTGCTCACTGCTCACACGCGTGTGCATGTGTGTGCGGTGTGTGCGGTGTGTGTCGTGCGCAGGTGAACTTTGTGTTGTATGACAAGGTCAAGGTCGAGCCGACGGACGCATCGTTCAAGCACGCCATCGAGTTTGTGACGCAGACGGCCCGTAAGGTGACGCCCACCGGCCATTTCGACGCATTCGTGGCGGTACTCCTCCCCTCTCCGAGCGTGCACACGACACACACGACACACACGGCGCACGACACACGGCGCACACGCACGTTCTTTGATGGCGTCGCGCTGACCTCGGCCAACGCGCGCGTGTCGTAGGTGGGCGGCGGGAGTGTGATCGACACGTGCAAGGCGGCCAACCTCTACGCCACCTACCCGCCGGAGGACTTCTTCGACTATGTCAACCCGCCAGTAGGCAAGGGCAAGGTACGTACACCATGCCACACATACACACACACATACACGAGCGCACGTGATCACCGCACACGTTGACTGTGTGTTTGTGTTGTGGTTTTGGTCCAGCCGCCGCCGGGCGCGTTGAAGCCGCTCATCGCCATCCCCACGACGGCGGGCACCGGCAGCGAGGCCACGGGCGTGGCGATCTTCGACCACGTCGAACGCAACTCCAAGACGGGCATCGCCCACCGACGGCTCAAGCCCACCCTCGGCATCGTCGACCCCGAGAACACCAAGTCTATGCCGTACGCACACCACACGACACGCACGACACATGACATGCACACGACACGCACGGCACATGACACGACACGCGCGGCACGCGCGTGTGTTTCCTACAGTCCGCAGGTGGCGGCGGCGTCTGGGTTCGATGTGTTGTGCCACGCGCTGGAGTCGTACACGGCGATCCCCTACGACCAACGGACCCCGCGTCCGGCCACTCCCCTCCTGCGCCCGGCCTACCAGGGCTCCAACCCCATCGCTGGTGCGCCCCCTCGCCCCATTACCTCATTCCGAGCCACTGACATTGCCGTGTGCGGGCTTGTGTGTGTGTGTGTGTGTGTGTGTGTGTGTGTGTGTGTGTGTGTGTGTGTGTGTGTGTGTGTGTGTGTCGTGTGTGTCGTGTGTGTGTGAAGACGTGTGGTCGCTGAAGTCGCTGGAGATGCTGGCCAAGTACTTTGTCCGGTCGGTGGAGAACCGGGACGACACCGAGGCCCGCGCCCAGATGGCCCTGGCGGCCACCTACGCCGGCATCGGCTTTGGCAGCGCTGGCGTCCACCTTTGCGTACCAATCTCCTCTTCGTGCCTTTGACTGCGCGTCACCGGCACACACACACACGCACACACACACACGCACACACACACACACACACACACACACACACACACACACGACTAAAACGCGCATGGCACATCACAGCACGGGATGAGCTATCCGGTCTCCTCGCTGGCGCATCACATGACCTACAAGCCTAAGGACTACAACGTCGACTCGCCCATGATCCCGCACGGCAGTACGCCACTTCGCCTATGCGTGCGTGCGTTGGAGCCTGCTCGCGGGCTAACTTGGCCCGATTTACCCAGTGTCGGTCGTGTTGCACGCCCCGGCCGTCTTCCGCTTCACCGCGTCGGCTAATCCCGATCGCCACAAGTACCATCTTCCCCTCTTTGGCTAAACAAACGCGTCGCACGCACTCATGACACACACACACAACCACCGCACACACGTTAATGAAACGCAGGCAAGTCGCTGCGCTCTTGGGCGCCAAGGACATCGAGAACGTGCGCGATAGCGACGCGGGCCCGGTGCTCGCGGACCGGATCATCGAGCTCATGAAGAGGCTCGACATCCCCAACGGCCTGCAGGCTCTGGGCTTCTCCTCCAACGACATCGACGCACTTGTCGAGGGCGCCCTCCCGCAGCATAGGCACGACTCGCACACGCACCACCGCACACGCACACACGCACGACTGCACACCTTCACCTACGCTCACATCGATGGCGACAGGGTGCTGAAGCTGGCGCCAGTACCGACAGGCCAGGAGGAGTTGGCCAAGCTCTTCCAGCAATCCATGCAGATCTGGTGATGCGTGGCATGCTTATATGTTTCCTGGAATTCATTTTTTTTTGCAATTCACTTATTTTGGATAAAACCATAAAATTGGGCCCAACGGGCAACAAACGGGTTCAACAGGGAAAGAAGAAGATGTCGATCAAGCTCGAGAGCTCGGATGAGCAGGTGTTCGAGGTGCCCAGGGAGGTGGCCGAGATGAGCCTCACGATCAAGAACATGCTGGCGGACATCGACTCGCCCAGCACAGACTCCATCCCGCTCAGCATCACGGGCAACATCCTCGCCAAGGTACTGCATGCACCACCTCTGCATGTGCCCTGGCGCGCCACCAGTCTGCGATCGTCCGCCATTCTCGGGCTCTGCAAGATTTGCATTCTACACAAAGATTTTCTTGTATTGATTTTAATCATTCAAGCTCTACAAAAGGTTGTGGAATGGGCCACCTACCATCATGCCAACCCACCACCAGTCGCGAATGAGAGTGAGCCGAAGAAGAAGCTGACCAAGGAAGAAGAGGAGAAGGCGAAGGAGGAGAGGCGAAAGATACTGCCGTGGGACAAGGAGTTCTGCGACGTCGATCAAGCAACCCTGTTCCAGCTCATGATGGCCGCCAATTACCTCGACATCAAGGCCCTCCTCGAGCTCACCTGCAAGACCGTCGCCAACATGATCAACGGCAAGGCGCCCGACGAGATTCGCGCCCTCTTCAACATCAAGAACGATCTCACCCCCGAGGACGAGGAGAAGATGCGACAGGACTACGGCTGGAGCCTCGACAACCTCAAGAAGGAGGAGTAGTAAAGTAATCTTACCGCCTCCATCTTCTTGCCGCTACGCAACACACAACAAGGTCAAGAGGTCGATTGAATGCACATGTACAGCGGACGAGGAGGAAGGCGAGCAAGCGAGCGAGCAAGAGGGAGAAAGAGAAGACCAGAGAGCTCTCAGTAGTCCAGGAGCTCGTTGAGCGGGTTGGCCACCATGTGCTTGCCGTACTTGTTCTCCAGCGCATTGTCCGGGTCATCCTCCTGGTGGCGTGTGGTACACATGCGGGCGTGTACGATCAGACGTGTGAGGCCGCCCACGGAGAAGAAGATGATGGTGATGGCGATGGTGAGGAGGGACGAACCTTCTTTGCTCGGGTGGAGCTCAATCGCAAGGCGCTCTTGAGGCTCCACCGTCTTGATGACGGCTGCTCTCCTTCAACCTGCGCACCCGTGCTCCCAACGTTAGGGGGATTCCTCGCAACACGCAACACGCAACACACGTACGGACAGCAACTCGGGCGAGGGTTGCAACTCATCGAGTGCGAGCGCATGCTGGGCCGCGCGCACTGGCGCAGCTGGTGGTGGGGCGATCGCAGGCGAAGGGGCCACCACCATCTGCGGCGGCGCTGCTGGCGCCGGCACCGGCCCCAGCCCAGGTCCAGGCCCAGGCACCGACCCAGGAGGAGGGGTGATTAGGGGCGAGTAGAGTGGCGGCGGTGGGACCACCGCCCTTTGGCTGCCACACGACCCAGAGAGAGGCAGTGAGTCACAAGGGGTGCAACGTTAGAGTAGCGCTGGTGCGGTGTGGGCTGAGAGCGTACATCTGCGGAGGGGTTGGCGGCGGGCTCAACACCTCGGCCGGCGTCTGGTCCACTGCCAAAAAAGAAGAAGATGATGATGGTGAAGTTGGGGATGGCGATGAAGAGGGAGCTTACTTGGTGGTGGGGGCATAGTGGGTGCGGTGAGGGGTGGTGGCGGCAGGCCGGGAGAGTTCGACGGGGACGCCAACACGGGAACGGCCGCGAGTCCCTGGGACGACTTGGCCACCACCTCCTGCTGCTGTTCGTACTTCTTGATCATCTGCTCCTTGTACTGGGCCACCTCCTGATCGCGATCGTCGTGGTCATCATTAGGTGTCAGTGAAGAATAGTCAATGAAGAGCAGAGTAAGAAGTGACAAATGATGAACCTCGGGGGAGAGCTGGACGCTGAGTGGTCCCTTGGCGGTGGAGCCCGGCCCCTCGCCCGGCCGTCGGCGCTCGGTGTTGTTCCTCTCCTTCTTCGAGGTCTTTCTGTCCGTGGTACGCCCAGCTTCGCCCGGGTCCACCGCCGCCAGCTGTTCCACGTTCGTGCTCTTCCGCCTCCCCCCAAACAGGGATCGCCTGCATCCCACCCGACAGGGCACACGACACATGGCACATGACACACGGCACACGGCACACGGCACACGTCACACGTCATCAGGAGGGCAGTGGGTTAGTGTGTCGTTTTCAGTTGCGCCGCGTGCGTACTTAGACTTTTGTAGTTCGTCTGTGGCGGGCTGCTGGCCGCTGGCGTGACTGGAGGGCGACATTGGGGCGGAGGAGGACAGAGCCGAGCTGCCGCCTCGTCGCTTGATCTGGTCGTTGAGCTGGGCCTTGTTGCGCTTGTCCTCCTCGGTGATGATGGGCGCGATGGTGTTGAAGTCGGGGCAGATGTTGACGAAGGCCCTGAAGGTGTTGGCCTGGATCTCGTTGATGCGCGCCTCCTCGCCCGACGGGAACTCGCGCCGGCCGCCCACGAACTTGGGCGCCCGCGGGAAGCCCGCCACCTCCGGGAACCCGAACCGCGGACCCCCCTCGCCCAGCACCTCCCACATCTCCGCCTCTCCTCCACCACCTCCGCCATCATCTTCAACTGTGGCGGTCATCATTATCGAGCGCCCCGCGGAAGGTTCGGGCACCGCTACCGCAGCACCTTCCTCCATCTTACTATATCTACAAATATTATTTATATCAATATTATGAGCTTGTGATGCGCCTCCCTCGCCTCCTTCGTCACTTCACGTTTTTGTTGCCAAGGCGGCCCCGATTTAGGAAAGCAATTCCTTTTTTGGATATGACACGTGGCATTTTCGCTGCTGCGTGCGACGATGGTGACGCGAAAGGAATGAAGTGATGATGGGGGGGGGAGGAGCTTAGAGGGCGCCGAGGGCGTCGCGGAGGCGGGCCAAGCGCGACTTCCTGTCGGTGGCGAAGCGCTTGACGGCCTCGAAGATGTGCTCGCCGTCCATGTGGGCCTCCTCGATCACATCGTCCTACACGCAAATTTGATGAAGAGGAAGGGTGAAGGTGAGCATCACAAATGATATAAGACATGGTGGAGGTGGTGGTGATGAAGATGACGATGAAGATGAGAAAAGAGTGGAGTGTAGGGCAAGGGAGGTACCTCGAGGCCACCGGTGCGCCAGCGGTCGTCGTAGTCGGAGCTGAGGGTGTACTCCTTGGTCAGCGGGCCGAGGCCGGAAAGCGGGAAGATGCGCTTGGTCATGGTGGTCAGCACCATGCAGTCCATCCTCGCCGACAGCGGCATCACCTACGCACACGAAGACTGTGTCAGCCACACGACCGCACACGCACACGCACGCACACACGCACACGCACACGCACGATGCAACACGCACCTTCTCCTGGTAGTCGACGGGCTGGGCGCGGAAGAGCTCCTCGGAGATGACGGCGACGATGCGGATGTTGATGCCCTCGGCCTCGAGGCGGGGCACGATCGAGAGCAGGTTGACGGTCGAGCTCGCGCCCTGGACCACCACGGTGCCCGACGGCGGGTTCTTGTCGTCGTAGTCGCGGATGAGGTAGGCGCCCTTGGCCGCGGCGGTCAGGTCGGTGTCGGCAAAGGTCGAGCGGTCCGCGACGGGGATGTCGGGCCGGGCGACGTGGACGACGATCACCGAGCACTCCTTCTTGGCGATGGCCAGCTGCGCGGCGGCGAAATAGGCCGGCGCGACGTCGTTGTAGTCCCACAGGTAGAGGTTCACGATCTGACCCTCGGGGAACAGCGTCCACACCTGCGGCGCGAAGATGCCAAAGTGGCTGCGCGCATCGGCGGCAGTCTCGGGACCTGTGATCGACCCCACGCAGATTAGATTTTTCGTTCGTCGTGTGTGTGTCGTGTTTGTGTGTCGTGTGTGTCGTGTTTGTGTGTTGTGTGTGTTACCCGAGTGGCCGGCGACGATGGTGAGCACGCCGAGCTTGAAGGGCGAGTCCTGGTTCTGCTGCGAGAAGATGCGCACGGGCAGGTAGAAGAAAGGCGTGAAGGCACCATAGGTACCGCTCAGGCCCCACACTCCGGCGTGCACGTTCTTGTCCTGTTGTGGGCAAGAAACGCGCCTCTTAGACAAGTTCGTTCAATGAACGAGCCCCGAGCGATCGCAGCAGGACACCTGGTGGCGGTGTTTACCTTGGACACGGTCTGCGAGACGAGACCGCACATGGTGGCGGCGTTGGCGCATTCCTGGATGCCGGCCTTGAGCCTGGTGCCGCACGGGTTGGTGATGGGGTCGTAGTGGCCCGTCAAGCTGCACGCCTCGACCTGTGCACAGCCACAAGAAGAGGGAAACTTAAGTGACCTCAACGCCAAAGAATTGTTTCAAAGCGATGTGCGTACGTTGATGGAGTTGGAGAGATCGGCCGAGATGGTGAGGAAACGGTTGTTGGTCACGTAGTTGATCCACTTGCCCACCTCCGAGATGGCACGCCTGTGTGTGTGCGTGTGCGAGAGTCCTGTGTGAGCGCCACGGACCTCACGCCAGGGGGGGAGATCATGGTGTGTAACGGTACCTGGTTCCCTTCTTCTGGCCGGGCTTGGAGAAAAGCGAAACGGAGATGTTCGAGTCCTTGCCCGTGAAGGGGTGCTTGACGGTCAGGTTGACGGTGTCCTTGGGCAGGTTCTCGACCCTGTGCGCACGCACCCGAAAAATTAGCGAAAACGAAACGAGACGAGACGAAATTTGTGGAATTGGATACCTGAGGCGCTCATCGGTGAAGGGATCGATGTCGTCGGGAATGGTCAGCTTGAGGTTCTGAGGCAGGGTGGCGGCGATGTTGAGCAGCCTGTCGGCGATCCACTTGCCCAGACCCTTCCTGCAGACACGGTCTTAAGTACCTCCGCGACAACAGTGTGCGGTGGTGCGTGTGCGGCGTGCGGCGGCGGCGGACGTACTGCTTAAGGACGGACATGGCGATGTCGACGTTGGTCTTGAACTGGATCAGACGGTCGCGCTCGCTCTTGGGCGCACCGTCGTGGATGCCCTGGAACTTGACGCCATAGCGACGCTCGAACGAGCCCGCGAGCGCCCTGAAGTACTCCGAGTTCATGCCAAAGGCGTAGGGGTGCGAGGGGTAGCCGATGACCTGCTTGGTGCCCTCCACCTGGCCCTCGGCCGCACCGGGCCACCAACCCTTGACCGTGTGCGCGACCACCACCATCGGGCGGCGATCATCAGCGGGCCAGTCCTCCATCTTCTTGAACACGGCGATCAGGTCTTCATACGAGGCACCTGTCGTGTGTGTCGTGTCGTGTGTCGTATCGTGTCGTGTCGTGTCGTGTCGTGTCGTGTGAACAAGCCGTGCATTAACTGAGCGAGCATAAAGGGGAGACATACCGTCGGCGAGTGTGAAGACGTTCCAGCCGTAGGACTGGAACTGGTTGGCGATATCGTACTGCTCGCCGTACTTCTCGGGGATCACGCCGCCGATGAGGGCGTCGTCGATACCGGCGTTGTTGTACGAGAAGAAGAGACGCAGGCGCTTGCCCACCTGCTGCGCCAGGGCAATGGTCTTGAGCTCCTGGGCGTGGCCCTCGGTGAAGGCGAACTCGCCCTCGAACGCCACCACCTTGGGACCCTGGTTCTCGGGGGCACCCACGAAATCCTGTTGTTGCACCCACGTGCGAGTGTCAGCAGTCACGTCAACCGTGTGCTCTCGTGCGTGTTGCATTGCGTTTGTGGCTGGACTTCGTGTACGAACCCAGAACATGGCCTTGCCAGCCGAAGTGGCCATACCCACGCCAGAAGGACCGCCGTTGACATCTGCACGCGCAGTCGCCACCAAGCACCAAGGTCAGCAGACTAGAAAGGAGGTTCTCGGCCAAAGCTCATCAAACGAGTCTATACCGTTGGTGACGTCGGTGGTCTCCGAGTGGCCCATAAGGGCGCGGATGCCGCGCAGCTTGGCCTGCTGGAAGAGCTCGTGGTCCTCGAGGCCGTGCTCCTTGAGGAGGGTCTCCAGAGCGCCGGGGCTGCGCCTGAAGCCGAGGGCGTCAATGGCGAAGATGGCCTCGTCGGGAGGGCACTGGTAGCGCTCGTCCTTGGTGGCCTCGAACTCCTGCTGCATGGCTGTGTCGTACATTTCACCAAATAAGGAGCGAGTTGTTATGTGTCAAACAATTATAATTACCAAAAAAACAATAAATAATGCGCCACACGGGCAAAGCTCTTTCAAATCGGCTTGTCGGCCATTCTTACCTTCGTAGAGAACCATCCAGAGAGCATAGCAGGTGGGGATGCAGTGGCCACCCGTAAGCATGAACTTGTCGGCCAAGGGATGCTACATGCACGAGAGACGAGGGGGAATGAGCCAAGATGCGAAAATGAACCATAATCAGCATCGCCTTCGGCAGATTAAATGAGGCTTGGGTTCGAAATGAGCCTGTCAGTTTGGACTGCACGATTGAAGGAGTAGCGAGGGAGCTAACGTTGAATGTGGCGAGTAGCGCACCTTGGGATGACGAATGTCGTACGAGATGCCACCGTTTTTGGGTCCGGCAAGATGGAGCGCGACATTAGCAGGCGTGTAGGACAGAGGGCCGCCGAAGTGACCTGTTATACAACGCGTGTGTCGAGTCATTGCGGCGAAGGGCGCGATTAGACGCGAAATTGATGCTACAGCGCGTAGACATCTCAATTCGTTCGTGATGGCTGACACAATGGAGGAGGTACCAGTCTGGGCATAGTTGCCCAAGATGACGAGCATCATGGAGGTGAGGAAACCGACATCTTCGAACCGTTCGCGTTCGAAGTCCTCGATTTCGACCTGGAGCTTCTCATAGATGAGCTTGGCCTCCTCCACGTGCTGCACCGCAATCGAAGAGCTCTTCATCTTTGACCTGTGGCGCTGCTTGGTGGTGTTGGTCCTCTCGCGGGGGTGAGTCAAAGCCAAGACCAACGCAGCCAGAAGGAAAACAGAACAATGTCGACAGCGATCCCGCAGTATCGGTTTTCGGAATTTCAAACAGTCAATAGAGAAGGGGCCTGACATTCTTGGAATTCTTGACACAATATCGTGCACGATTTCTCCAGCTTGATAAGAAGAAAGTTATTTTATTTTGCGGAGATGGAGGGGGCGGCAAGCGACAGATTGAACTTCTTTGCACAGGTGGGGCAGCGAGAGAAGCGGTCATTCATGCTCCGTCGTGCCGATGTCACCGTACACAAGGTGCAGCCTTTTTTTTTAAATAATGATTAAATTGAATAATCTATTTATGTTAAATATATACTGAAAAAAAAAACTACGCAGGTGGGGCTGCTGGCGGCGGTGGACAGGTTCGTGCTGAAGGAGGTGCAGACGGAGACCATCCTACGACCACCAGCTGAGGCCTTCACCCCGGCCGGACGCACCAAACCCCTCGCGCTGCCCTTCCAGACCACACACACCTACCAGATCATGCCCTGTACTCTCATCGCCCTGCTCGCCTCTGTGTCGTGTGTGTGTGTGTGTGTGTGTGTGTGTGTGTGTGTGTGTGTGTGTGGCTGACGTGTGCGGTGTGTCGTGTGTCGTGTGTGGCTGACGAGTGTGCTTGGTAGATGAGGAGGAGGGCAGGGGCGAATGGGTCGACGTGGGCAGCGTGGACGAGGTGGGCCACCGAAAGCGGGTGTGCGTGGAGGGTCGAGACGTGCTCGTGCTCAACGTGGGTTCCGGCAAAGATGACTATTGTGCCCTCGACTCCGTTTGCTACCGTACCACACGACACGACACGACACGACACGACACGACACGACACGACACGCACACAGCTTCTTGCGCTCACCAACGCAACAGACTTTGGCGGACCCCTGTCGGAGGGCGACATCGAGGTACCTCAGAACAAGGCCCTGCGCGCGTGCGTGTCCTTTCATCTCACCGTGCGTGCGTGCGTGCGTGCATGCGTGCGTGCATAATAGGATATCCAAGGTCGCCAGTGCATCGTGTGTCCCTGGCACAAGTGCGCTTTCCCCACATGTCGTGTGTCGTGTGTCGTGTGCTACGAATGAAATCAGACCTTGATAGATGGCACGTATGCGATCCACACGGTGTATGCAGGTACTACATCGACGTGCACACGGGCGAGGGCATCTTGAAGAAAGGCCTCGACGGCCCGTGCTCCAAGGCACGCCAGCCTCCCCCCCCCTTCGTGGCGTGTTCGTCTTCTTCTGGCTCAATGCGCGTGTTGCGTGTCGTGCCGCGGCGGTACCGCAGGGGAAGAAGCAGAGGACCCACGAGGTGAAGGTCGAAGGCCGTCACGTCTTTGTGAAGCTCGACCAAGGCCGCGACGAGCTGGCGTCCGACCACTACGCCCACATGGGTGCGTACCGCTTCGAGTGATGCCGCGCCCTTTTCTTCTTCGTCGTCGCGTGCTCACGACCGAACCCCAACCACTCAAAGGGCTGTGGCGGTACCCCACGGACAAGACGCCGCCCAAGGTCCACTCCAAGCGCACAAACTGAAACCATCAAAAATGGGACATTGTACTCAAGCATCGGGTTTTATGTAACGTTCGTCGCGTGTTGCACGGTTTGGTTGGTTGCTGGCCAGCCGGCTGCTTTCACCATTCGGACGAGGTCCACTCTTCGGGCGCCGCTTCCCACTGCGCCTCCGGACTGACGTCCCAGTTCGCGGGGGGCGAAGGTCGGAACTCGGTTTCAAGCTGTCCCCAACACCACAGGCAAGCCAACACGACACGACATACACGACATACATGACACGCACACGCACACGCACACGCACACGCACACGCACGCCGAGCCACCAGTGAGAAAAAGCGCACAGTCGGTGCTGGGGTGGGAAAAAAAAGAGGAAAGGAGGGGGACGTACAGGAGGCGGAGGAGCGAAGAAGGTCTCGTAGACGGACAACGAGGGCAAGGCCCCTGACGGCGTCTCCTCCACCACTTCCTGAAGCCTCAGCCTGCCACAGCACATCATCGCACGCACCACCGCACACGCACACGTTGGGTGAGCCCTTGCGTGTGCGCACACGTGTGCGCTTTTGTCGTTCGACAACGCACTTGAACAGCATCTTGTCGACCGGATCGGTGATGCTGCTCGCCCGGCGCATCTCCTCGCGGTACCACAGGCTCTCCTTGTTGTTCGCCAGCTGCCTGCGCGTCGCCGCTCCCTGGGTCTCCCTGCTGCGACCACCACCGCCCGACGTCGACGCCGACGAAGAAGACGACGACGACAACGGTCGCGGCCGAGCTTCGCGGAACGGCACGGGCGCTGGCTTGGGTGCGGGCGCGGGCCGGGAATAGGTCGGGGTCTTACCGGCCCGCTCTGAAGGAAACACAAATGGCCTGCGCGGTGTGTCCCTTTGGAAGTCTGTATTCGCACGACACGACACGACACGCACACGACACGCAGAGGCCAATGAGCTCGGGGGGGTGGATGGCGAGAGCGTGTTGTACAGTCTCCGTTTTATTGGTCTGTGCGTATCGGTGGAGAGCTGAGCAGTACATGAGCGAGCGAGCGAGCGTGCGTGCGTGCGTGCGAAAGAGCGAGAAGAAGGAGTTTAGCGCCTACCGCGACCTCCGCGTCCGCCGCCACGTCCACCGCCACGGCCACCGCGGACGGCAGGCCTGCTGCGCTGGGGCTCCTCGCGCCGACCTGCGGTGGGCTTGCCGGCGGCCTCGCTCTGGGCCGTCTTGTTCTGCGTGCCCACGCGGTAGATCCGCACCTTCTGTCCGTCGACCTTGGCCTATGATGAAAAAAATAAATTATCAATAAAAATTAAATATCAACATATTCACACAAAAACATATACATATAAAGAGGTACATATAAAAGAGGAAGAAGAAAGTACCCTTCCGCTGGCCGACAGGTCCAACGCCAGAGTCACCGAGTTGATGTGGGCAAACTCGACTGTACGCATACACGCAACACACAGGTCAGGAAGGTGACGGTGACGGTGGTGGTGGTGAAGATGATGAAGAAGAAGATGAAGAAGAAGGGCGGCGGTAGGAGCGTACCGAAGGCGTACTGGGCCTTGGAGGGGCTGGTCTTGGTCCTGTGGTCCTGGATGGCCACGTTGAGCACCACGCCGCAGTGGGCGTCGTAGAAGAGCTTGCGCACGCTCTCCTTCTTCACGCGTGCCGGCAGGGGCGTCACCCACACGCTGCGCGCCACTCGCTCGGGATCCTTCACCACACACACACACACACACACACACAGTCAGCGCACTTGCGTGTGCGTGTGCGGTGTCGAGACAGTAACAAGGAGCAGTGTGAGAGAGCGTACGAGGAGAGCGACGCGGGGCGCGAGATCGAAGGAGATGTGGGGGCTCTTGATGAGGTCGTTGATGGCGAGGAGGGTCTCGTCCTCGAGCTGGTTGCCGGCGAGCTTGAAGCTGCGGATGGCGGGCGAGACGGAGACGGCCTTGGCCACGGCCAGGGCGCCGTGGTCCTTGATGAAGTTGAGCTTGAGGCCGATTTCGGTGAGCTGCTCGGCCGAGGCCATGGCCTGGGCGATGGCCTGGGCGCCCTTGTCGCGGATGCGGTTGAGGCCGAGGTCGAGCTTGACCAGCGTCTTGTTGGTGGCGAGGGCCTTGGCCAGGTCGCGCGCGCCGTCGACGTCGACCAGGTTGCCGAACAGGTTGAGCTCGGTGAGCGAGGCGTTGTCGGCGAGGGTGCCGGCGATGGCGCGGGCGCCGGACACGCCGATGCCGTTGCCGCTGAGGTCGAGCACCTGCAGCGTTTTGTTGTGGCGGAGGCCGGCCGCGAGGGCCTTGGCGCCCTCCTTGCCCAGCGTGTTGTGGCGCAGCTTGAGGGTGCGCAGGCGCGTGTTGGTCTCCAGGGCGAGGCCAAGCGTCTCGCCGGCCTTGGCGTCGAGGCTGCAGTGGTCGAGCGTGAGCACCTCGAGCGAAGAGGCCACGGTCACGAGCTTGCCCAGGATCTTGCCCGCCGCCGAGCCCAGCCCGTTGTTCTTGAGGTTGAACTCGACCAGGTTCAGGTGGAACTCCTTCTCCACCTCCTTCACCTTGTCCAGCATCTCATCGCGACGCTTCTCCTTGCGCGTGCGCTCGTCGTCGTTGACCGCCTTGCCCTTTTCCTGCACACCGTATCGACATCAAATCAGCGCTAAACTCTCATCGTGTGTCATTGTGTTTGTCATCGTGTGTCGTTGGTCGTGTCGTTGGTCGTGTCGTGTACCTCTTCCTTCTCGACGAGGAGAGCCTTGTAGAGGGTCTCGAGGCCGTGGCCGGAGATGTTGTTGTTCTCGAGCAGGAGCGAAGCCAGGGTCCTGTTCTTGGTGAGGGCCGCACCGAGGTGGCCCAGCTGGTCGCTGTTGATGGTGCCGATCTGGCTGATGTCGAGGTGGCGCAGGGCGCGGTTGCCGCGGAGGGACTCGAACACGCTCGCGGTGAAGGCCGGCGCGATGCTGGTCTCCCAGAAGTTGAGCCGGTTGAGCGTCACGTTGATGCGGAACAGCTTCGAGAGGGCCTCGCCCAGCTCGTTGAGATCGCTCGACGACCCGGAACCCGACACGCGCGACAAGTTCAGCTCCCTATGTGAGTGTGTGCGGTTAGCATCGATTGTGTGTGTGTGTGTGTGTGTGTGTGTGTGTGTTGTTTGCAAATGGAGCAGGAGCGCACTTGATGGAGGGGCTGAAGGCCAGGTTGTAGAGGACGGCGCGGAGACCCGAGTAGCCGAGCCCGTTGCGGCTGAGGTCGAGCTTGACGAGCCGCTTGTTGGCCAGCAGACCGTCGGCGAGCTCCTTGGCGCCGCCGTCATTGACGTCGCAGTTGGACAGGTTGAGCTCCGTGAGGCACTCGTGGTCCCACAGCACGCGGCTCAGCTCCTTGGCGCCAGTCTGGCGGATGGCGTTGCCCTCCAGCGACAGGCGCTGCAGGTGGGTCGAGGCGAGGATGCCCTCGGCGAGCAGCTCGCAGCACTCCGACGTGATGCCCGAGTACGACAGGTCCAGCGACCTATAGGTCAACATAAAAAAGACGCGTCAGCTCGTGCGTGTGTTTCGTGTGTTGGTGGTGGATCGTGTGTCGTGTTGTCATGAATGAGACGTACGTGATGGAGGACTTGTTGTTCTTGAGGCCCTTGACGAGGCAGCGCACGCCCTTGAGGCCGAGGCCGCCGTCGGGTCCGCGCGAGATCTTGAGCGACTGGAGCTTGGGCAGGCGGGTGAGGAGCGCGGTGAGCCAGTAGTAGCCCGACTTGAGCTGCTTGGGCGCGAACAGGGTGAGCTCGAGCAGGGTGAGGCCCTCGCTCGACAGGTCGAGCGTCTGGTAGAAGTGCTTGAAGTCGGGATACTCGTTGAGCGAGCTCACCAGGTCCTGCAGGTTGTTCTGCAGGTAGAAGGTGCGCCAGCCGGCCGTGTAGTGAGCCGGCAGCGAGTTGAAGCCCCAGCGCGAGTTGCACAGTTCCTTCCACTGCTCCTCATTGTCGTGCAGCTTGAGCTCGCCCTTCTCGTCCTGGTTATCGATATTGTGTCGCGTGTGTTGTGTGTCGTGACGTCAGCACTGTACGCGGCGCGTTGTGAAATGATTGGTCGATCATGGACACCGTACCTTTACGCACAGGGTCTCGAGCGGCACGACGCTCTTGATGGACTCCTCGGCCAGCTCCTTGGCGGAGGGGACCTTGGGTCCCTCGACGCCGTGGTAGTCCCGGCGCTTCGAGTTGGTGACCGACTTGCGCAGCCAGGCGACCAGCTGCTCCTCGCTCACCACCGGCAGGCCGATGCGCGAGAAGTAGTCGTTGTGGGTCTTGACCTTCTTGATCTCGCGGAAGGCCTGCTGCATGTTCTCCACCATCTTGTTGGTGGGCCGGCCGAACGACCGCTCGTAGTTGGCCGACATTTCGGCGATGGTGCCGCCGAGCGGGCGGGCGACGTGCTCCATGAAGTAGTAGTGGAACAGGATGTGGCGGATGCCCATGATCGACGCGTCGAACGACACGTTGGCGCGCACCTTGTCCACGGCCGCGTCCTCCTGGTCAGTACCCAGGTGCGGGTAGTCCTGTACGATATATAGAGAAGAATGTCAGGCACGTGTGTGCGGTTGTTCGTGTGCGATCGTGCGTGTGCGGCGAGGGTGGTTGAGGGAGTGCGTGAACCTTGATGATCCACATGACCTGGCGGTCGGACTGCTCGTTGATGAGGAGCGAGGCGATGTCCTTCCACTGCACCTCGGGCGTGACGGTGAGGTAGCACATGAACTCGCCCAGCGACTCAACCTTGGTCTTGTGCCGGGCCTCCTCCGACTTGAGGAAGCCGTGGACCAGATCGCGGCACTCCTGGTGCAGCTCGGGGTAGGTCTCCAGGAACTTGAGGAACATCTGGTGGAACGCGCAGTAGCCCTCGAGCGCCTTGACCGACGCGTGGATCTGGCCCTTCATGATGTGCAGGATCATCGTGTTCATCAGCTTGGGGAACACGCTGAGCGCCATGCGGGGCTTGAACTCGCGCGTGTTGCTGGCGCAGAGCATGCTGATGCTCCGCTGGGCCAAATGGAACGCCTTCTTTCCGTGCTCGTCGTTGAGGTAGACTAGATGTGGTATTGGTGGTTGTGAGCCAAAACTGAACTGATTTGGGCAGATGCCTGGAGGGGAGGCGTTACCAGGGAGCCAGTGGGTGAAGGGTTCGTTGATGGACGACTTCCTGATGTTCTCGCGCATGAAGGCACGCACGCCGAGCAGGTCCAGCGGCGAGGAAATGCTGTTGTTGTGTTGAGTTACGTTAGCAACGAACTTGTATCGTGGTTTCCGAACAGAGGCGCGGGGGAAGGGAGGGCAGTCGTACTCCTGGATGTCGCCCGTCTTGATGTTCTTGTGGTACGAGATACCGAAGCCCAGGCAGTCCTCCTGGAAGGTGCGCTTGGAGTGGAAGCAGACCAGCTCATCCTTGATGATCTCGGTCTCGGCCTTGTTCAGCACAAAGGCGTCGGTCTCGTAGGACGGGAACACCGGCCACGAGCGCAGCGGCCTGTGCTTGCACGACGTGCACGTGAAGTTGTTCGCCTGTGTGTCGTGTGTCGTGTGTGTGTGGTCGTGTGTGTGGTCGTGTGTGTCGTGTGAGCAACGCACCATCTACTCATCATGGTTGGTGCAAGGGCGTACCGCCTCGACGGCCTTGCGGCAGTCCTCGGCGCGAATGGTGGGCGACTCCTCGAAGAGGAACGCCTGGAGCTGGATGAGCACGCTTTGCACGGAGTAGGCCGAGCTCCAACCGATGTACTTCTCCTGCTCGTCACCGGGCTGAAGCATGTCGAGACAGATCGACCCGTTGAACACTGTGGGGCAAGATGGTGTAAGTCGCCACGTAAAGGGACTCAGGACTCAGGAAGAACAACATCAACGTTGGAGAGGGCCACCAATAGCACTACACAACACGAACCGTTGGGGTGCTGCAGGGTGGTGCACACGGTGACCTTGGGCGGATCGTAGGGGTAGCTCTCGGGGAAGTGGAGCACCAAGTGGAACACTACACGGTACGGAATCAAGGTGAGAGGATTCGCTTTGCGTCGGGTTGAGAGAGGTGGGAGGTACGTACCACCGCCTTCGTAGAGCGTGCCCTTGGGACCCCTGATGTTGCAGTGCCAGGTGAAGAGGTCCTTCTCCAGAGGAAGGGCCACCACGCCGACGGTGGGCACAACATGCTCGCGCATGTGCTTGAGGTCCTGCAAAAGGCGCTTCACCGCCGATGTCTGCGACTTGTTGCCCGCCTTGGCCCCTGTGAGCAACGAACACCAACACCAAGTTAATCTCAATCTCGGATTTGAGCCACTACAAAATAAGAATCGGAATTGCCGAAAACAATTTGAAGGCGATAGGCACGTACTAACTTCGGATCTCTGAGGACGCCACATATTTTCAATATAACTGGCAATTCGCTCTGATGACTTTGAATGGGAGTGCTTGTTGTGGAGACCAATAAGATGAACCGGACGCGCTGTTTTGTAGCCAGCCAAGTTCACTGAAGCTGCGCTCCAAATGAAGGGGCAAGTTTCCATAACCCAGAATGTAAACAGAACCAAATTGAAACGAAACGAAACGAAATAACACTTACAAGACACATAAACATGAGGGCTCCACTGCAGCCTTTGGCCAATAGTTGCAAGGAGTGAGGTGTTGTTTGTGTTACCTCAGCTGGATATCATTGATGTCTGCAGGAGCAAGCTTGCACATTGCTATAAGAGTTAGGTGTGCTTTGTGCATAACAAGATCCAATGGGCTTGATTAGCTTCATGGTGTGCTGGAAGGTTTGCCAGCAACTGTCACAGCAAGCAGCCCAGGTGTCACAACCATTGTCTGCTTTATTTCTGGGCCAAACATATTTTTTTCCTTGCTGTTCTTCACGAAAACGGGAAATTTAGGGGATTGGAACCCAGCTCCGGCTTTTGCTGCTTGTGGGATCTGAGGTTCATCTTCTTTGCTTCCACACGGCAACAATGGTACGTCTTGCGCATCCTCCTCCGATTGAGAAGCTGCAGCGCATGGATCTCGAGTGCATCGAAGAAAGCAGTCGGAGAATGAGAACGCATAGGGGGCGAAAATGAGTGGATGAAGAAGATCAACCATCATGATGCATAGAGAGTTCGAACGGAGAGATAGGAGCCGAAAATATAAACGTGGGTGATCAAATTTGGATGGATTGGCGTCTGGTGCCACTGGCACCTTTAATTTTCCATCAATTACTCACAGATCCCTCCCATCTTCATAACAGGCGGACGAGTCTATCACAACGTTCACGATCGAGGGCGAGGATAAGCTCGACACTTCGCATCTGGCGAAGCAGGACCTTGCCACTCTCGACGTCGCCAAGTTGACGCCCCTCTCTCCGGAGGTCATCTCGCGTCAGGCCACCATCAACATCGGCACCATCGGCCACGTCGCCCACGGCAAGTCGACCGTCGTCAAGGCCATCTCTGGCGTCCAGGTACGATATCCTCCCAACTGTACTTCACAATTTCCACACGTTTGGTTATGAGTGCTGCCTCCCCAAGTTTGCGCAGTGGCAATCCTGCATGCTACACAAAGGGCTGCAATCACCTCCCCCCCCCGAATAATCAACGAATTTTTCGTGGCGCACTGTCTAATCATCTACGATCAATTTGCCCAGACTGTGCGTTTCAAGAACGAGCTGGTGCGTAACATCACCATCAAGCTGGGCTATGCCAACGCCAAGATCTACAAAGCCGACGAGTGGCTCGGAGAGAAGCCCGGCGGCTACTGCTCGCACGGCAGCCACAAGGAGGACGTGTTCCAGAGCGACAACCCCAACTGCAAGGGCATGATGCGCCTTGTGAGGCACGTCTCCTTCGTCGACTGCCCCGGCCACGACATCCTCATGGCCACCATGTTGAACGGTGCCGCCGTCATGGACGCCGCTCTCCTCCTCATCGCCGGCAATGAGTCCTGCCCTCAGCCGCAGACCTCGGAGCACTTGGCTGCCATCGAGATCATGAAGCTCAAGCACATCATCATCCTCCAGAACAAGATCGATCTCGTCAAGGAGGCGGCCGCGCTTGACCAGTACCAGCAGATCCTCGCCTTCGTCAAGGGTATGCCTCGCTTGATCCATCGCTCCTCTCTCTGGTGCCCAATCAGTCGCTAACCTCTCCACTTCTGACTCCAGGCACGATCGCCGAGAGCGCCCCCGTGGTGCCCATCTCGGCCCAGCTGAAGCACAACATCGACGTGGTGTGCGAGTTCATCGTCAACCGCATCCCCGTGCCGATGAGGGACTTCACGTCGTCGCCCCGGCTGATCGTGATCCGTTCGTTCGATGTAAATAAGCCCGGTACCGAGGTGGACGACCTCAAGGGCGGCGTGGCGGGCGGCAGCATCATCCAGGGTGTACTCAAGATCGGCGACGAGATCGAGGTGCGGCCGGGTATCGTGGCCAGGGACGCCGAGGGCAACGTCAAGTGCGTGCCCATCTTCTCCAAGATCGTCTCTCTCTTCGCCGAGCGAAACGACCTCCAGTTCGCCGTGCCCGGCGGTCTCATCGGCGTCGGCACCAAGATCGATCCCACCCTCTGCCGCGGCGACAGGCTCGTCGGCCAGGTGCTGGGTGAGGTCGGCAAGCTGCCCGACATCTTCACCGAGCTTGAGGTCAACTTCTTCCTCCTCCGCCGCCTGCTCGGCGTCAAGGCCGAAGGCGACGGCAAGCAGAGCCGCGTCACCAAGCTCAGCAAGGGCGAGACCCTCATGGTCAACATTGGCTCCACCTCCACCGGTGGCCGCGTCATCGCCGTCAAGAAGGATCTTGCCAAGATCGTCCTCATCTCTCCCGTGTGTACCATGGAGGGCGAGAAGATCGCGCTCAGCAGACGCGTCGAGAAGCACTGGCGGCTCATCGGCTGGGGCCAGATCCTCCGCGGCATCAAGATCGAGGTCTCCTCCTCTGGACCCGGCTCCTCCTCCGCCTAATCACATCAGCCTGGCACCCAAGGCTGGCCTTTTTTATCTCCACCACCTCAATAAACAAACCAGAAAACAAAGCAACTTTCTTCAGGGATGATGTGGCTACATTCTCCAGCTACAAGAAGGGAAAGGGGCAGGTGCTGGTGATGAAGCACGAACTCATCAAACTTCTCACAGTTGCACCTGGACCAACTCACTTGGGGCTTACCTTTTCGCGGCCTAGCTCGCAGCGACGGTTGCGCTTGGCGCGTCTTTCGGTCACTATCATCAAAACCCGGAAAAATCGGGGCACGGTTGGCAGGAAGCGCGAACGGCCACTTCGAAGCCGGTACGAGAAAAGGCCTTGTTATTGGATTGATTGATCGACGGAGGCCTCACGATCCAGGGCAGAGAAAGAACTTGGTCGGGACGCAAGGAGGAGACAAGAAGGGCCTTCCTTACGAAGACTTGGAGGAAAGGGGCGGCGGATCGATTGACCCCCAACGTTTCCGGATCCCTTCTCAAGGCGATTCGATCAATCGATAAAGGAAAAGGCAATAGAACATAAGGAGGAGCGCATAGGAGTAGAAATTGAAAATGGGAAACGACCTCGCGCGAATGATTGAGCAGAATGCCTTCCCCTCACTGGGAGAGGAGGAGGGGATGTGCTTCGTGGTTGCGAACCTGAAGAAAAAGGTCAAGGCGCAGCACATCAAGGCGGTTACGTCCAAGCTGCCCTCCCTCACGGGGCTTACGATAACCTCTTCGAGTCTAAAGGCCATACCGCCCGAACTGGCCAACGCCAACACCAAATGCGAGCTCAAGGAGCTCAACTTGGCCAACAATGCCATCAAGCAGCTGCCCAAGGCGTTCAACGCCATGTTCGAGACTCTAGCCACACTTGACCTCAACAAGAACGCCCTCAAGATCGTTGAGGACAACGTCGGCCTCGAGAAGATGATCTTCCTCCGCCGGCTCAGCCTGGACGAGAACAAATTCACCGAGGTCCCTGCCCAAATCTTCATGCTGACCAACCTCGTCTCTCTTCACCTGGCCAAGAACGCCATCGAACGCCTTCCAGACAATCTCGAACAGCTCGGGGTACCCTCCCTAGCCCCTCACCTCCTTTCGATTCTGCATCTCGGTCCAAAGCGTCTTCCTTCTCCTCCTTACGCTCGAGCCTCTCTCTTGCTTCGTACTCGCTCCTTTCGCTCACTCTGCACTTTGCCTCGGTCATATCTTTCCGACTATAAACAGAAACTCACTCAGCTCAAGCTTGACGGCAATCGCTTGACCGAGTTCCCTACCGAGGCGCTGGCCAAGCTCTCGCACCTGGAGATATTGGACTTGTCCAACAACCAGCTCTCAGAGATGGTACTACCGCCTCTTTTGTGCTTCTCAGCCCTACGTTGCGTGCCGTCTTTTAGAGTGGTGCGTCTAGCCTCCCCTGGCACTCACTCATCCGCTCTCTTCCCGCGCCTCTTAGAACCTGCCCAGGGGAGTGAAGGTGGAGCTCAAGCTGCGAGCGGTCAACCTCGGCCACAACAACTTCAAGGTACCCAGGCGTGCCTGCTTTACCTCGTAGAGCAGCTCTCCTTTAACGGAGGCCTAATGCTCACCGCTCTCCCACTTCCGCAGGAAACGCCCAGGTTCGTCTTTAAGACTACTTCCTTGACGGAGCTCCATTTGGATCACAACAGGCTTACTACCGTGCCGCAGAAGTTCACCAAGGCAAGACCCTCTCCCAATAGCGCCATTGGCCTACACATTGCTAACGCCTCTTGTGTTACGTGCGTGCTGTGTGGGTATGGAACAGCTGTCCCAGCTCAAGCTTCTGCTGCTGAACAGCAACAAAATACCCGAGGTGCCCCTTGAATTGTGGGCCGAGAAGTTCACCGAGCTCCAAACGTTCGACCTCAAAGACAACCCGCTCGACGTGAACGTGGTTGAAGTGATCACTAAATACGGTATCCTTTCCTCCACGTTGGCACCGCGAGGTGCGCTACCACTAACATGCTTCACCCTATTCCTTCTTTAGGTTCTCTCTCGCTCCTCCGGCCCGCGTTGAAGGCCAAGATGGAGGAGCAGGCCGCCCAGAGGAAAATCATGCAGCGCACGAACTCGATCAGCAGCGATGAAGACTCCCAACGTATGTCCATCATCTTCCTTCGCACCCTTGCGACAGCACCCCAGTCTAATCCCGTTTTGCTTTCTCTGGGGTTGCGAACAGCATCATCATCGCGGCGGCGAAGCTCCACGTTAGGGAGGTCGCACCATGTGCCATCCCCCAGTTCCTCGCACCACCACACTCCCGCCGCACCTGCGCCTCCGCCCGCATCCATGCTCGCCCCTCCGCCACCTATGCAGGCAGCCGGTACGTGCAACCCACCCGGCCCATTCATCATCTCTACCTAACAGGGCATGGCCCCTCCGTCTTCTCGCTCTTCAGGCGGCGACGTGTCGCCGAGACAGAAGTTCAGAAACAACGCCATCAACCGGGCCAGAGTCGTGCCTTCCGTCGGGGTAAGGGCACTCGCGCGCTGAAATTGCACCATGCCCAGATAGCTGACCTTGCATCCATCCCTCATGCAGGCTGACGACAGTCCAGAATATTTTGCGCGCCTGCTCGAAGGCACCGACAAGGAAGTTCTCGCCGACGAGATGATTGCGCTCAGAGACAAGCTCATGTACCAGCCTCACGCGTGGCTCGACGCGTTCATCGCCGCCAAGGGTACGACAAAAGCGTCCTCTCTCTCTCCCCCCTGCCTTTCCAATTGAAACGACCACAGTGGCTAATCGATTTGTTGTTCGTGGTTCACCCACAGGCCTTATCAACCTGCTCACTGTGCTCGAGAGGAACGCGAAGCAGCTGCGGCATGTAAATAACGATGCCTGCATGTTGCACTACGAGGCGCTTCACTGCTACAAGATCCTCATCCGCGTAAAGCTGAGAGACGTGCTCGGCACCACCGGTTCGTCTGCTGCTCTTCCTTGAATGCACCGGGGAGGCCTCTCGTTATCCTGACCCGTGACCTCTTCATTAATTGCTGTCCAGGCTGTGTCGACGCCCTGGCGTTCGCACTTCTGCCCACCGTGCTCCCGTCGCTGCGGAAGATCGCCGCCAAGCTTCTGGCCGACCTTGCCAGGATCAAGGTGATCGGAAGAAAGGTGCAAGACTCAAACGCGCTGGTGTTCGTCATGTCCTATTTTGTTTTATCGACTCACGCTTCGTTTTCCTGATCAACTTCAGAAAATGTTGTTGGCTCTGGAGAAAGTGAGACGACACTTGGTGGAGAAGAAGAACCGGGAGGAGTTGCCCCAGGTCAGGAAGCGGGAGCGCTTCAGGCTCCTCATCAACCTGCTCGGCAGTGCCCAGGAGCAGGACAGCACCGAGGTGTGGGAGGAGCGAAACAGGCCGGCGCCCAAGGACAGCGGTGCCGACGACAAAGCGGATGACAAGAGCAAGGCCGAGGGTGGCAGCCCCACCGAGGACGCCAAGGCCGAAAGCGTACGCGCTGCTCTCCGCGGGCAATCCATTTCAAGTGCGCGTATGCCCAGTGGTTCACCCGATCTCTTGTGTTTGGCTGCGCAGCCGGCGCCTGCGACCGCGGCCGAGAAAGCTCCGGAGGAGCCTGCCGCAGCGCAGGAGGCCACTCCTGAGGATGCCAAAGAGGAGGACGCGCGCAAGTGCCTGCGTCTGCACTCCATGCGTCTGATCAACACCATCATTAGCGTGACGAGCAACGTCACCGTCCGCGTGGCGATCCGCAAGTGTCTGATCGACTTGGGCATTCTCGACAAGATCATGGTGCGTCCACCTCTCTCTAATTACGGCATTTTCTTGAAATGTGGCTAACAGCCCTCCTACGCACGACAGTGGGCTGAGAATTCGGCCGGGTCGTCGCACTCTGAGTGGCAATCGGAGGTGGATATCTTCGAGGCCTTCATGGAGGACGACAACGAGGACCTCGAGTACATGCTGCAGCGCAAGGCCAAGAAGGGGAAGAAGCCGGCGCGAAGGAAGACGCCCTCGTACCCCAAGCGCTCCGAGCGGTCCGGCTCGCTGGGACCGGGCGATGCGCCTGTGGGGTCGCCCGTCGACAAGTTGCGACAGGTCCGCCGCCTCAACTCAATCACCAACCTCAACCGCCTTGCCGCCGCGTCGAAGACCACCGACGAGGGCCATGGTGCGCACCATCCAACGCCAACGGCAACATGAAGATTTATGTGAAGGCGCTAACCGCCGCGCTCCCGCCCCATCTATCCGAGCAGACGATAGCGACAACGATCATTCGGACTCGGATGATGACGCCTCATCTACGGACCCGACGACGGGAGACACCGCGTTCACCGAAAACGACGACACCTACGCCTCAGATGAGGAAGGGGAGGACAACTGGGAGGAGGAACAGTGCGTCTTGCTGACTCCAGAAAGCTTTGCCGCGTCGCTTTTCCCCTGTCAGCTGACCTTGGTGCCCACTTCACTCAGGGTGCCCTATGAGGACTACATGCGCATCAAGGTGGTGACGCTCGGGACGTCCATCCAGATGCCGATGGTCACCGGCGCGAAAGGCCACCTCATCGTGCCATTCGATGCGTCCAAGACTATCGCCGACATCTCGCTGAAAGTCAAGTGTACGATCTGCCTCTGTCACACGTAAGCGCCCTTTTTGATCCGTCCATACTGACGTCACACCCAACAACACAGCCCAATACCCGGAGATGGAGGCGACGAGGTTCGATTGGGGCCTGTTCATCGTGCCGACGGAGACCAACCCCGACGGATTGTGGCCCGATGAGCACCGGCACTGCGGGTTCTACGAGCTGAAGGGCCAGGTGCTGGCCGAGTTCAGGCTCAGGCCGTGGATCCTCAAGATCACCTGTAACGCTACGGACGTCATCAACACTCTGACGCTCACGAAGATGCGGTTCGACCCGCATAGGACGTGCGCCGACGCCGTCTCGCTCGTGCGGAGTCGATTCCCCCACGTGTCCGCCTGGGAGGAATACGATTGGGGTATCTACCACGCCACCAACCTAACCAGGTTGGGAACTGATTGACTGGCCTCTTTCTCCTCTTCTCCTCCTCCTCCTTCTCTCTTTCTCTCAGGTTTGTATTGGAATAAGGGCAAGGGTGGCGGAAGCACCATGACACAGAAGTCGTCTATGGCGCCGGACTCCCCCATGTCTCCGCTGAAGAAGGTACACCGCGAACCACCGCCTAAATCAACACCGATGAGCGCAACGGCTAACGAGTCGTTGTATCGACTGAGTGTAGAGCCGGCGAAGGACCACCATTACCAAGAAGGAAAAGAAGAAGCTGGAGGAGGAGCAGCAACAGCAGCTCAAGATCGCCGCAGAGAAGGAGAAGCAGGAGAAGGAGAAGGAGAACCCTGTTCAGGAGGAGGGGGCGTGGCTTGTGGACACCGAGCGACTAGCCGCCTATGCCGGACTCTACATGTCTGACGTACGGGCTTCCCCGCCACCTCGCTCTCGGCCCTCCAAATGTGTTGTCTGCGGTTGCTTACACGTGTGCGGTTGCTCGACCATTGGCCACAGGATCTGTTGGAGCTGAAGATGAAGGGCATGGGTATCAAGGTCAAGATTCTCTCGCAGGAGGCCGTCGACTTTATGCAGTTCGACCCCATGCACAAGGTGGAGGACATCCTCCGCGACATGGCTTCGCGCGTCCTGCCCGACAGGTACGCGCCCTCTCTTCCCCCCCCCCATATTAATTTGGGAACTCGCTCGCCGACTCGTCCTGTGGTGCGTGCTCCGCCAGTGAGAAGAGGAACTACATGAACTACGGCCTGTACCTGCAGCGAGCGAATCCCGACCAGGAGAGCTCATGGCTGCAGGAGGACAAGAAGTTCAACGCCTACAAATACGGACCCGAGGTACTTGCTTGGCACCACAACCCATAACCCACTACCCGGGTTCTTGGTTTCATCATTGCGGGGCACACGGGATTGATGTTCGAGCGTGTCTCCTCCGCTACCGTAGGATTGCCTGTGCTACCTGGTACGAAGGAAGCCGATCATGGTGCTCGTGTACAGCGAGAAGGTATCGGCGCAGATGACCAAGAACGAGAAGTACGCCACCTTTTCGCGCTCCGCCTCGCGGCTGTTCAACAAGGTACAGTCGGCTTGTCCCCTCCCCCCTCCAAGGCTGTGGCCTGATCAATGAAGCTCAACCCGAATCTCACTCTCTCAAATGTGCGTGTGTTGACACGGGCAGGCCCAGATGCCCATCTACACACACTTCCCGGTGGACTTCATGGTGCCCGTGTGCGAGGTCAAGACCCAGATCGCGTCCAAGGTTAACGCCAAGGGCGAGGAGTACGAGCTCTACTACCGCAAGACCCCGGACGAAGGTCAGCCGCCACCCCCCCCCCACCCCCTTCCCGCCTGTGCGCCACGTGCGCGCGGTGCTTACCTGCCCCTCCCCCCCCGCCCCACACGCACAGTCGCGCTGCTGGACGAGAAGCTGTCGCTCCACGCACAGCAGGTAGAGGCCTACTCTCGTCTGCTCTTCGTTAAGAACGGCGTGTTCGCCTCGGTGGAGGAGCTGGCGGGAGCCACGGGCGACAAGGAGGAGGAGGCCAAGGCCGCCCAGGGACCCGGCGGCGGCGGCGGCGACGGCGAGGAGGGCGGCGAGGAGATGCCCGACGAGAGCTTCAAGAAGCTCGCCTTCGAGGAAGGCTCTACGACCGAGGTCAAGGCCGGGTCCCTCTCGTCGCTCATCGACCACCTCATCGAAACGCCCATCTACGGTACGCGACACGACACGACACTCCGCTTTCTCATTTGCGCTGCTGACGCATGTGCGCTGTGCCTACGATAGAGCCCGAGTACACGAAGGCGTTCCTACTCACGCATCACGCGTTCACCTCGTCGCGGGTGGTGCTCGACTACCTGCTCAAGCGCTACCTCACCTGCAGCGAGGAGATCGAGAGGGCGTCCCTGCCGCCACCCGCCGAGGAGTCCAAGGGCTCCACCACCCCCGAGAAGAAGGACAAGAAGGACAAAAAGAAGAAGAAGGAGGGCGAAGGAGCCCCCACTCCTCCGCCACCGCCAGAGGAAGCCGGTGCGCACCACACACACGCGCGCACACTACACACGACACACACACAAGGTTCCTTCTCCGCGCAACGGGCTGACGGTCCCTTTGGGGTTTTGGGTAATCCAGACGGCAAGGGCAGGGCGGAGAAGACGCAGCGGCGTATCCTGTACCTGCTCAAGGTGTGGGTGGACGAGTACTTCTACGACTTCTACGACGAGGACCAGCTGCTGGAGCGGTTGATTGAGTTCCTCAACCAAACAATGGTCAAGGAGGGCGGCACCTCGTCCGCGTTGGTCCTGCACCAGCGCATCCTCCAGTCCATCGAATCCAACGTACGCTCCCCCCCACAATCACAATGGGGCACATCGTCTTTGTGTGCATGGTGCTCACGCTTCCCTCGAACAGACGATGGGCACCGGCGCCAAGGGAAAGCAGGTGTCGATGGAGTTTGCCCCGCTGCCTCGGGTAAGGCCACCGTCTCGTTGGCATTCTTTGCACTGGTGGGTTGTGGTGTGACTGACATATGTGACTTCTTCTTTCGCTGGGACTGCTGTAGGTGCCTCGATCGTTGGATAGGCCAAATTGGTTCATCGTTGACGAGGTGGAACTCGCGCGTCAGCTCACCATCCGCTCCTACGAGCTCTTCGCAGCCATAAGGGTAAGCCCACCCCACCCCCCACGCTCCGAGTGGTGCGAGGCTGCTGTTCTCACCATTTTGTTGGCGTTGCAGCTGTTTGAGTTCTTCGGGCAGCCGTGGTCCAAGCCCTCGACGCAGCACCTGGCACCCAACCTGATGGCCTTCATCGAATACTTCAACAGCATCTCGCGCGCTGTTTCCACCGCCCTCCTCCAACAGAGGGTTCGTTTCGCCCGGCGACTGCAGTGCCTTTGTCCCCGAGCCTAGTAGCACTCACACACTTTCCAATCCCCCCCCCCATTCTCTCCCCCGGTGCTTTGTGTGTCGTTCACAACAGAAAATCAGAGAGCGAGTCAAGCTGCTCACGCGCTTCATCCGTACGGCGGAGGAACTGCGCGACCTGGGCAACTACCACCTCCTCCAGGCGTTCATCGCCGGCTTCAGCAACTCGGCCGTCGCCCGGTTGCAGTGGACCAAGGCCCGCCTGCCCAAGGTCCGTTTCGCGTTTTCAAGAGCGAAGAAATTAACATGTTGTTTGCACTGTTTGTGGTGGTGCTGACGCGCGGGTGGTTTTACTCACTTGCCGCTTGCTCACCTGTAGACGTCGGCCACTGCGCTCCAAGAGCTGGAGGAGCTCATGTCGATGAACTCGTCGTTCAAGCAATACCGAGTCAGGCTCACCTCGAGCAACCCTCCCGCCATCCCCTACATGTACGCTGTCTCCCCGCGCTTTGATTTTTTGCTTTTGCTTTTGCTTTTGCTTTTATTATTATTATTATTATTAATTTGCTTTCTACTCACATGTCGTGTGTGTGCCATGTGTGCATGTGCGTGAAAACATACAGTGGCGTGTGTCTGCAGGATCTGACGTTCATCGAGGACGGCAACCGAAACAAGGTGGAGAACCTGATCAACTTCTCCAAACACAAGCTGGTCTACGGGGTCATCTCCCTCCTGGAGCGGTTCCAGAAGACCGGCTACAACCTCCAGCGCGTCGAGGAGATCCAGAACTTCCTCAAGGAGCCCGTCCAGCTCGATGAAAAACAACTGTATAGCCTTTCTCTCAAGGTACAAACTACGAGCCACACTGTGCGGTGTGTGCGTGTGTGCGGTGTGTGCGGTCAAACAAATGCTGACGTTCGAGTGGCGCAGGTCGAGCCTCGTAACGCTGGACGGTCAGACATCCAGTAGGTGTGCCGAGGGCCAGGTTCCAACTACAAAAGAGTCAAGCGCTCTCGGTTCCTCTTCATCAATCGTTGGAAGCTTCAACTGTGCGCCACCATCGATCGGATCGGACCTGCGGGCACCACACGAGGCGATGGACGGAAGGAGGGCGATGATGGTCGCGTCGGCCGTGCGACGGCGGCTGTGTGTTTCATTATTATTTACTAAATATTATTACAATTCGTCTCTCTCTATTTATTATATTTTATTTATTTATTGCTGCACGATCGCGCAGGAACGTTCTTGGCAACGCTTCCGAGAACAAGATCAGCGTGAGTATTACTTATGAAGATGGAGGTCGAGGTGGTTCTGGGTGTTCACTGTATTTTTACAAAACGAACGAGCTCAACTCCGAGCTGCATCGAACAGATGTTGTTTTGTTATGCCGAGTGCTGCATCCTCTTCTTGATGATCTTGAGTGGGTTGGTGGATGAGGGATAGATAGAGAAGTAGAATCGATCGAAAAGCTGATGCCGCATACGACGGGGAATCTCGCAGTCGCGGCAGTGTTGGTGCGCCTGCTTACTCGTCGGAATCGTCGTCATCGTCATCCTCATCGTCATCTTCGTCGGAATCGGCCTTCTTCTTCTTCTTGGAGGCAGAGGCGGTCTTGTACTTGGACATCTCCTTCTCGTACCTCTCCTTGTCCTTCTTGGCGAGCGTGAGGTAGGGCTCCTTCTCCTCCTCCGACATGTCCTTCCACTTGGCCGACACCTGCTTGGTGATGTCGCCGAAGCCAAGATCGGGGTTATCCTCCTTCACCTTCACCCTCTCCTCAGCCGAGAAGAAGATGTAGCCGGTCTTCGGCCTCTTGGGCGCATTCGGGTCCTTCTCCTTCTTGCCCTTGGCGCTCTTCTTGCTGATGGTCTTCTTCTTGGCGACGCCGACCTTCTTGCCGCGAGTGCTCATGTTGATGTCTGCAGTAGAGGACAAGACAAAACATCACTCTCATAAGCACAGGAACGACAAGCCCGAGCGAGAGGATCACTAGCTTGCTCGAGTAGGGCCATCTCGCCCACTCCCTGTATGAGCGCAGATGGCTGCTACTCAGCAGATCACCGAGCGTGAAATTTGTAGAAATTCGTGAAAGACCGAGGATTTGGGCCGATGATCCGAGGATTGATTGTGATCGGCACATGTGATGCGAATGTGATGCGATGTAGAGGGTAAGTGGAGCCAGATTGAGAGGTACGCGTACGGTGGTGGGGTACTGTGGTGGGCTGTGCTGAAAAAGACTGGGCCGGCCCGAAGACTGAGGAAAGACGGTTCAACCCCCCCCCCCGCACGGAGAACGTTACCGTGTTATTTCCTCTCGCGGTGCGCGGACCGGGCTTACGGTCATCGGTGGCCGGCCATTCGCACACCGCGTACTGCGCGGTTAACGGCAGGAAAAAAATTTCGCGCCAAATTTACCGGTCTGAAGCAACGGCTCTATTTTGTTTTTGCTAATAGTGTTGCATTATTCCTATTTGCATGAAACCGTGAGCACTCGATGGGTTGTTTTTTGTGGTTAAAGTTGATAAGGCCAGCCTAACACTTTTTCTTCTAGTGCAAACAAACCTGTCCCTTTTGTTTGTTTTGTTGGCAGTTTTTCACCGCAAAAAGGACCCATCAAGTGCTCATGGTTTCATGCAAATAGGAATAACAATAGCAAATGTTGTTGGTCCATCATTGCAAGGTACCATGCAGGCCATGTGGCACTGCTCATTCTTGAGAAATTGCTTCAATCCCACAGTGTACTACTAGCTAAAGTAGTGGTGGTCTAATATGCCATGCCTATCATGCTTTGATCTTTGCTTTGTCTTTGGAATGTTGAGCTAACAGGAGCTCTCAAGCACAGTGCATTTATCCAACTTTTTCCATTCCAACTCAAGAGAACAAAGATTGGTGGTTAAAGAGAGTTGAATTGGCTAGTGAAGGCTACCCCACTAAGGAAGAGGAGAAAGGACCTCTGGTGTACATCACCACAACAAGAGAATAAAGAAAAACTTGCTAATGTCCCCAAGCCTCATTCTCCCCCATCCCTTCCTATTGCCTTTGTTACATCAATAGTCTATTGCTTATGCCTAAACAACCAAGTGTTCATGAAAAAGGGTCAGTGACTCTTTTTTTGCTAACTATCTGGCAGCATGTACAGATTGTCAGGGCTGTAACACCAGTATCTGCACACCCTCCAGAAACAGACTGGTGTCATCAGTACACTTCGACCAGTTCAATGCACAAAATCTGAGAAATGTGAACGGAAAATGTGTAGAAAATGCAAGAAAAGACCTCATAAATGCACATATTTTGCAAAATTGCAATCCGACGCACATTTTCTGAAAATGATGCCCAAGCTTTCCTTGATCTGTACACCAACCTCATGAAAAACAGCCAAATGGTGGCCTTTTTTGTACAGATAGTTGATTTAGTGACCCTTTTTCATGAACACTTGGTTATCAATATTCTGTCACATACACATACACTTTCAGGCCACATTGTGCTGGGAGTTCACACAGCAGAAAATGAGAATGGAGTTAGATAACCACATTTTATCTCATCACATGTGCATTATCACATTAATATTCCTGTGTACCTAACAAATAATCTCATTATTCCATCACAAAAACATACTCTAGGGAATATTTAAAGCACTTTGTTTCACTGTTTCTGTGCATAAAGAGTGGCATTTTGCTGCTGGGTGGGCAGGCTGCCAGGTGGGTGGGCAGGTGGGCATGAGGGCAGGCCGCCAGGTGGGTGGACAGGCAGGCAGGGTGGTGAGTGGGTGGGCAGGCATGTGGGCAGATATGGTGCAGGCTGGCAGGTGGGCTTTTTGGATACCAACACCATTGTGTATGCAGGTTCTAGGGGTGCAGCCCACAACACAAATGAGATGTCACCAGGGTGCTCTGCAACCTGCTGCTGGCAGGTGGCAGGGTGGCTGGGGACATGGGTGGGTGGGCAGGCAGGTAGGACAAAGGATACACTGAAACTGCCAACTCAGGGCAGCCAAATACTTGGCATATGCCATTTCTCTGACCAAGTTCTTCTTCCTAAACAGCAGACTTGCTTTTCCAATAATTGCCTGAGCCAACCTTCCATTCAGGGTTTGCAAAGTCATTCTGCAGTGCCCCTCTTGTGGTGCTCCACCCTTTATGTTGTTGCCAGGTTCAAAAGGTACAGCCCCACATGCATGTGTAATTGATTATTCTGCTGTTGTTGAAACACATCCCAAAGGCACCCCTTGGTCTTTCTTGTGGAGGGTTAGCTCCCTGCCCAACAATAAGACATGTGTCTCTGGAGAAGATAAATGAGCTATTAATATTGTACAGAATCCCACCATCTGTCATTGCCCCTTTGTTGGGTTGTGGAAAATAAAGGACAAAAATGATGTGTGAAATTTCACTCACGCCCTTTTTTTGTTTACCACTTTACTCTGGGATTGATTCTCAATCTGCCGCTGGTCGATTGATATAATCTTCGCCAGCATGCTGCCCAAGCTCAAGCCGTCCACGCGCTGTACGCTGCCCCTCCCATCTCTCCCTTGTGCACCCTCTTACAGCCTTGCTCAGCCCCTCGACGGGTACACGCCGCTGTTGTGGGGCTTGGGGCGGGTGCACGTCCCTCCGCCGCCGCCGCCACCGCCACCTCCCTCT